CCTTGCAGTAAGTAATGAAAACAAACTTTGATTCCCTGGTGACTGAAGTCTTAACACATACAGTTTAGACTTTATAGACACTGATTTGCTGCAGATTTATAGCTGCTCAATTGAACAGTTATTTTATTGAAAATTTATATTTGATTCTTTTGGGGTTTTTGAGTAAGAATTCCATGCTTCAGTCCTGTTTTGAATGACATATTACATGATAACAGATTGGTGCAATTTAAAGCTTTATTGTGTGTCAGTAATGGATGTATTCTGTACTGTCAATCCCATTAAGCAAGGCCTCAAATGTATTCTGAGCAAAGAGTATTGATTCAAGAAAAGTTGATTATTTATAAGCCCTTTCACATTCATATTTTATGGCCTCGTTTCTTTGGTGACATTACATGACTGCAACTTCATTTTATTCTCACAAGGAAAATGGAAAATTTTACACAGTTGATTCAAATTAATTATTAATCATTTGATTAGCTAAATTAGAACATGATGCCACATGTACAACCATTTTAAGAATTACCTTTATCTTAACACATACCTGTCCAGTATATAAAGCTTAAGATGTAAAATACATTCAGTATTGTATAAAAGTAATAAGTAATATAATGCCAAAATGTTAAAGAATCTAGAGCTCTGTAACTTATTTATCAGGTTTTTTTTTTAAATTTTTCTACCAATGGTAATGGTACCAAGCTAGCAGACAGATAGTTTGTGTGATGATGAGTTCTGCAGCACTCTACTTAAGTCCAGATTTGTTGACTTAGTAAACAATGGTTAAATAAAATAAGGAGGTTTGATAGGCCCCAGGAATGAAAAAAAGTAGAGAATGCAACTCTGTATCCCAATAATAAGAGCTCCAATATTGAATGCAATTAGAGGGAAGTTTGAAGGCTATTAGAACCTTTAAATATACAGCCCAAAAGATTTTTAAAAAAAATTATCAATAGCCTTTTTTTAATGTTTTTTTTTTTAAAGTTTACTTGAATTCTAATTATTTTGAATTATCTTAACTCTTTGCTGTCATTGGTATAGATTTCTTTGACTTTTAGTATGTACATAAACTAATTACAGTGCTAAGGTTTTTACCAAGGGTAAAGAGACAGTATCAGTATTGAGAGAACTGTGAAGGTCAAGCATTTGACATGTATCTAAATCAAGAAAGGGTTTTGCTTTTAAAGGTGCCGGTACACAGATTGTTGAACTGATAAGTGTAAGTGAGATATGTTGCAATCCATTGATAGAGGCATAATAAATAACCAGAAAAGGAAGAAAATGTCCCAGAAATAATTTACAATATAACATTATTTATTCATGACTTTGGATTACAGATTTGTCTTACATTAGTCCATGATTTGTTGTAAAGGGATGGGGGGATCTATAAGCATGTTTGTAATTGCAGTGGAATCATAGGTATATATAAGCTTTTAAGAAATTAATACACAAAATTTTTGTTCAGGATGATCCAGAAAAACAGTCTTTGCTATAGTTAGCTGCAGAACTGTAGCTCTCTGAAAAAATATATTGACAGACCAGTCTGACAATATATTTTTTTTTGGAAAGCTACAGTTCTGCAGCTATTAAAATTTACATATGAAAATAGTTATCTGATGTGCTGGATTAGAAACTCAACTTAATAATGCTGTTAATGTTCTTATGACACTGGGTAAATATAATTTGTAAACTGAAAAGGTAAAATCAAAGAGCTATTTGAAAGGTGAAAAATGTAAACTACATGCAGTTTTTATAAGCTTCAGCATTGAGAAGTAATGTTGATGGTATTAGAAGCTTTAATAGTTTTGAATTTTAAATGGTTGATTTATATTAGGTTTGCTTGCACTCAAATTAAAAATTACCGAAGCACTGAGCCACTTAATAAAGTTTCAGTAAAATTTGTTTAGAATTGACTAAATATGTTGAACTTGAAGGACATAGACAGGAGATAACATTAAGAGAATTATTTTGGAAGACAGTTAAAGCTTTCTGCTTTTGAAGATTTATAAATATACCTGATGAACAAATTAATTAACTATTGATACAAGGTAAAAAATTCTTACACCTGTAATTATGATCAAGTTTAAATATCCAACGGGGCTGCTAGTTCTTTTTTGGCAAGCCCTGAATCCTACCCCCCCCCTCCCCCCAATCCATAGACTGTAAGCAGCAGATCTGTAGTTACTGCCCACCCCTTCCCTTCCAGAAAGATAGGGGCATTCCTGCGGATACCTTGTCGTAATAATTTAAACCAAGAAGCAGTTCATGATTGTTATTGTTGAAAATGTTTTGCTTAAGAAATTCGAAATGAACAGGTTATTTAATTGTTTTTTATTTTTAAGTTCTAATTCTGGAAAATATGATAGATTTTAACATAATTTTTAAGTGTCTTTCAATACAATACTCCTCCTACAGTTTTGGTCGGATTTCAATTAAACAAGTAGACTATACTAAGATACATCTTTCTTTACCCACCAGTAGAGCTACAGTGTCGTCAGGGACTTCTGGCTTGTGTTATTTATCATTCAGATGGAAATTTAATACCTTTTGTATATTGAGTATTTTTCTCTACCATATTATACATATTTGATGTCACTTCATTTTGTATCCGTGTTCATGCACACCATTGGAAACTTGGAAATATAAGTTGGGGGCACTTTCTGCAATAATTACTGTAAATATTTAGAAGTGTTTATGTGTAAGGTAAATTAATAAAATAATTTTTTTAATGTATCTAATAAATAAAGTTTCAACAAAGAAAGTATGATACCCTATGATCTATTGTTTAAAAATAAACACATTGATACACACTCCTTCATTGAAGGGTTCTTTCTTAGTCTCAAAAGTACACTATATTTCATGAATAATTAAAAACAGTTGGTTTACACACCACACCTTTGGACAATGATCAGGTACATAATGGGATATGTTAAAATTGTAGGTAAATAATTAGGTCGTAAACCCACTCTTGACGTTTGTTTACATACTGAGCTTTATGGTTATAAATCCTATTATAGAAGCAGACAATGTGCCCATACCTGAATGTTGGTTTTGTAATTACCATTCCTGTGAAGTACAAGTGACCACCACAGTGGCATGGGATAAGTTACCATGTTGTTCAGCAATTTAATTTGCCTCATAAACTGCAATTTATATCAAAATATTGAGTTTAAAAAGCAAATTCATGGTTGCATTTGTATAAACATGCAGACTTCAGACTTCAATGTTCTAAATCTCACCTTGTGTTAGTTTTGTGTGAATACACTAAATTATTCTTAGAACAATCAGAAATCGATCATTAATATGGCTTTAATGCAGGAATCAATATTCAAGGATCATAAATTTATGGAATCCAAACTGTAATAATTGTAGAAGGTAGATGGTGTGAGCACATTTTACGATTATACATTGCCTCGGTACAAATGAACACTGACCACAAAAAAAGTTGATGTTGTTGTTTAAATGTAAGAGTAAAAATTTGGACATTTCTCTAGGTTCTGTTATAATTGACTATACATGGAACAAATTCTATTGAAGAAACAGAAATGTGTTCTATAAATCTATCAGATCTTTTTATTTTGGCCTCCTTCATTTTTTAATTGACTGACACAACAGATAAAATGGATTTAATTGGATTTTACTTGGAACTGTTATGTTTGCACTGACTGAAATAAGTACAAATAATACCTCTCAGGTTTATATGTATTTAGTGTTTATGCTTTTGTTGGCAAAACTTTAAATTCATTTCAGGAGTATTGAATACCTCAGGTGATTTAATTTTGTGAAAAGTAATTTAAAAATAATGTATATTAATGCACTTTGGAGGAGGCATTTGTCTGTGGGTTTTCTTATGGCTTAGAAGATATTGCATACCATAATTAAATCTATGAAAATTCAGTTCTTGGCTTAGTATTAGAAGAAATCTTTTGAAATCTGGTTTAATTATAAATATGTGTTGATGTGCTCAGTTGTTTACAGTAGCACCTTTAATTTGGCTTTTTGATTAAAAAATATACTTACTATGATTATGAAGTCAACATCCATGAAAATACTTTTATGACTTGCATATTAGGTAATTGGTGTTATGTATCAAGCTAAGCTTGATTACATAATTATGAGAAGTCCATTATTTGACTTTTTGGTATTTAATGGTAGCCAATTTTGAACTTTGTGGGAATATTGTGAATATTGCTTTTGTAATCATTTGAATATGATACACTGTGCTCAGGGCCTATAGAGGTCGATTATTAATCCATGTTACATTAGTAATATGATTAAAATGTATTTTAATAAGAAACATTCATATAGAGCAATGAAATCATGTTATGTCATTAAGTACAAAAAAGTAATAAAGCATTATTATAAAATAAATGTAACAATAAAGCACTTCTGACTGTTCAAGTTGCTTGCTTGACATTCTTATATTGTATGTAATAAAAAAACGTTGACCAAGTATTTCTACATTTCACACATTCTTCTGTATCAAATTTATGTTCGATTAGGAGTGTATATATATGTTTGCAGTGCTACCATGTTTATAAAGAATTCCAAAATTTTACAAAGTCTGAAAGATCTTTGAAACAATATTAAGAATTGAAAATGAATTTGTCCTGTTAATACATGTACCAGTACAAGCTTGTCCTAAAAACTTATCATAGATGGGATACATGTATATGAATAGCATATATCTTTTTTTTATTATAGTAAAAAGTAATAATTGGTCTCCAGGGCCTACCTCAAGAAAAAATTATCTGTCTTCCAAAAATTGTAAGGCTGCGTTTTTGGAACAATTAATATATATTTGACCAAAAATACGGCCTTTTAAGTTTTTGAGAACTATTAAATTTTTCTTGAAGTAGGCCAAATATTAATAAAGTGCAAAGAAGAGCAAAATTGGGTATTACATCTAATAGATGTTCCAAAAAGTAATTCAATTAGTTTTCAAAAATATAATTTCATTAAAATGTGCTAGTCTCTACAGTAAGAACCCTGTTTGTGTTTTACAGTTGTGTGGGAGGAGTCACTGGTATGCAGGCATGTTCTGCTGGTACCGCCAATCCAAACTCCGGATCCTCCACTTCTGGTGCGTGTGTGACCTGTAATGCTGATGAAATAAGTACCGCTGGGTCATCTGCCTGTATAAAATGTCCAGCAGGCTTCAGCTGTTCCTCACAGACTTCCCAAACAGCTTGTGCTACTAAAGAGTACTCATTGGAAGGGGAGACAACTTGTACATCATGTCCTGCTGGATCAATATGTCCAACTAAAACCCAGGCTCCACAGGTATAATGAAAGGGTTTCTTGTTATTAATGTTCAAACCATTTGTAAGTTTCTAGGATAAATTGAAAACACAACCTTTCTTTATACTGTTAATGTTTTTTGATCAGGGAGAAATATAACAATTGTAATCTACAGATTTGATTTTGCCTTAGGTTTTCTTATCTTTTACATGGATATAAAATCCATTTTCAAATAAGTATTGATCACTAAAAAAATTTAACAGACGAGTAAACTGCTGGCTTCACTTAATATTACCCTTTTATTTATATTTACAGAAACAAATCCCAAATTTTCACCATATATATAGTTATAAAATCAAACAAAATTGTGATAAATGTCAATCACAAAACCTAGGTGCATCATTAAATTTTGTTACAAATTCAACAGAAACTGTGCAATTTTCAATGTCTCTCAAGACATACTGCAAGCACATATACAAGTTCATATATATATTGTAGATCACCAAATTTTTACGATACCTTATTTTTGTGAGATGGTCATTTGGCATTTATATGCAAGACATACATTTATTTTCATGAACTTTGGATATTGTTCAGTATATCGTTTTGTTTGGAATAAACACGAGAATTAAATATTTGTGAGCAGACTGTCTCGCATAATTAAGCGAAAATAAAGTTATCGCGAATAAAAAGTAATTTACAGTATTGACATATATAGAGTAAACCTTGGTTTTAAAGGAATCGCTGAAAAGAAATCTCATTTACAAGGAATCTTTTGCAAATCCTGTGGAAGACTTTTCAATGTGTTCTTTATACAGATATAAAGAGAGACTCTTATTATAAGGAAGCAAAATTCAAGGTCCCAGTGACTTTTTCTTATAACTGAGTTTTACCATGTATATACAACAAACAGATTCAAATATTTTAGAAAAAAAAGTAATTGCAAAATTGATTCAACCTGTATACAGCACTAAAAAAGAACACTTGTGAATTTCGTTAATCTTTCTTAGAATAATTAGTCCCAGATTGAATAATATGTTAAAAGTATGAAATGCTTTATATTATGAAATATTTGACTTAGGACTGTCCAGCTGGTAAGGAACCAGATGGTACCCAGACAGCATGTACAGACTGTGTAGCAGGGAGCTACAGTTCTGCCTCAGATAATTCATGCCAGACATGTCCCAAAGGTAAGATATAAGTTTAAAAACTAAATCTATTTTATAGGAATGTCAACGAATATTCAAGTACTCGACTATCGTTTGATCATACAGGGTTAGAAACTCCCTAAAATTACAACTCGCAAATTATTGCGAGTACCAAGAAAGTGAACTCGCAATTTTATAAGACTACTCGCAATTTTCATATAAAGTTAAATTTATATAAATTAAATACATGTAACTTAAGGAAAAATTAACTACTGTACAATACACAAAATACAGCTACAGGGTGACTTTTATTTGAATTACTGATTTAAATCAAAAGCATTGTGTTTTGTCATATTATATAAATTGCTACAGTTTCAATGCAAAAAAATCAACTCGCAAGTTTTTGCGAGTTACCTAATTTTTAACTCGCAATTTTGGAATTGTAACTCGTGTTTTGCGAGTTGTATATAGAATTTCGAACCCTGTCATACCAACTATCGACTAAATTTTTTTAGTCGGTTATTCATTAAAAATTTGCTACTTATTCAAGGTAAAAAAAAAAATCATAGTAAAAAAATGGATCTGCTCAGTTCGTTTACTAACGTATCAGTGTTTTCGTAAGTAAAACTCCAGAAAAGACTGAACCGGTCTTCATTAATTGTTCAAAGGAATTTTTGTTCGGTAAACATGCATTGGCATACTTTAAAAGATGTCAAATTCAAATTGTAAAGTTCAACCTGCATTTCCATAAGATCTCGTATAATGCAACTATCATTTATTTAATAATTAAACAGCTGTTACATATTTGTAAATACATGTAAATTGGGGACAGTTATGAGCTGATTTAAAGGTGTTTCTTTCTGATATTACATGTAATATTAGTCATTTTAAAATTGTATTGATTGTTTGCAAAAAAATCTCACAATTAAAATTTATCATAAGCTCTCTTTGTTTTTATAAGAATTAAGCTTTAATTGTTTAACAATCACGGGTTACTGACAAGACACATGCAATGGCTTCAGGTAAGAACTCAAAAACAGGTACATGTACTAGCAGCAAAAAGAAAGGATAAATGTGAGCATTTGATATTCTGTATATAGATAAAATGTGCAGTAAATATTATATTTGAAATCAAATACTGTAACATTGGATACATATATTTATCACTACGTAAATGTTAACGATTCAATAATTCGTTGTATAATGGTGATAGTGTAGATTAAATATTGTACAGGCTAGCAGTCTGTTAAAGACAAATAGGAAAAAATGACATGAAAAATTAAAAATATTTAAATTTCAACAAGTACTCGACTATCGTTCAACTAAAGCCTCCGACTATTCAACTAAGCTGTCCGAGTAAAATTGATATCCCTACTATTTTATCACAATTACTATTGCAATTCTAAAACTGTAAATGTAAATTTAGTTATACAGAATAAACAATGGTGCCAAATATGTAAAATTAAAAAAAAATATCTATGGAGAAATTTTTTTATGTGTAGTAAAATTTGCGTTTTTTTTTTTTGTTGCCAGGCATTAATTGATTACTGGTATATCTTTTAGGATCAAAATGTCCCACAAATGGCATGACGGCCCACACTGTGTGTCCTTCAGGGGAGTACCAGGATAACACAGGTCAGACCTCGTGTTCTGCATGTACTGCCGGACATGAGTGTTCTAATCCAGCTATTGCTCCTGTCCAGTGTAATGCAGGATCCTATGCACCAGCAAACTCGGTGACATGTACAGCATGTGCATCAGGTAAAATTATTTTGATAGTTAGTAGATAATCTAAGAACATTCATGGTTGCAGATTTTTCCAAAACAATGTATTGTCGTGCATTGTTTATCAGCAGAAAATACGTCAGATGATGAATTCTTCAGCAGTTTGTCACTTTTCCAGTGTCATAATCATTAACACTTAATATTCATTTTACAGGTATTTAAATTTTGCCTGAATTTATGGTATTCTATTTCTTTCAGCAAGTGTTTAAAAAAGCTTTACAAATTGAACAATTTTAACAGGCACATATAGCAACAGTACAGGTTCTAGCTCTTGTTCTGAGTGTCCAGCAGGCAAAGTTTGTTTGGATCCCTCTTTGACCCCCACAGATTGCCCTGCAGGGACCTTCAGTGCCCTGAACATTTCAGCATGTACCCCATGTCCAGCAGGACATTACAGTAGTGCAGGGTCAGATAGTTGTACAGTTTGCCCTGCAGGCAAGAATTGTTCCAGTCGTGTTGGTGTTCCATCTGATTGTCCAGAAATGACCTACAGCACTGTGGGCAGTAGTGGCTGTACAGCTTGTTCTCAAGGTGTGCATTAATTTCAGGATACAGAACTTTTTGGCTTGAATTTTGGAAATGCCATTCATAAGTTGGTTTCCTAAATTCTTTACCTTCATGCGTAGTTCATTTGTTTTTAAGATTTTTGAAACTTGCATGCCATTTAAATATTGAGGAGTACCAAAATTTTAATTATTGCTTCGGTTTCATTTATAATGTTTGTAAGATAATCAGATAATAAGATAATCATATCAGTTCAGTTGTGAAGTTCAATTTTACTTTGTTCATAAGTTTTCTTTTACACTGGTACCCTCTGCAGGATACTACAGTACAGCTGGATCAGGTAGCTGTACAATCTGCCCCTCAGGAAAATCCTGTCAAACAGCCACCCCTAATGACTGTCCCCCAGGAACCTACAGTAAGGAAGGAGATGGAATGTGCACAAATTGTGCTGTAGGATATTACAGCAGCAGTTCTGGAGCTTCTTCCTGCACAGTGTGTGCTGCAGGAATGTCTTGTAGCTCCAACTCCAGCCAGCCTTGTGCTGCTGGCACATATGGAGTGGAGGGGGAGTTGACATGTCGGCCATGTTCTGGTGGACATTACAGTGAGTCCGGGGCCAGTAATTGTAGTGTGTGCCCTGGTGGTAAAGACTGTAGCAGTGCAGCAGGAGTTCCCCCTGACTGTGTGGCTGGTCAGTACAGTGTAGAGGGAGGTTCAGGCTGTACCAACTGTCCCTCAGGTATTCATGTTCGGGGGATTGTATGTTGTAGAATGTTGTTTTTCCTAAGGCATTTGTTTGGTTTAAAAAATCATGTTGTGGTCTTTTCTTTGACACTGTTCTGTCCTAAGGATTATTGGTGTTTGCATGTAAAGTGATTTATATTGATGGTAAACATGAATAATGTCTTCCTGTCTGTATGGTGTTTTAGAAAGTAAGTGAAAAGTTGCTTTTCAGTCACTATTCACTCACATTGGTGTTTACATGTTGATTTGTGAAGTCATCTAACTTCTACCTTTTCAGGTTAGGTTTTTATTTTTGGCTTTAGATGAATTTTGCACTGTTTTAAAGACCTGTATACAGGCCTGGAAATCCACTCTACTTATTTCTTATATAAAACGTAATGATCCACTTCTATATACTACTCAGGACCAGCATGCAATCACTTTTATTATTACAGATTTGTATGTACAGTAAATTGCTGTATGTCTTGTAATCAGTGGTGTTGGCAGAGAAGTTACGTTGTATTGATTTATAAACTTTATAACATTTTATTACTTTCAGTTGAATTGCACAAATGATGATTTTATGTTTTTGTGCATTTACAGAATTAAAAAAAAATGAGGAATTGGACATTGACAATTGAAAGCAATTTATTTTGGTTTAACAAGTACATGAAAGAATTGAATTAATTTTTGTTTGATTAACTCTTCTTTTCATGAGTAGGTATTTTGTCAGTCACCTCACATTTTGTTAATGGTTATAAATTCTGAGCCTTAGAAAAAGAAAAAAAATGACTTTTTCAGGGACATATAGCAACAGTACAGGTTCTAGCTCTTGTTCTAAGTGTCCAGCAGGCAAAGAATGCTCCAACCCTGCCCTGACCCCCACAGATTGTCCTGCAGGGACCTACAGTGCCCTGAACATTTCAGCATGTACACCATGTCCAGCAGGGCATTACAGTAGTGCAGGGTCAGATAGTTGTACAGTTTGTCCTGCAGGCAAAAATTGTTCCAGTCGTGTAGGTGCTCCATCTGGTTGTCCAGAAATGACCTACAGCACTGTGGGCAGCAGTGGCTGTACAGCCTGTTCTCAAGGTGTGCATTGTCCAAAACAATTAACTTTCTCACCCCAAAAAAGAAAAAAAAAGTTCATTAAAACTAACATTTAACAAAAGTCACTTCATTTTCAGTAAGAATAAACCATTCTAATTTTAATACAGTACTCTTAAGTTAAAAGATCTTCATTTATTACTGAATTCTTCTTTTCACCCTTTTCTTTTTAAATACAAAGTGTGTAAATTGATTATAGCTTTTAAAATTTCATGAAAGGAATTTCAGATATTTCACATTCTTCTATAAATATTTTTTTCCATTTGCTGCTCAATGATAGGATACTACAGTACAGCTGGATCAGGTAGCTGTACAATCTGCCCCTCAGGAAAATCCTGTCAAACAGCCACCCCTAATGACTGTCCCCCAGGAACCTACAGTAAGGAAGGAGATGGAATGTGCACAAATTGTGCTGTAGGATATTACAGCAGCAGTTCTGGAGCTTCTTCCTGCACAGTGTGTGCTGCAGGAATGTCTTGTAGCTCCAATTCCAGCCAGCCTTGTGCTGCTGGCACATATGGTGTGGAGGGGGAGTTGACATGTCGGCCATGTTCTAGTGGACATTACAGTGAGTCCGGGGCCAGTAATTGTAGTGTGTGTCCTGGTGGTAAAGACTGTAGCAGTGCAGCAGGAGTTCCCCCTGACTGTGTGGCTGGACAGTACAGTGTAGAGGGAGATTCAGGCTGTACCAACTGTCCCTCAGGTATCCTACAGCATAGCACTTGGAGGGTTGCATGTGAATGGATGTTGTTTGTTAACTTGTCTGCATGCTGCAATAAAACATTCTGGCAATTTCTCTAATTCTGCAGTGTATTGAGGGTTTGAAATTGATGGTCATCTTTTATTTCTTGCATTATTTTTTTCACATGTGTGTGCATGTATATATAATAGTTCTTTTTAAGCATGAAGTTTTCATCCTCACATTTTGTCTCTTCTTATCATTTTTTATAACTATTTCTAATCTTTGACGACAGAAGCACTAAAAAGATTTATATCTTTATCATCTGGAACTTTTAAATTTCTATATAAGTCAGGTTCTTGATTCATATTTGATTGAGTTATATGTTATGTGTGTGCTTGTTTGAAGTTCTACACGTATTCAAAACTTCACACACTGGGTATGCATGGATGGTTCTAATATTGTTTTCGGTTAGCTATATACATATATGTAAACTAGTTTACTGACATTGAAAAGTAATGTATTAGTTATGATATGTCTTTTTAGAGCAAAAAAACTTTTGTTACAGATAGAAGTGACAATACATATGAAATGAAAATCTTTACAGTTTTCTTCATTATTACTGATGATTGTTGATTTTGCAGATCAAGTTTTAATATCATTTTTTTTCAATTAGGCCTTACTGAAAAGTACAGCTCTATAGTTATCATTGTGTCAATGTGTCAGAATTTCAATACATTTATGTGACATACTTTAGGTCTTCCTAATTTCATGTACTACATACTATTTAGTAGAGGAGGATGCACAGGGTTCGACACTAACTTTTTTACCTTGGTGGACCGCAGGTCCACTAGTCAAAAAATATTGGTGGACCTTCTCTAATTCTGGTGGACCTTTATAAATGTTTGAATTAATGAATGAATTCATTACACAAGGCTTGAAACCAACTTATGTACCCAGTCTCGTCAGACTAATAAAATATAAGTTTAACCAGTCAACAGAAACAAATCAATTAGTCAGGAGTTTTTAGCAATATTGTGAAACATATTTTCAATATTTAAAAAAAACCCCACAATCTACATCTTCAAATAATTTGTTATTTTAATATTATTTATTTACAATGGTAAAAACCTGCATTTATTTAGCTTCCAACGGTAGATACAATTTATAATCCCAATAATTGAGTTGTTCATATAAACAAATGAATTTTTCATGTATCTATGGCTAGAATACTTTTTACTACGATGCAAAACTGACAAAAGTATATTTATTTATTTTTTTAAATTATTATTTATTCAAATAAATTGCGATCATATGATTCTTTTATGTGATATAATGTATAGCAGAATAAAACAGGTACTGCAGATAACGTATTCATAAAATGTAAATCACACCTGTTTGAGGACAATGCATAAATGCAGCTGTCAATCAATTCTCATTATCTCCAAACCTGGCCATCGGAGTGCGTTCAGGCATGAAGTGATTTCCTGTTACCCAGTATATATTTTCAAACCTTTCTGTGCATTAAACAAACAAAGGACAGACTGACCAATTTGGCTCGAATTTTACATGCTTCTTTTTCAAGGTCCGTGTTGAATGTTCTTGCAGTCAATGTTATTGATATTGTAGTCATCAATATTACATGTAAAATATATATTTAGTCGCTAGGTTGCCCTGATTACCCAAAATAAATTATACCTTATTTATTCCTTGTAAAATATAAGTATGGATGAATTAATCGTTGATTTACGGATATCGATTTATAGAAAAAGTGGAATTACCGTTTTTTTTAATATGGTGTTTAATTTTTAAGTGGACCGGCGGTCCACCTAGTCCAGAACATTTGGTGGACCTTCCAATTTTTTGGTGGACTCGGGCCGCCGGTCCACCGTAAGTGTTGAACCCTGATGCATGCCTACAGATTTTGGGGTTATGTGGTCAAATGTAAAGGTTAATGATTTAATGATCTGACTATACATGTGTGTGTGTGTGTATATATATATATATATATATATATATATATATATATATATATATATATATATATATATATATATATATATATATATATATATATCAGAGTCTAATATATACTACAATTGGCAGTAAAATGGCCACATGCTTTAAGCCAAAATTTAGACTAGTCAAAGACTAGGTCAAGATTAGTTCAATAAGCAAAGTGTTGTTGCCCTGTATGACTTTGACACATTCTTAAAAATACCTTTATAATGATTAAAATCAAAATTATATATGCATTAAAAAACATCTATAGGAATGTACAGTACCAGTGCAGGTTCCAGCTCTTGTTCTGAGTGTCCAGCAGGCAAAGATTGCTCCAACCCTGCCCTGACCCCCACAGATTGTCCTGCAGGGACCTACAGTGCCCTGAACATTACAGCATGTACACCATGTCCAGCAGGGCATTACAGTAGTGCAGGGTCAGATAGTTGTACAGTTTGCCGTGCAGGCAAGAATTGTTCCAGTAGTGTTGGTGTTCCATCTGATTGTCCAGAAATGACCTACAGCACTGTGGGCAGTAGTGGCTGTACAGCTTGTTCTCAAGGTGTGCATTGACCAAAGTTAGTTACCACCAACTCCTGTAATGACTACTTGAAATAAAAGTAGAATAAAATTCAGCAGCAGAATTGTTATATGCATCTTTTTGAATCTAAAATTAGGTGACAAACTTTCATGTTTTCCATCAGTATTTAGAGTTTGATTACAAAATATAGGTGTAATATGATGCATTCAAAGTAAACAATTGGTCTAAGACTCTGATGGTTTAAAATCCTTTCTCATTTCTATTGCACAATGTCAGGATACTACAGTACAGCTGGGTCAGGTAGCTGTACAATCTGTCCCTCAGGAAAATCCTGTCAAACAGCCACCCCTAATGACTGTCCCCCAGGAACCTACAGTAAGGAAGGAGATGGAGTGTGCACAAATTGTGCTGTAGGATATTACAGCAGCAGTTATGGAGCTTCTTCCTGCACAGTGTGTGCTGCAGGAATGTCTTGTAGCTCCAACTTCAGCCAGCCTTGTGCTGCTGGCACATATGGAGTGGAGGGGGAGTTGACATGTCGGCCATGTTCTGGTGGACATTACAGTGAGTCCGGGGCCAGTAATTGTAGTGTGTGTCCTGGTGGTAAAGACTGTAGCAGTGCAGCAGGAGTTCCCCCTGACTGTGTGGCTGGACAGTACAGTGTAGAGGGAGATTCAGGCTGTACCAACTGTTCCTCAGGTATCCACTGTACCAAGTCTGCATGTGGAGGGGTGTTGTTTTGACAATTACTTTACTCTAAATGTGTGCATGCAAGAAACCATAACCCTGCATATATAAATCCATTGTTTTATGATATTATATGTATATTGCATGTTATTCAGAGGGATGCTTGCATGAGGAAAGATTCCTTGGTTATGGTTGTTTTTTTTTTGAAAGTTTGACATCATATATTATGCTGATGTGTTCTTGTATTAACATATAATGATATTATTCCTATAAAAGTGTAAGGCTGTGTATACCAGGTCATTGGAAATGATGAAACAAGATTATTTTGCATTTTAATTTTCTCATCCTTATAATCCTTATTATCAATCACCACTGCCTACAGTAAAACACGCTTATAGCAAACATGCTTATAATGAATTGATGCTAACAGCAAAGTGATTTTCATTTCCTGTGGCTTTTAAATAAATTGGGAGCTTATCAGATATAAGGAATTACATTTATAATGAAAAAAAATTGTCCGTCTTTGGCACTTTGTTATAAATGTGTTTTACTGCACATTATATTTTTGCAGGCTTATATTTTGTGGAATCTGTTTTCTATATTGATATATATTGCAACTTTGCTTTTCAGGTTTATAGGAACAACACTGCATTCAATATTAATGTTGTGACATTTGTTGCTGTGTTGCATGCATATATTGTAGCAATTGTGGATGTGGCTTATAAATAGGGACAATTATTATGAAGTATTTTCTAACTATAACACTAGGCATGATGTACATTAATGTGTATTAAATTACAGATTAGTAAAAGCTGACAGTTGCTTGTTGATTTATATTGTATGTTTTATTCACCATGTAGCTTTAAACTTAAAGGTTTTTTTTAGGAACAATCAAGAGGTATTTTTCATTGTAATTGAAATTACATTTGAGCAAGTCTTAAAGCCAACTCCATTTTCCTCTGAATAAAAACTTGCGTTCTGAAAATGCCTTTATTTACTGTTATAGGATACTATAGTTCAGCTGGTGCCACAAGTTGTACCCAGTGTACAGCTGGACATTTCTGCACCTCTTCCACACAAACAAATTGTGGTGCCACAAAATACAGCAGTGCAGGAGCCACAGCATGCAGTGATTGCCCAGCAGGATATGCTTGTCCAGGCCCCACCACGTCAACTCCTACTCAGTGTCTAGCTGGAACATACTCAGGGACCAAAGCCTCTTCTTGTAGCCCTTGTCCTAAGGGGTATCAGTGTCCTCTGGATGGAATGACGGCCCCAGAGGCTTGTGGGAATGGAACTTATGCTCCTTCAACTGGTGCCACTGCTTGTACACTTTGTCCAGCTGGTATGCTTTTTTTTTTGTTTTAGAAAAGAAAAAAAATTTTGAGAAGATATCTGAAAAAGATATAGCAATTATCTATAATTGATCTTGTGACCTTGTTTTGTTTATGTAAATAATGTTTTGTGAATATATCTGCACTTTTGGTAGTTTTGTTTAGAATCTGTTGATCGAGTTTGATGTGTAGAATTTTCCTTTAATCCTGGATTTGATTCACAGGTCAAAAATGTCCTGATGTAACCTCAGCAGCCAGTGACTGTGTAGCAGGAAAGTACAGTCCTGAGGGTTCCTCGTACTGTTATGACTGTCAGGATGGCTGGTATGCTGATTCAGTCCAGTCCACTACATGTACAGAGTGTCCAGCAGGATCAGCATGTCCCAACAAGAACACAGCACCCTCACTATGTGCACCTGGAGAGTACAGGTATATATACAAGTACAGCAAACATGAATAAAAAAAAATCTGATGTGATTTTATAATACAGTCTTTAGATATAAAACATAGCAAATAAAAGTGGTCCAAAGGTATGTAGGGAATATCAACAGTTTATCTTAACTTCCTAAGTTTTCCAAAAGACATGACAATAAAGGGTGAAAGTATTTTTACCCATGATATTTTGTTTGTAAAAAGTCTTATTAGTAAGTGAATGTTTTGTAATAGTTCTGCTGGCCAGACATCCTGTACTCAGTGTGCAGTAGGGACGTACAAGACAGGAAGTGGAGCGGGCAGCTGTTCGCCATGTGATGCTGGGTACGAGTGTCCTACAACCACTGCAAGTAAGTTTATAAAGGGAAACTCTACCTGTATTTTAATGCTACTTAGATGATCATACTAATAATTTAATAATATATTGAAGAATATTTCAGCTGGTGTATTTCTTATTTTTGGATATCGATCATCACCTTGATGACAACAATTAATGCAATTTATTTAAATATTTCACTATCAGGATCTGCATGCAGCAGTGGATACTACTCACTGGGAGGAAACACAGCCTGTATTCCCTGTCCAGGGGGTTATTCATGTGCCAGTACCAGCTCCAGTCCTGTGTTATGTACAGCAGGAAACTACGCCAACAATGCCAGCACTTCCTGTACGCCATGTGCTGCTGGATATTACTGTCCTACTGATGGCATGTCTGAACCTCTGGCTTGTCCTACAGGCTTCTTCCAAACCAGTACAGGCCAGACAAGCTGTACACAGTGTGGACAAGGTAAAAAATCTTATGAGGAATGGAAAAAACAGAAAACAGTTGATTAGAGTTTTGTTACATGTAATGTATGTTGTTTTATCATTAATCTTGGAACTTACTTTGTCAACAGGTTATAAATGCCCAAACAAGACTGTGACCCAGGAAGCTTGCCCCAAGGGAGAGTACCAAGATGGCAGAGGGATGGAATCTTGTAAATCTGTAAGTTGTCACAATAAATGCATAAAATTTTGGGTAAAAAATGTTTTTTTTTAGAAGTAAAAAAGAAAATATTTATATTGTATTGTTGGATTTATTATTGTAGTGTCCCTCTGGTTACTATGCCGACACTACAGGTAAGGTGACCTGTACCATTTGTCCCGCTGGGTCCAGCTGTTCTGATCCCACTGTAGCTCCTGTGGCCTGTCCTAGTGGCCAGGTAGGTCTAATCATACTCAATAATATGAAAGTTGATTTTCTTTTGTAAAAAGCAAATTTTAATCTGTACTTCTGTACTTGTATAAACTTTTAAAGCATTGTAAACTTCTAGTGTAACATGTAAATCCATTGTCAGAAATTTGATGTTCTGTGAAGAGTGTTTTTATACCCCCGCTCCGAAGGAGAGGGGGGTATACTGTTTTACCCTTGTGTGTCTGTCTGTCTTTCTGTCCGTCCGTCTGTCTGTCTGTCCGTAACAAACTTTGGTCGCAGTTTTCTCAGCAACTACTTATCACAGGTGCTTGAAATTTTAACACACTCTTTGTTTAGGCATGCCATATGGTGGGATTCATTTTTATATGAATTCGATGTCAACTTCCTGTTTATCCATGCGTTTGTCCGTACCATACATAACAAATTTTGGTCGTAGTTTTCTCAGCAACTACTCATTGCAGATGCTTGAAATTTTAACACAATCTTTGTTTAGGCATGCCATATGGTGGGATTCATTTTTGTACGAATCCGATGTCAACTTCCTGTTTATTCGTGCGTCTGTCCGTACCACACATAACAAATTTTGGTCGCAGTTTTCTCAGCAACTACTCATCATAGGTGCTTGAAATTTTAACACAATCTTTGTTTAGGCATGCCATATGGAGGGATTCATTTTTGTACGAATCCGATGTCAACTTCCTGTTTATCCGTGCGTCTGTCCGTACCATACATAACAAATTTTGGTCGTAGTTTTCTCAGCAACTACTCATTGCAGATGCTTGAAATTTTAACACAATCTTTGTTTAGGCATGCCATATGGTGGGATTCATTTTTGTACGAATCCGATGTCAACTTCCTGTTTATCCGTGCGTCTGTCCGTATCACACATAACAAACTTTGGTCGCAGTTTTCTCAGCAACTACTCATCACAGGTGCTTGAAATTTTAACACACTCTTTGTTTAGGCATGCCATATGGTGGGATTCATTTTTGTACGAATCCGATGACAACTTCCTGTTTATTCGTGCGTCTGTCCGTACCACACATAACAAATTTTGGTCGCAGTTTTCTCAGCAACTACTCATTGCAGATGCTTGAAATTTTAGCACAATCTTTGTTTAGGCATGCCATATAATAGGATTCATTTTTGGAATAAATCCGATGTCAACTTCCTGTTTATCCGTGCGTCTGTCCGTACCATACATAATAAATTTTGGTCGTAGTTTTCTCAGCAACTACTCATTGCAGATGCTTGAAATTTTTTCTTTGTTTAGGCATGCCATATGTTGGGATTCAGTTTTTACAAATCCGATGTCAATTTCTTGATTATCACTGTGTTTGTCCATAACTGAACTTGTGTATTCACATCAGAGCGGGGGTATTATTAGTGAGCATTGGCTCACAGACTTCTTGTTGTTGTGTTCATTTACAGTAAAAAATAATTGACATCACCTTATCTTTCAGTATTCCCTTGCTGGTGCCACGTCCTGCACTACATGTCCTGCTGGCTATGCATGTTCATCAGGAACCCAGACAGCCTGCACTGTAAGTATAAGGAGATTACACGTGTCATAGATTTAGAGCTTCTTCTATATTTCACTTTGAGCATGAATTTATACATTGTATACTTATTTGCAAATTCAGCACTTGTAATTTATGTTGTTGTATTTTACTCAGAATGGACAATACTCCAACGGAACTCACTGTTTGGACTGCCCAGCTGGTACATACTGTGCCTCCCCAACTCTAGGCAGTGTGGTCTGTAGTAATGGTCAGTACCAGCCCAGCACAGGTCAGACTTCCTGTCTCCAGTGTCCCAGCGGTCAATCCTGTTTGGATAAAACAGCCTCACCTGTAAATTGTGTTGCAGGATATTTCAGCTTGGCTGGGGAGGAAACATGCACTGTAAGACTTATTGAATGTGTACATGTATTTTATTCAATTAGATATGTAGTAACTTTCATATTTTCATTATGAATTCTTAAATAGTAGAGAAACTTCATTTCCTTTTTATACAAATTGTTACTAGTAGGATTTTGTTTCTAAATCTGTTGTAAATGATGAATGTCTTCTCCTTCAGAAATGTCCCGATGGCTACTACAGTGCTGCCCAGGCTGGCTCCTGTACACAGTGCCCCGCTGGACAGAAATGTTTCGATGGATCAAACTTTATTTCGCCTACTAACTGTAATGCAGGGTACTACAGTGCTTTGGGACAGACTACATGTACAATCTGTGAAGCAGGTAAGTTGTCAAACATTTTTATCAATGTTCATGATAATGTCATGTGTGTATTGTGCAGTATTGTATAATGCCTCCCACCCCACCCTTATTTAGATCAATTTCTCCTTCATAAAGTGCTTTATCTGTAGTTCAAACATAAAAAAAAATAAATTAATAAATGGATAGAATTAGAGATAAAGGTTAAAAAATAACTAAGTTTTTGCTCTGCAAGTGGACATTCTATACAATGTCAAGATAGAAATACATTGTAAGAAAGCTTGCCAAAATAAAAAAATACATGTAATTATAGAATTTGCTGAAATAAGTAATGCATGTGTACAGTTATTTAATGATTACTCAGTGAATTAGCATTGTAGGTCATTTTAAATTTTTTCACTGACATACATGATTGCAGGGTCTTGCTAACAAACAAGCTTTCATATTGATAGGAGAAAATGCTAAATTGATACCAAATGATGGTCAAATGTTTTGAAATGAATATAGGATGGAACTATTTATATGTTAATTTCACCATGCAATCTTCATTAGACATGGATGATTAACAAATGTATGGTACTTTAACATAACAGTGAAATAAGGTTTGTTAGCAAGTTTTAATTTTTAAGACGAGGATAATTTTCTTCTATGTGTAGAACATCCCATTTTTGGTAAGGAGTCTGAGAAAAAATATGTTGGCATTATGCACATGAAATCACAACAGCTTTTCTTCTTCTGTTAAAAATTTTAATTTACTGATCAAGATTAAATGTGTACCATGTAATTGAATGCAAAATAGAGCTTTTAAATTTGAACAATTAATGGATGTACCCATCCAGTAACACAATTATTCATAATTGTTGTGATAGTAGTTGCTCTAATAATCACATGACAATATTTTCTGTAGGATACACCAGCTCTGCAGCGGCCGCTTCCTGTTCCCAATGTTCAGCCGGATTTCAGTGTCTGGATCCTACCAATCCAGTTGCTTGTACAAGTGGTTATTACAGCCTGTCTGGAAAGGCAAGAATGAAATAGAAATATTCTCATCCATTCACTTGAGTTTGTTTCTCTGAAATGATGGACCTTTAATACTATATCATGAATTTTGTTAGAACTCATGTTAATTTCATTTCTTAATTGTTTTCCTGCAGACAACTTCATGTACTCAGTGTCCAGCTGGATTTTCCTGTAGTGCAAACAATGTTTCCCCTGTAGCATGCCCCAGTGGTACCTACTCCAATGCTGGACAGACATCCTGTACAGCATGTCCAGCTGGTTCAACTTGTGATGGAGGGTCACCTACTAGTTGTGGGACAGGATATTACAGTCCTTCAGTAAGAGGCCTAACTTGTTACTATTGAATATTATCAAAATGATATTGATGGTCAAAGTAAATTATTATCTCTCATTGACAAGTTGCACTTTCATTGATTAAAATGTGACATATTCCTGCTGGCTATATTTCTGTTTCTAGCAAGCAGGAATAAAATACAGCCACATGGCTGATGCCCACCTAGCCATCTAAATGTTAGGGATCTTTTATTATCATGTGCATGTCTATTTTATACATTATGAAAATGTCCAATCTTTGCCTTCTTTTGATGAGTAAAGACACACATCATTACATTTGTTCTAAGTGTGAGATAAATAATCTGTGCTTTAATTGCAGGGTTCTGGCTGCAGTATTTGTCCTGCAGGTTCTGAGTGCAGTGGTAGCACAGCCACTCCATGTAGCTCTGGATACTACAGTCTGTCAGGAGAGATGAATTGTACCATATGTCCAGCTGGTAAAATGTGTCCCTTCCCCTCCATCTCTCCCATCAACTGCCCTAGCGGAACCCACACACAGAACTTGGAAGGACAGACGTCATGTACTGATTGTCAGGCAGGATTTTACTGTCCAGCTAATGCGTAAGTTTGTGGACCTCTGCACAAGGATGGAAGGTTGCCAAATTTTCATAAAAACAATAATTCTATATGTAGCATATTCCCAATGCACAAAAATTTAAATTATTGATGTTGATGATTAAAACTTAAAAATAATTCAACAAAATTTTTATGTTGGAAATGATAAAGTAAAACTGGAAATATATTTTTATTACAGCCCAAATCAGATTGCCTGTTCTTCTGGAGAATATTCCCTAGTAAAATCCACTTCCTGTACGGCTTGTCCAGCAGGCTACTCCTGTGCCACGACCTCAGCCTCCCCCACCGTCTGTGCTGCAGGCACGTACTCATTAGGAAGTGCTACCAGTTGTACAGACTGTGATCCTGGCTATGCCTGTCCATCCACTTCTTCCCTGTCAAACAGATACCCATGTCCTTCAGGTAAAGTAATAAAAAAAGAACCAGATACAGTAAAACCATTTTTTTACCCCGTAGAAGCCAAATTTTTGAAAATTTCTACAAATGTACCCAATTGTATATACCCTAAAACCTTGAAAATAAGCTGCGGCTTATTTTAAGTTTTGGTAAGAAAATGGGGGCTTATTTTCAAAACCGTCTTATTTTCAAATCGCGGCTTATTATCAAAACAAAAAACCGATAAGCGACGAGAGCATAATCACGGCTTATTATCTAAACAATAAATTATGATCGATCGGTTTTGAACTGCCACATTTGGCCGAGTATAATATGCACGGCTATCGGACATACTGTAGCATTACCAACAGACATAGACAATTTCTTGTTGTTTACTGCTATATTTAAAACCTTAGTAAATTATGATAAGAACGTAAACTTGTTGAAAATGTTCAATTTATAATCTGTTGATGGTTAAATGATATTGGAAAGCGCGTTAAAATTAATTATAGCTGCATATTCAAGCCGCCATATCACGATGTTATTTATAGACGTTTACACATTCCTTTGCCACGTGCTTGCGTAATGTACCAAATCAGTCTGACACTCTGTTTTCAAAAAAAAAAAGAAGCAATTTATAAGTTTATTTTGATTTTAAATAACTCAGTGGAAATTTCATGTAAACACCCCGTATACGTCCCAATTAAAGCCATTGTTGTGAAGGAGTGTACATGTTTGTTTAATAATTTTCTTATTACCTCTATTATCAATGGCTTTGATTATTTTCATTGATATAATTGGGGTCGATTTATAACTTTCGTCCATTATAGTAATTTAAAAAAAGAAATATCAAGTTTTTTGAAACTTAATTATTAAAATAACTCGAGCTCTGTTGAAAATAAGAGATTACTGCAATGCACACAGTCATGATTACCGTTGCTAAATAAAGATTTAAGTCGATTTTATGAAACTGACAAGATGAAATCCCGCGCAAGCGCGGGGAATTGAATTTATACCTGGTCCACTACCGACAGAGTATATTGTAGTTTCTACTGACACCCTACAGGCTTATAGCAGGAAGAATTACTTTGTTCAAAATCCCGCATGAAGTAAATGTTCGTCTTCATCCCACCCACCCCACCCTTTTTGTAAAAACTTGAAAAAATAACAATTTCATTAATTGAAGTTTATTGTGAAACCTGTTATATTTTGTTATGGATATTGTACTTCAGATGCTCTTTTTTCATTTCCATTAAGGATAAAAGCAGCGAATATGAACAGTAAATACTGATAAATTGATTTGGGGGGGGGGGGGGGGTTAAAAATTCACAAGTACTTGGATCTTGGTTTATAAATATGTATGTACCTTATTGATATGTAAAAATGTACTATTCATTTTTTACTTATCAATAAGGTATTAACATATTTATAAACCAAACAAAATACCTGTATAAAAATTAGGTTTTAACGCCCTATAAATATGCTGAGTATTCAATATAAAAGATTGTATTCAGAAAAAAAGCTGAAATGTATTGATTAAAGAACAGAATTTTACAGCTTTAATTGTATTTGAACAATACCTTATTCATTAATTTTCTCTTTTCATGTAAGCACGTTAATTACGAAGTACAAATTGTACTTCGGGTTCGTTGCCACGATGCTCTCATTAATGAATATATAGGAATTTTACCGTTAAATTTATTAGGAAAACCTACTACATATATGTAATAGTCTTTAAATATATAAATATTATAATCTATAAATATATTCACAACTTATAGTGTTATCAATGATTTACCATTATTTCATGACCATTTACACAAGTTTTTTTTAATGTTCATGCAGCTATAATCGCCTCGTTTTTCTTTTTATGATCGGGCTCGATGCTACATGATGTTCTAGAAGCTTCCGTCAATATTAAAATCGGTGAATGACGAAAATAATTTGCATATTTAGCTTTTTAATCGGTTATTACAACTTGTTTCCTTTATATCATTTAAATAAAGTTTTGATTGAATAATTCAGTGATGATTTTTTATGAAATAAATAAACGATTGCTTGTTGTCAGTTTCATTAAAAATTGCCAGAAACTTAGATCCGCCAACCGGAAACGCCACCGTACTCGCGTTTTTGCTATTTCATGGCTGTTTATAGAAAATGAAAGTAGACTTTTAATTTAATGTACGAAACTTACTATGCAATTGAAATCTAAATATAGTTTACGAACATCATCTTGTATATAGTGTATTGTTAGAGAAGTAAGTAAGAACTCTGGTGCACCCGTTTTGGAGTTTATTTCTAAAATTTATTAATTTATAAGTATAGAAGTTCAACAGTTTCTCGTGCATTGTTGAAATAAAATTATTTCTGCGAGGATAAAGATGACATGTAATGAATGACAAGATTTCTGTGAGCTAAAAAGAAAATAATAGTGCTTTAAAATCTTATACTTTGTTGAATAAAATTATTAATGTCATAGAATGTTTATTATAAAATAAAATATATTGTAATTAAAAATAACGCTGTGTTCTAAATGGAACTATCATTACCGGCTTATTTTCAAATCAGGCTTATTTTCAAGTAATTTTCAATGCAAGAAATAGGTGGCTTATTTTCAAAACCAGCTTATTATTAAATCCGGCAAATTTTCAAGGTTTTAGGGTATTGTATGATAAATCTGAATTAACAAAAATTATTGTAGTTTGGAAGCAGATTATCAGCAATTCTTGTTTCTTTGACTTCCCAAACTAGAGTAAAACACACTTATAGTGAACACACTTTTAATGATTCGCTTATAGCGAAGTGATTTTCATTCTCCTTGGGTTTTAAACATATTGTGAAGCTAACGGATCATCCTCGCAATGCCAGGGGTCCTGAGTCAACACATTGCCATTGGACCCCTGGCATATTTCATGCAATATTCGTGGGCTAACTGAAGCGACGACTTTTGGAAAAATCTTGATTGTTTTTCTTATCTCTCAACCAATCACATTAAGCCTTTCTATGATAAACAACTTGTAACACGTGCATTTGAGGTGTCAACTTGATCCTTATCTAACTATTTATGAAAGCTTTAATTTGATTGGTGCTTCTCAATGAGAGAAGCAAGCCCTAAAATATCTAATGAAATATGCCAGGGGTCCAACGGCAACGTGTTGACTCGGGACCCCTGGCATTGCGAGGATGCTAACGGATATAACAAATTATGTTTATAACGAAGCGAAATCGCCCGTCCCTGGCACTTCATTATAAGCGTGTTTTACTGTATTTGGATTTTCCCATTACTTTCAAGAAAGAGTAAAAAGTGGACAAAATTCAATTCTGAGTGTAGAATTTACTGAGTTCAGTAATTTTGGAAATTTTAATTATTTTATTAGGGAGTCACTCCGTTGGTGCCCAATCTTCCTGCACATTATGCACTGCTGGTAAAGCTTGTGCATCTACCACATTAAACACAGAAACTCCCTGTAGTGCAGGAGAGTATGCTTTTGCTGGGTCAGCCACCTGCACAGCATGTGAAGCTGGATGGGAGTGTCCTAATGTAGATGGTAGTCAGAATGCCCAGTGTCTGCCAGGAACTTACTCTGTTGGAAGTCAAACATCATGTACCCAATGTGTTGCTGGGAAAGCTTGCCCACTCACAAACAGTGCTTCTAGCATCACATGTACTGCAGGCTCATATGCTTTAGCTGAAAGTACCACATGTACTGAGTGTCCACCAGGGTATGAATGTCCATCTACCACAACCAACACAGAGACTAAATGTGCTGACGGATTCTACAGTGAAGGTAGACGTGCTGCATGTGTGCAGTGCACAGCTGGTTACGAGTGTCCGACAATTTATGACAGCTACTCAGTGGTGTGTGCTGCTGGTTATTATTCCCTAGCCGGAGCCAAAGAATGCACTGTATGTCCTGCCGGAGAGGAGTGTCCTTCCACCACGAGTGCAGGGACAGCATGCACAACTGGCTATTACAGTCTAGGTGGACAGACTACCTGTACAGAGTGTCCAGCTGGTTACTACTGTGCCAACAACAACCAAAAACCAGTCATATGTGGTGTTGGTAAATACAGTGCTGCAGGAGCTACCGTATGTTCTGATTGTGATGCTGGGTTCTTCTGTCCTGCAGGGAGCATTCAAAAGGACCCACCTTCCGCCATTTGTTCACTGGGATACTACTGTGAATTAGGAGCAACTGTTGAAACACCTTGTGATATGGGAACATATGGTGCAACAAAAGGACTCAAAGCAGCAGCTGAGTGCACTGACTGCCCACAAGGATTTTACTGCCCTGCAGGAACTGCTGGTGTACCAACCAACAGTCTTATATGTCCTAGAGGGCATTACTGTCCAACTAAAACAGGAGATTACAAGGCTAGTCCATGTCCTCATGGCAAATTTTATAGTGGTTTGGGAGCAGTTAAAGTTGATGAATGTATTGATTGTCCTGCTGGAAGATACTGCCCTCCTGGAACAGATGATCCTATGTATGATGGGTATATTTGCCCCAGAGGATCTTACTGTCCACAAGGATCAGGAACAGCACCAATAAATTGTCCAGCTGGTAAATACACAGAGGAAGAAGGGGCAATAGGATTGCAGAGCTGTAAATCTTGCCCTGCTGGACATTACTGCCCAGCTGGAACCCATACACCAACACCTTGTAGTCCAGGAAAATTCAATGAATATACAGAGAGAGGAGCAGCCACAGATTGCCAAGACTGTATTGCTGGACAAGCCTGTACTAAACATGGACTAGCGAAACCAGATTATCCATGTTCACCTGGTTACTACTGTCCAGGAGGAAACCATCTACCCAACCAACCAGAATATGCCTGTCCTGCTGGAACATTCACCGACTTTAAGAACCTGACAGCCCAGTCTCAGTGTGAGACCTGTAGATCAACCAAAGCCTGTCTGGTGGGAACCGGAGGACAGCAGAAACCACCGGTTCCCTGTGGTCAAGGCCACTTCTGTCCGGATGGAACAGCTTCTCCTACTCAATATCCCTGTCCAGCTGGAACTTACACCAACTTGACCAATCTGTACAAAGTGGAGCAATGTACCATCTGTCCCCGGGGCTGGTACTGTTTGGAGGGATCGGCTACCCCCACTGATTTGTGTGCTAAGGGACATTGGTGCCCTGATGGTAAGAATCAAAAGTCTGTAAATCTTCAGAATTATTGATATATTTTCTCTTCAAATGAAATAATAATTTTTAAAAATAATATTGGACTTTAATATTCTTTCAAATTTTTACAATTAAACTATTTTAACTTTCAAAGAAATCTGTATAATTCTCTGTTCGTTTCTGCAGTATTTAGAATGATTTTAGAAACAGTATTATTCAAATACATATAGTTATGTCAATTTACATTCATTGTGTTTATATATGATTAACAGTGGAATCATTTTAACTTGTGGGGGTCATTTGCTGGCAATAAATATTATACTGGTTTGTGGGACCGTAGTTGTATATATACACAAGAATCAGTGAACCACTGTGGAGAATTTAGTTAGTGTGACCCACAAAATTCACGAACATTGGTTCCTCCTTAAACAGTGATTTCACGTTATCTTTGAGATACATATGTGAAATGATTGTGAAGTTTCACATGACTTTTTTTTGATATACTCTGTTTTAAGATATTATTTTGAGTGTTACTTGTTTACTTTTATAAATGATATGCAAATTTAAAAAAAATTGTTTTAGAAATCAGATCCTTAACAACTGTGAAATCACTAATATTTGTGGGGTTTAATGTTTGTTGTTTTGTGGTTTGAAGAGATCCACAAATTCATGTCCTCCATGAAATCAAATCTCAAAGAACCAATAGTTTTTTCCACGATTAAACCACAAAAATTTGACTCCAGGAAAATAAGTGATTTGACAGTACATCCCGTAATTATTCATCTGAATGTTACCATACTTAAATAAATGTAAATTGTCTCAAAAGCTATTGCTAAAAAAAAAGGGGGGGGAAAAGTAAAAATGATGATTTCAATGTGCTTTATATTTAAGTATTAATTAATTAACATTCCATATTTGACCATCAGAATTCATGTATTTTGAAATAAAAAAGTTCACTTAACACTTTATAATGTCCAATTTATTCATTCTTAATTTTACATTTTCACTTTTGGCATATATTATTTTACATTGTTTGAACGTAATGAATATAAAATCCCTTGTCCACTGATTACCAGTACATCGTTGTGTTGAAAGTGGCCCATTGTTACCAGTGGCATTAACCATATTCCTTATATTATCACCCCATGATTTTCCAATATGTAGTCGGATCCAGTGAGTATATCCAGAAATTATTGTTGTCGTAAATTCCAAGGTGATAGATTTTCAGAATTGTCTCTAAATGAGCATGAAACCAGCATGATTTATATTGAGAGAAGTCTTTTTTAAGATGATTGGTACATGGATTCATTGTTGGTGCTAGTATATTTTTAATTCTTTCCTGTATGCATGTTTACCCACAGAATCCCCAAAGAACCTGTCCTTAATGTCTCTTGTCCAAGATAAAGCTATAGAACCTAGTTTTTTTTTTTTGCAAAATCAGGGTTGTAAAATTTTATTTTATTTGCAGTTATTTTATTCGCAACATAACAAAAGGAATTAAATTAAGGAAAGACTTTATGTGCTAGATAATCAAAGGACTTATGATCAAAATTATTACCGTTCCTTTATTTTCAATATTGACTGAACATCAAAAACACTAAGTATATGATAATCAAATGTAAACATAGCTACTGGTATATCTTTTTCAGATAGATATAAGTATAGAACCAAAAAACTGCTATAAATAGTTTAACTTAGCTTTCAATTTATGAAGTTATGTTTATTTCTATAATTTTTGGAGACTTTTGCTTATTTCTTACCTCAGACAAGAGAATGCATGTGGATATTTGTAAATGTTTGCATGGATTTAATTGTTATGAAGGATGTTATTTTGGACAAAATTATATAAATTTCATGCAACTTTAAATTGAGCCATGCTTAAACTAATTTTCCACACTGCCTGATTTTAATTGATAAATTCTGTGATGTATAGGTACACCAACAGCCACTACTAACCCTTGTCATGCTGGGTCCTACAGTAACAAGACGGGGAACACAGCCTGGGAGCAGTGTGATGATTGTCCCGAGGGTCACTACTGTCCCCAGGCATCTGTACTACCCACAGCCTGCCCAGCGTAAGTTCTTATTTTCACACATTACAATTCTATCAGACAGAAAGGCCTCTTTGTAACATCTGCTGCTGCTTCGTAAAAGGATAAATAATGAAAGTTTTTAGTGTTTTGTCTAGTTGAAAATAGTTAAAAGCTATTTTAAATAATTTAATATGTAAATTTTCACACCTATGATTGTTTTTTTACAGTGGCAAATACAACAATCAGATCAAGGGTGAGAACATCACGTACTGTGTGGACTGTACTGCTGGATATTACTGCCCGGGAACTGGTAATGTGGACCCCATCATCTGTGACAAGGGGAATTACTCTGACTCTGGAGCCTCGGCCTGTACGACGTGTGAGGCAGGCTACTACTGTAATCTGAATGCCACCAGTATGACTTACATGTATAGTGACCGAATCTGTCCAGCAGGTCTTGAGTGTCCACCAGGAATGACTAGGGCTCCAGAACTTGTCCAGGATAAATGTCGCAAAGGTCACTACTGTCCAAAAGGAGATGTAAACCCTTACCCAGTGCCTTGTCCTAATGGAACATTCAATGCAGAATACGGCCTTAAACAGGTATCAGAATGTCAACAGTGTACACCAGGTATGTACTGTATACCAGAGGGATTGTCTTCTCCTGCTGGGGACTGTCCAGGAGGTTATTACTGTCCACTTGGTACAGCTGCACCTGATTCTTATCCTTGTCCCATTGGATTCTACAGGAATGGCTCAGCAAAGGAGTCATTCCAAGATTGTGCTGAATGTATTTCTGGTTATTACTGTGATAGAGAGGGACTAGCCATTCCCATTGATTGTCCTGCTGGATCTTTCTGTGTCAGTGGAAGCACTTTCCCACAGCCCTGTGCCCTGGGAACCTACAGCAATTCCACAGGTCTACGTAGGAGTACCGACTGCACCCCTTGTCCTGGGGGTTATTATTGTGATGGTATTGGACGAACTGCTCCGACAGATGTGTGTGATCCAGGATTTTACTGTAGAGAAAAGGCCTACTCCTCAGCCCCTCCTGATGGCCTCACAGGAGGACTGTGCCCTGCAGGAGGTTACTGTCCAGCTGGATCTGCCACGCCTACTTCCTGTCCTGTAGGGGAGTACAGTAAAAGTCCTGGAGCTAAGACAAAGTTTGACTGTATTCCCTGTGACCCTGGGTATTATTGTGCTGGTTCTAGTAGTACTTCAGCCTCATCCATGTGTGCTGCAGGATTTTATTGTACTGGGGGATCAGGAGTCCCAACCCAATATTCCACACCTGCTGGTCACTACACAAAAGAAGGAGCCTTTAAACCAGAGCCCTGTCCAGCTGGTCAATTCCAACTGGCCAAAGAGTCATCACAGTGTGAATTGTGTAGTCAAGGTTACTACTGTAATGGGACTGGTACAGTTGATCAGATTCTGTGTCCAAGAGGATATTATTGTCCTGAAGGCAGTAGCTATCCTACACCTTGTCCTCGAGGAACATTCCTGAAGGATACTGGAAAGTATGAAGAAGCTCACTGTGATCCCTGTACCACTGGTTATGCCTGTGATTCTGTAGGACTTCCTGAGGCTGTGACTCCATGCTCTGCAGGACACTATTGTACTTTAGGATCTAACATGACTGACCCTGTTGGGCAAACTTTCGGTGACTTCTGTCCTCCTGGCTATTATTGTCCTGAGGGCACTGGAGACTATCAGCATTACCCTTGTGCAAATGGAACATACAGTGCTTACACAGGTTAGTATCTATAGTTGACCTCTTTCAAATCCATGTTATGAAAATTAAAGACAAGTAGTTAACTTAACAAATTGAACATATTGTGTATAATATTATTTATGTTGACATATTAATACAGTACTAAGCTCTTTTGTGTCCATTGATAGGTAACATGGGAGAGAGTAACTGTACTGCTTGTGATGGTGGTAAAGCTTGTGTTGGAGCTGGTCTGACTGCTCCTAACAGGAACTGTTCAGCTGGTTATTACTGTAAGTCAGGGGCATACTCCGACACCCCAATGGATGGAGGAGCCACAGGTGATCCATGTACAAAGGGTCACTACTGTCCTGAGGGGACCAGTACTCCTCTGGCCTGTCCAGCAGGGTCCTACATGAACACCACAGGGTACTCCTACTGTTTCGACTGTCCTGCAGGATTTTTCTGTGTTTCGGGAGAAGTGGACCCCTTGAGGTGCCCCAGAGGAAGATATTGCCCTGGCAACACTACAGCTGACCAACCTCCCTGTCCTACAGGCACATATAACCCTGATTATGGTCAGTACAGCAAGCTGTATTAATGTTTACTTTAAAGTGTGATCATTACTGGGTATTTAATCAGTTCTGTGAATTGTGCACAATGCACAGAATTTGTTATATGAAAGAAAATTGTACTAATGAATTATTTTAGAAAATATTTTCATTTACTTTCTCTTTCAAGAAAAAGAATAGTTGTATTATAATAGTACATGTATCACATGAATGGCTAACTGACGAAAGTATTTGTTTTTTTTCAACAGGAATGACCAAGGAATCAGACTGCCTGCCTTGTTCTGGGGGATACTATTGTTACAAACTTGGTGCCATTAATTTTGATTTCAGCTTGAATGACACAGGAACAGGACAGTGTGCTGCAGGCTATTACTGCAAATCAGGTACACTATCAGAATTCTGATCAAATTTCAGAAATGGAAGAGAACGGAAATGAGATTTACAAATGTAAATTTGATAAATGTTTATCAAAGAACTTTTACTCACTTTAAACTTTTAACTTTGTAATTTTAAAGAATTCTGCTAGCTATCCCCTCACCTGCACAAAATCAAACAGGAGTGGATACTTTGTTTTGTTCTGCTTATTAGTCATTTTCCTGCATATCACTGCAAAACTTGAACATGGAGCATGACCTTTAAATAATATTTATGTCTCCAAAATTTCATTAAAAGGGAAAGAGATATGTTTTTACTTTTTGGTTGCTATTTTTCCAACAACTCAATCTTGTCTTCATTTTTAATTCTTCATGATAGGGACTTCCTTTGTGAACAAAGTTAAGGCAATCAGTCAAAGTTCAGAAGGACTCTGTATTTTGTTTCACCATTACTTACTGTTTTATAGGAGTAAATGTCAGTACCCCCACACCTGCTACAACCAGTGGTATTGGAGGCCCATGTCCCCCGGGATTCTACTGTCCAATACAAACAGAGGATCCTGTCTCCTGTCCCAATGGAACATACAGAGACCTACCCCAGGGAGAGAAAGTTGCTGATTGTTGGCCATGTAAGCTGGGACATTACTGTGGAACAAAGAATCTAACTGATGCTACAGGACCATGTGACAAAGGATTCTACTGCTACAGAGGAAACAATGTGCCTACACCATTAGGTAAACTGTGATAAAGATCTCTGATGAAATTATCTTACGAATGAAATGTTGAGTATCCTCTGGAAGTTTTGTAAGAATTGTGTTTTTAAAGACTTTGTTTCATATAAATTCTCATATTGCCATTTTTGGCTATTGGAAAGAATCAGGGTGCATGGTGAGATTGCAAAATGAGTAGAAATTGTACAGTAAAACTTGTTGAATCCGGATGTTGTGCATTCCGGCACGTTGTTCAGTCCGGCGTAATATTTTAGTCCCAAGAATTTTCTTTATAATTTATGTTTAATAAATGTTGTTCAATCCGGATCTTGCCTATTCTGTAAACCGGCCGCTATTTGAAGAACTAACTGCTCATAATTAGTACAAATTATCTCCTCTAATCCGGCCACTTATTTTTACCTGTGCCCGCTGGTTATTACCGAAGTCTTGTGTGGGGTAATTATTGTCCCGTTAATGATCTCTCCTTTATCGACAGTTTAGATTTTAACAAACGCGATAAATAAATCATTAATTGCTCAAGTAAGGCGATGGTTGCGTGTAGCATGTCTGTAGAAAAACTTGGAGACTTATTCATGACCTCCTTTCTACTTTCGTTTTGCGTGCACGACGTTGCAATTCGAATTACTTCCCTTTGTGTCGCTAGTTTACAACGACCATAACGACAGAAGATTTTTTTCCAATATTCATCAAAACATTTGAAATTAACAAATACAGTGTCAAAATATTCAAACATATTAATTTTAAAAGAAAGAAATTAATTAGCAATCTGTCCCTAACAAAATAATATTTACAGCTACGATGAGGTTTTGGAGTGTGTTTAAAATATTTAACGATTTTCAAATTTAATAAATGACCAAGAGATATCATATTTCGTTACTGAATAAAAAACTTTAAACAGAAATGAAAATTCTGAAAAACAGAGCAAACGAAACAGATGATTTTTTCAAGTGAAACGTTTGATCAAGTATTTATTTACCACTCTTTGTTTATATCTATGTAATTTTTATCTTGCTATAACGGTTCAATTTTCTCCAATCCGGATGTTGTCTAATCCGGCCAAAAATTTTGGAACCACTGGTCGCCGGATTAGACAAGTTTTACTGTAATAACCAGACTGTGACATTAATGATTATGTTTTATACAGGGGATCAGCCTGATGTAGGAGGTCCATGTCCGGTTTCTCACTACTGTCCAGAAGGAACATCCACCCCTCTGGCCTGTCCCTCAGGCACATACAACAATCTGACTGGGCAGTGGAACTGTACAGAATGTCCTGCTGGCTTCTACTGTAATGAAAACACAACCTCCTATGAACCCTTCCCATGTCCCACTGGATATTATTGTCCCAATGGAACCAAGAATGCCAATGAGTATCCTTGTCCCAAGGGCAGTTACCGTGACACTTTGATGGGACAGAGTGAATCAGATTGTCTCCCTTGTACAGCTGGAAACTACTGTGGAACACAGGGCCTCAGTGCTGTGTCAGGACAGTGTACTGCAGGTAAGTTACAGGATAATGTTTAATTACTATAATAGGATATGAAGTAACTATAGCTGTTATGATATAATCATTATTATTTTTAATAAAATGATGATTAATGTTCCATCTGTGGTTTGCAGGATATTTCTGTGTCCTTGGTGCCTGGTCAGCCACCCCTACAGACTACAACAATTTTACATCAGGAGACTGTCTGTGCCCAGCTAACAGCACTGGGGGGATATGTCAGCCTGGTTACTACTGTCCCACAGGATCCAGGGAACCCACATTGTGTGATGAAGGACATTACTGTAACACACCAGGTAAATCTAAACAACTTATAATTCTGTATAAAACAGTAACACCAAATATTATTATGTGTAAAAAATGAGGGATATAATTGACAAAATGGCTGGTTTAAACTCTTGTGTACAAGTACATTTCTATTATATTTGTTTTCTAGGTTTGGCCACCACTGCCGGTCAATGTCAGGCTGGATACTACTGTGCAGGACGCGCTGACCGCCAGGATCCTACTGATGGAGTAACAGGAAATATCTGTCCACCAGGCAGATATTGTGGTAGGTTTTACACACATATACGTACAAAAATACAAATATATTCTCAAAGTTGTAAATCTTCCTTACATTTAAAGAACTGTAACATAGTTATCAGTAATCATTTTAACTAGCATTTTCTCATAATTTTATTTTACAGGAGTTGGAACCACAAGCAATCAACCAAAATGTCCAACAGGCACCTTTTCGAATAAGACAGGAAATACTTTGTCATCAGATTGCACACCGTGTACTCAGGGATACTACTGCCAGAATGAGGGTCTGACAGAACCCACTGGGCCTTGTGATGCAGGTAGGATTTGTTTGATGGAATGTCACAAGTAATGCTTCAAAAAATACCCCAGTACATGTTATGATTATTGAACCTTAATAAATGTTGGGATACATCTTTAAATGCAATTTTTCAGGATACTATTGTCCTACTGGTCAGAACATAAGTAACCCATTTGTTTGTTCTGCTGGATTCTACTGCCCAGTGGGAAGTTTTGAACAGATCAAATGTCCATCTGGTCAATACCAGGACCAGCAAGGCCAGTCGTCCTGTAAAACGTGTCCACCAGGTCTGTATCTCATCACAGATTGTGTTGGGGGGAGGTACCTTGTACATATATACATTTATAGTACATGTATTAAAAGGTAAAATCATCATTCATTTCCTTACAAATAAAATGATTTACAGATACATAAATTTTACTGATGCAATATTTTTTTTTTAATTTTAGGCTATTACTGTGACATTGCTAACTCCCCTGTAACTACCTATTCCCCCTACCCCTGTCCACAGGGTCACTATTGTCCTAATGGTACAGAGTCCAGCACTCACTACCCCTGTCCAGCAGGAACCTACAATCCATACACCAAACTTCGAGATGTCACGGAATGTACATCTTGTGATGCCGGGAAGTATTGTGGAACTAATGGACTTACTGCAGTCACTGGTCAGTACCCAGAAGTTTACAATTATGTTGCTGTTTTTGAAAAGTGTATAATCTAATTATTGCATTTCAACTATCTCGATATTTAGCAGTACATAGCACATAGTTGTCCTTTATTAAAGAAGATATAGCTGCAATAGAATATGGATGTATTATTTCCATTAGAGTACAGCAACTCTTAATAGTAATATTGAACTTATATGTAATTCTTATGATTATCATGCATTTGATTTCAATAAAGAGAAACTTTCTAACTATTTCTTTTCTTGTTAAATAGGTGACTGTTTGGCTCAGTACTGGTGTATTAATGGCTCTTCTACTTCGACACCCACTGATGGGGTCACTGGTCAACTATGTCCAGCTGGTCAGTACTGTGTACAAGGAACTCCTGTCCCAACCCCTTGTCCACTAGGTAATGCCACCTGATATCTAAGATTTGATGAAGTTATTTGATCCACAGGTTATAAAGGTTCTGTGGTTTAAATGCTTTGCTACTTTTAGTTAATAACTTCTGTTCCCAATAATCATATCAAACATTTTGAACATTGAAAATTAAATCTTGATGTACAATATAGGTACATGGTCCAACAGTACTGGTCTGGCACTGGCTGGAGAATGTACTGACTGCTCAGGAGGGCAATATTGTGACACCACAGGATTGACTTCACCCACAGGACCATGTTCTCCAGGGTACTACTGCTCAGGAAAATCCATCACAGCCACACCCAATGACACCACAACTGGAGACCCATGTACAATAGGACATTACTGCCCAGAGGGCACTGCCGTCCCAATCCCCTGTCCAGATGGGAAGTACATGACTAACACTGGTGCTGCTGAATGCTGGAACTGCACACCAGGACATTATTGTATCACTGGTTTGACTCCTGATGATTGTCCACCTGGCTATTATTGCCCTGAAGGTACAGGGCAGATCTGGCAATCTTGCCCTCTAGGAACATTCAGTACTTCCACAGGCCTCTGGGATGCGGATAACTGTACACAGTGTACAGGAGGCTGGTATTGTGATAAACTTAATGCTACAACATTGGCTGGTAAATGTAATGCTGGATACTACTGTACTTCTGGATCGAACACACCATCACCAGATGTCAACAATACTGGGGTTGCTGGACCATGTCCTACAGGTCATTATTGCCCTCAACAGACCACCACACCTCTTCCATGTCCACTGGGAACCTTCAACAACCAGACTAAATTAACACTGCAATCAGAATGCACACCTTGTTCCTATGGAAAATACTGTGGCTCCACGGGTCTCACTGAGCCCTCAGGAGACTGCTGGGCTGGATTTTACTGTCTGCAGGGAGCTCAATCACCAAACAATCCAGTGGTAGATGCCACAGGAGGACCCTGTCCTATTGGCAGTTATTGTCCCAATGGAACCTCATATCCACTGGGATGCCCAGCAGGACAATACAATCCATCCACTGGACTGGCTGAATGTATACAATGTCCAGCTGGCTACTACTGCCCTGAAAATTCTACAAACTATGTAGGAAACGACTGTCCCAAAGGTCATTACTGCCTGCCAGGAACTGGTAGCATGAACCAATATCCATGTAGTATAGGTACCTATAATGACTATATAGGCAAGCAATCCAGTGCTGACTGTGTTCCTTGTGATCCAGGCAAGTATTGTGCTACACCTGGCCTCTCCCTCCCTACAGGGGACTGTATGGCAGGCTGGTACTGTGTGAGGGGGGCATCATCCAACCAGCCCACTGACATCACCACTTTTAACTACACCATGTCTTCCTGTTTCTGTCCTGTCAACCAGACAGGAGGGAAATGTCAACCAGGAGAGTATTGTCCAACAGGCTCAGATCAACCCCAGTCTTGTCTTCCAGGTCAGTGACATCTTCTCAACAATTTTTGACATTTCAAATTTTACAAATATCAGAAATAAAGTGTATACTCACTGTCATGTTGAAACTCTGATAAATATGGTATGTTTTGATTGCATATACAGATGACCTTGCAAATGGCACTAAAAAGTGAATCCTGTTCAATAAGCACATAAGGTACTAATCAGAATCTTTATGTTAAGCATGGAATATTTTTGATTTACAGGATACTACTGTAGCTCTGCAGGATTAGCCAATGTCACGGGGCCATGTGATGCTGGTTACTACTGCACACTGGGAGCAACACGATCAGACCCACAGAACGATGCCACCGGAGGCACCTGTCCTACTGGACACTACTGTCCACAGGGGACCGGAGTCCCTCAGGGCTGTCCCCCTGGTTACTTCTCTAATGCTACTGGGAATGTGGACTTCTCAGGCTGTAAACTCTGTACTGCAGGTATGAATTACAGTAAAGAAATTAAATACATCAGGAAACAATAGGGAAACTCTGTGAAACATTTAAATTGATTTCATATAATGCTGAGAAAATGCAGTTTCTTAAAAGGATAATTTTTGCTGGAACCTGGTATAATTGTTACAAAATTTGTAACTAATTATCTCTTGTTTATAAAGTTAAGAATTACCAGTTAAATTTCTTTTGGTTTTTTTTTTTAGGTTTTTACTGTGAGACAACTGGACTCTCAGCCCCTACTGGTGACTGTTCTGTTGGTTACTACTGTCCAGCTGGCCAAAATGTCAGTAACCCTACAGCTTATGTGTGTACCCCTGGTCACTACTGTCCTGCTGGAAGTCCTTCAGAGGTGTCTTGTCCCTCTGGCTCATACCAAAATCAACTAGGACAGGTAAATAAATGCCATTTCATTCTGTATATGTATCGTAGGGGATTATACATTGTAGTACTTTTTTAGTTTGTTGGCCATTATTAAACATTCATGGAAAACATATAACACTTAAGTTTATAACAATTATAAATCATTAGAATTTTTTCAAGCTTTGCTTATGTGGTTTTCTTTATATTAGGGAACTTGTAAGAACTGCCCAGAAGGCTATTATTGTGATGGCACTATACAAAACAGCACCTTCTGTTCCACTGGTGTCCAAAACCCAACATCTTGTCAACCTGGTTACTATTGTCCAAACGGAACCAAATACGCCACAGAGTTTGGCTGTCCTAATGGTACGTACAGTGACCAGTCTTACCTGAAGTTGGCTAGTGAGTGCATCACCTGCCCAGGAGGAAAGTACTGTGGACAGGAAGGTCTATCAGCCCCCTCTGGTGACTGCCATGGTGGCTATGTCTGTATACTGGGGGCCTACACTGCAACACCAACAGATGGCACCACTGGCAAGATCTGTGATCCCGGAGCTTACTGTCCTGTAGGATCCAATAGCACCACACTGTGCCCAGCTGGAACATACAGCCCCACACAAGGTAATGTGTTTTCAATTAATGATCCTGTAGAGCTTTTAAGCATGGCTTAAAAAAATATTTAGGCTGGAAAATTGAAAATTAAATCTGGTTAAGGTGAAGATAGGTTCTTATATTCAGTTAGGTTCAAACTTAACAAGACTCAGTATACTTGATTTACGCATATGTTTTCAAGCAGTATTGTTTTAGATGCATCACAGCATACTAAATTGCTGTCACAATTGAATACAATAACGTCACAGTTTAAATGACGTCAAACTGTGCTAAAATATCGTACAGTTCTTCCATGGGGTGCGCATATAAAAGCTTTTCTCTATTTTTGTGTTTTGCACATCTAGAGATGAATTTGCTAGTTTCATTATAAATAAAATAAAACAACAGATTTTTTGTTCTTGATTAGGAGGGGACAAAAGTCTTTATTTGATTTGTTAAAACATGTAAAAACTATAAACCTTTCTATTTCAGGTCTGCAGTACCTAACTGAGTGTACTGGGTGTACTCCTGGAATGTTTTGTCCAAACAGTGGAATGACAGCTCCACAAGGAAACTGTTCTGCTCAGTACTACTGTGCAGGTAATGCCACAACAGCCACACCTACCGATGGAGTGACCGGTAATGCTTGTCCAGTGGGACATTACTGCCCTGAGGGAACACCCACTGCCATTCCATGTGACCCAGGATATTACACAGACACCACTCTCAACTCTGTGTGTCAAATCTGCCCTGCTGGTAAATACTGTACAACAGGGTCTAACCCTCAGGCATGTCCAGCTGGGTTCTACTGTCCTGAGGGAACCGGACATGTCTGGCAAGCTTGTCCAGCAGGTACCTTCAACCCAAGCACAGGACTGTCAAATGTAACTGAATGCACTCAATGTACTGGAGGATTCTACTGTGATGTGACCAATCTGACAGCAGTGGCTGGTTCCTGTGCAGCGGGTTACTTCTGCAGAAGTGGATCAGATGATGAGACTCCAAGTGGTTCTACAGCGGGAGATGCTGGACCTTGCCCTATTGGTCATTATTGTATAGCACAGACTCAGGACCCAACACCATGTCCAGCTGGAACGTTCAACAACCGAACCATGCTCCAAGCAGAATCTGAGTGCCAACAGTGTACACCTGGATACTACTGTGAGGTTCCAGGTCTGGAGTACCCAACTGGAATTTGTAATCCTGGCTTCTTCTGTGCTGGAGGTTCAAATTCATCCAGTCCCTCTACCACTGATGCCACAGGAGGACCATGTCCAGCTGGTACCTACTGTCCAGCAGGAACCAGTGTAGCCATCAACTGTACAGCAGGAACCTACACTCTGACTGACCAGCAGTCTAACTGTACAACATGTCCTACTGGTTATTACTGTCCATCTGGAAGCAGCAGCATTACTGCCTGTCCTCAAGGTAGCTTCTGTTTGTTGTTTTTTGGTATTTTGAAAAAAAAAATTCAATACATTTTAAATTCTGGAAATGTTTTGAAGACATCTTAAGTCAGAAATAAATCTATTTCAGGTTACTACTGTCCAGTGGCCACGGAGTTTGCCTATCAATATCCATGTCCAAATGGTACATACAACAACATTACCGGAGCCCAGGATTCTAGTCTCTGTCAGATGTGCCCTCCAGGGGAGTACTGTCCTACCCCGGGGCTGGGCCTGCCGGCTGGGAAGTGTTCTGGAGGCTGGTACTGCACATCTGGTTCCTGGTCCAGTCAACCAGCAGTTCTGGGTAATGACACTGGTTCTACCTGTGACTGTCCAGCTCAGAGTATTGGTGGGAAGTGCCAGGCTGGTACCTTCTGTCCAGAAGGATCGTCAACTCCAACTTCCTGTCTTGGGGGACATTACTGTGATGTGGCTGGTCTAGATAATGTTACTGGAGAGTGTTTACCAGGTAATAATCAATTAAACTTTTTCAATTTTTCAGTTATTTTTAAGGGGATGAAAATATTGGTAACAAATTAGAAAAATGCATTTCAATACTATAGATGATTTTTATTAAGTAATAGTAGTAGGTAACATATGTCTATGTTTATCAACAGGATATTACTGTAGTGGAGGTGCCATTTTAATGAATCCTATCAATGAGACATACGGTGACATCTGTCCAAAGGGACACTACTGCCCCCAGGCCAGCTCTTATGCTATACCATGTGCTGAGGGAACATTCAACAACTGGTTTGGGGCTAACAACATCTCCACATGTCTACCATGCACAGCTGGCAAATACTGTTCAGGAACAGGGAGAGCATTGCCCAATGATGACTGTGACGTAGGATGGTACTGTCCCGAAGGTTCTATTGTTCCACAGCCTCCAGGAAAACAATGCCTGGCAGGGCATATGTGTCCTAAGGGCAGTCCATCACAAACACCCTGCTCCTCTGGATATTATCAACCTCTTCCTGGACAGGGGGCTTGTACAGAGTGCCCTGCTGGTAAGCTGAATGAATTACTTTTATTGATGCATGATATTCTTAAAGCAATGCCAATTAAGATATTTTGTGTTCTTTGTTTAAAACGTATCAAGTTTGTGTAAATATAAAAAAGTGATGCTCTTGCTTGCCTTATTCATTTTCCCAACAATATTGTGTAAAATTAAGTAAATGTACATGCATACACTGTAAAATATGTGTGTGTGTTCATTTCTTTTGCCGATTTATTTTCTTTTGTAATATGCACATTTTTAGGAGAATGAATACAAATGTTAAAAGGGCAATAACTCTATCATATATTTTTTTCTTTACCCCTGCATTCTTCTATTTTTGAAGTGGATTATTTATATGTCTTGACATTCATATTAGAAATGTGATGTAATTCTCCTCTTTTCAGGAAAATACTGTTCTCAGACTGAGGCGATAGCAGAACAACAAAGTGGAGTGAATGCTTCATCACACGGAGTTGTAACACCAAAAGACTGTCCATCAGGATTCTATTGTCCTAATGGCACACAGACTGACCGAGAATACCCCTGTCCAGTTGGGACATACAGTAACACCACTGGCCTGGAGAGTGTAGCAGAGTGTACAGATTGCCCACCAGGTTATTACTGTGACTCGGAGAATATCACTGAACCATCTGGACAATGCTTTGCTGGATATTATTGTATCCTGAAGTCTTCCTCTCCCACACCATCACTATCAGCTGCTGGTGGCCCTTGCCCCCAGGGATCCTACTGTGAGGTGGGCTGGTCTTACCCCACACCTTGTCCCAAGGGAACCTATGGAGATAGAGAGCAGCTTCCATCTTTGAATGACTGTACATTCTGTCCACCTGGAGACTACTGTTCCTCTTCCAATCTGAATGCTTCCACAGGGTCATGTTTAGCTGGGTACTACTGCACCAATGGATCAGAGGAGGCCAATCCAGTTGGTAAAACATATGGTGATGAATGTCCAGCTGGTCATTATTGTCCAGAAAAAAGTTACCAGCCCACAGCCTGCCCAGCAGGTACCTACAATCCCAACACCAGAAGCACCAACCAGACTGCCTGTCTCTCCTGTGACCCAGGTAAATTCTGTAATGGAACAGGACTTTCTGCAGTCTCTGGAGACTGCACTGATGGCTTCTACTGTACTGGAGGAGCTAGTTCTTCTGCTCCCTATGATGGACTTACCGGAAACATTTGCCCTGCTGGGTCCTACTGCCCTGCAGGCTCTCCACAGCACCTGTTCTGTCCTAACGGCACCTACACTAACCACACAGGGGCTTCCTCCTGTTATGATTGTCCAGAGGGTTATTACTGTGTGAACAAAGACCGAGCTGACCTGTGTCCACCTGGGTATTACTGCCCATACCAGACAGGAGCGGATCTCCAGCCTTGCCCTGCAGGAACCTACAACCCAGTGTCTGGTCTGGCCAATGTCAGTCAATGTACACAGTGTGATGGAGGGAAGTATTGCCAGGTGCCAGGACTCTCTGCTGTTAGTGGAAACTGTAACTCAGGATTCTTTTGTACATCTGGTGAGTTAATAGACTAATCAATCTTAACATGCTCAATATTTTTAAGCTTTATAAGTTATTTGGTCTTTTATCTTTTTTTAAGGAATTTTTTTTTGAATAATCTCCTGGCTATTGATTTAAGAAAAAAGTGTAAAGTGTTGTTGTACTTCAGTTTTATTAATTACACATTATTTGGTGATATTAATTAGGAGTGGACACAGCCAGTCCTGCAGGTAATAACACAGGAGTAGGAGGTGTGTGTCCTATAGGGAGTTATTGCCCAGAGGCTACTATCACCCCTCTACCTTGCCCAGCTGGACAATACAGGTAAAAATACATTCATGTATATACTATGCATTATTTTTTGTAATCACTTGATAACATCTGTGAGGACATGGATTATGTAATTCACTACCATAATAATATATGAAGTATTTTATTTTGATATTGTACAGGACTTGAATATTTATTTCACATTTTTATAGCGAATCATATATAGCAATTTTCCCCAAAATGTTTCTGATGAGGTTAATTAATTTGTGTATATTGAGATTAATTGATGGACTGATATTTGTACAGTGACAGTACAGGCCAGACAAACTGTACCCTGTGTCCACTGGGTTATTACTGTGTGGAGAACTCCACTGCCTTCTCAGAACAGCTCTGTCCCCCAGGCTATTACTGTCCAGAGGGTACCAGTAATCCATACCAGTATCCCTGTCCTAAAGGAACCTACAACCCCGTCAATGCTAGCCACTCCCTCAGCGACTGTCTCACCTGCCCACCAGGACAATACTGCCAGTGTAAGTATACTTGTATTGTCTACATGGGGAAAGGAATAACATCAAAGCATGACAAAATCAAATAATTTGAAATGTTATTTTTCATTTTAAACTGATGAAAATATGATTATCAGTATTAAATAGATTCAAAACAAATTCCATGATTATAAGTTTTTTCTTTCTACTTTTAGCTGATGGTCTTGGTGCCACCTCTGGAAACTGCACCGCAGGATGGTACTGTACAGGGGGTTCCTACATGGCTCAACCCACCACCACTGCCAACCAGACCAACCTGCCAGACTGTACCTGTCCATTAGCCAACTACACAGGTGGACAGTGTTGGCCAGGTACCTACTGTCCAAGCGGAACAAATTACCCAGTTAATTGTGATCCCGGGAAGTACTGTATGCAGTCTGGATTATCTGCCCCAGAAGGTGACTGTGATGCTGGGTATTACTGTAATGCTAGCAGTACCCGTCCTGACCCTCCAGGAAATGAGTGCCCTGCTGGGTATTACTGTGAGGCAGGGTCAGGAACACCCACACCATGTCCAGCTGGGACGATGTCCAACACCGGGGGAAATACAAATTCCAGTAACTGTCTCCAGTGTACTCCAGGTAAATTTAAAATCCCAAAAATACACATCTCATCAGCATATCTAGACAAATTATACAAGGGGGCTTCATATATTTCCTGTTCTGTTTGTGGTTTTGTGTTTTGATGGTAATTTTTTACTTATATCCTAGGTTATTATTGTGCTGGAACTGCCAATACCAATGTAACTGGCCTCTGCTCAGCTGGATTTTACTGCCCAGGTGGTCAAGACAGTGCCACACCCTTAGACTACAACTGTACAATGGGTCATTACTGTCCAGCTGGATCTGGACAACCTGTGCCCTGTGCTGCTGGGTCATACCAAGACAGTGTAGGATCTACAACATGTCTGCCATGTCCTGCAGGAAGGTTAGTATACATCAGAATTTCTTTTTAAAATAGATTCGTTTTTACAGATATAAAAAAAATCAAAAAAAGTCATTCAAAAGCAAAATCTGATGCATCAAAATGATACTGAAAATTTAAACAAAAAAATTTAAAACATTGTGGCATATCTAAAATATATTATTTTTTCAAAACTGCTACTATTAATAATCAAGTTAACTAACACAATTAAATTCTAAAAATTTGCATGAATTCCTTCCTTAGTTACTGTGATCCTGTGGAAGCTGCTGCCTCACTGGGAATCAATGGAACAGGAGTGGTAACCCCCACAGACTGTCCCCGGGGTCACTACTGCCTCCAGAGCACCCCCAGCAGTACTACCTATCCTTGTCCTTTAGGGGCCTTCAACAATGGCACAAAACTTCAGGCAGCAAGTTCCTGTCTCTCCTGTACATCAGGCTACTACTGTGGTGCTCTTGGTAAGTAGAAAGACTTAACTCAGATTGGAAGCTAATCTAGAATTATTCAGAGCTAATCCTTATAAAATAAACACTGATGAGTTGGAACAAAGTTGATCTCTTTTCTTTAAAGGCTTGACAGAACCAACTGCTCCTTGTGATGCTGGCTATGTGTGCACAAGTGGAGCAAACTCCTCCTCACCAACAGATGGCACCACTGGTTACCTCTGCCCAATGGGAGCATACTGCCCAGCTGGTTCTGGGTTAGAAACCAAATGTCCAACAGGAACATTTAGTAATCAGACTGGCCTCCATAATGTCTCATCTTGTGAACAGTGCACACCTGGATGGTATTGTAATGTACAAGGTCGGTAACTTTCCTTCAATGAAATACTTATCTTCATATTTATTATACCCCCAGCTTGAAAAGGGTGATGGTAGTGTCTGTCCATGTGTCTGTACATCTGTTAACTTTGCCATTGTGCATCTCCTATTTTCATACATGTGATATGTACAGGCTGTACGCAAAATGTACAGTTTTTTGAGCCCATTCATTGTGTACCGGTGGGACACCAAAATTCACGGAATATGAAAATTTGTACAGTATTTTGAATTTCTCGCTAAATACCGCCATTTTCCTCTCATTCTCGCTCGCGAGACACTGGAAAACGTCACCTGTGTTTGACACTTGACCTTCTGATAATTGTGTAGTGTACACAAACCATCGCGTGTGAAGGTGTGAACTGCCAATTGAGATAATTATCTTGCTATAAATCCATATCAAATACCCCTTTAGGTAGCTTTATTTTTTAAGGGGTACTTAATTACTGTTAATGTTTCGTATACGTAACTTGATTGAAAAAAATTAAGCCAACTTCTAAAGTTGATATACATGACTTTAGTCTTAATATACGTGAATCTGACCCAGATCTTCGTAGGTATAAAATATACGATGTTTATTACAATGATTACGATGGAATTTCAGAAGAATTTAAGCGATATTTTATACCATTTTTTGTACAGTTTTTTGATAGGCAGTGTACAGTTTTTTCACCCAAATTCCAGTTTTTTTATGGCTCCTGTACAGTTTTGTGGACTTTGACTTATCACATGTATGTATTTTACATTTTGATCAGACAGATATTTGGGGTTTCCCATAACAAAACATGAACTTAGCCATTATAGTTGGGGGGGGGGGGGTCATTTTGTGAGCTCAGTGCTCACAGTACCTCTAGTTTCTTACTTCTTAAAAAAATCATCTGTTTACAATATTAGAATTAATATCAAAAATTGGTTCAGATTATTTTGTGGAATTTTGTCACATTATGAGGAGTATAATGAAATAAGATTGGTGCTAGTTTTTGATCGTTTAGAAATGATGATGTGTTATCTTCTCCTGATTTTAGGCTTGACTTCTCCTGCTGGGAAATGTTTGGCTGGTCACTATTGCCTCCTGGGATCTACAGAACAGAATCCTATTGGCCAGTCTTATGGAGACTACTGTACAGCTGGTCACTACTGTCCTGAGGGCACAGGAAGTCCTGTTCCTTGTCCAATTGGAACATACCTCCCCAGCACTGGACAGTCTTTACAGATCCACTGTATTGATTGTGCACTAGGAAAATATTGTGACACTGTTGGGCAAGCCAATTACACAGGTGAGGGTCACAGGGGAACAAATTTTTAATAAGAGAACCTGTCAAAGATATAATTTGGAATAAGTGAATTTTTTTTAGTGATATATATGTGTACTTCACTAAGGAAATATTTTTCTTTAAATGATTTAGGAATTCTAATGGTGGCAATCAGTGTATAAGAAATAAAATATTTGAAAGTAAAAATTATATTTAGGTGACTGTGATGCTGGATTTTACTGTGACCGAGGAGCCAATGTTAGCCAGCCCACTGATGGGGTCACAGGAGGGGTGTGTCCTGCAGGAAACTACTGTCCCCAGGGTACTGCAGTGCCCATACCATGTGAAGATGGTAAGTTGGAATTTTGAATTGGTAAATGAATTTCAGTAGAAGAGTCTTCATATTGAAATTTTTGAGTAAAAAATACATATTCTTTACACATATTTTTATAATTTAAGTAATAAACAAACATTTTTTTCCATTAAGGTTCTTATATGAATCACACCCAGGCCAGTCTATGTGACCCTTGCCCTGCTAGATATTACTGTGTTAACAAAGACAGAGCAGATCCATGTCCAGTTGGCAAATACTGTATTGGTAGGTGTCCAAATCTCATATCTTCTATTTTAAAAGCAATTTCCTTCTTGACTTGACCTCATGTATGGAAGAATGATATTGTTGGTGACATGAAAATCAAGAAATGGAATTTATTTTTAAATGCAGGAAACACAGGCTTTAACTATTCCCTGTGTCCCCCTGGAACATACAACCCAACTGAGTTACTGATGTCCGAGTCTGAATGTAAGCAGTGTGATGGAGGATACTACTGTGATGTACCAGGGCTGTCCAATGTGACCGCTCCCTGTGCTGAGGGGTACTACTGCCAGAGTGGGGTCAACACTGCAGCCCCCAGTAACAACAACACAGGATTTGGAGGTAAGCTTGCAACTTTAATAGATTGGGTTATAAGGTACATATACAGTATTTTAAATAAATATGACTGTACCAAGTTTAGTTCATAAACTTCAATAGTACTCTTTTACACAGTATAGCTATTAATTATTTCTAGTGCATAGGAAAGCAGTATGTTTCTTCACTTGCAGTTTCAAAGACTTCATGTTTTATTGTTGTTTTAGATATCTCCTCCACTGATATAAACATGTAACAAAATCTATATACTGATACCTCTCTGTTGTTAGGTGGCTGTCCTGAATCCCACTACTGTCCACTGGGCACCACAGAACCTATCTCCTGTCCTGCCGGAACATACAATGACCTGACTCACCAGAAAATCTGCAAGTCATGTGAGCCAGGCTATTACTGTCTGGCCAACTCCACCACATACCTGTCCACACCTTGTCCTGCAGGTAACAAAGCAAAATTAAATGTATTAAACTGTCTTGCACTATTCTATGTCTCTGGGTTCTTTACTACTGGGTCAGACCTTGGGATGTTACACAACTGTGCATTGAATTGTTATTTTACACCCTTGATCTTATATTCTTAGGTTCCTACTGCCCCAGTGGAACTCAGTTTTCCACAGAACACCTCTGTCCAGCTGGTACATACAACAATAAAACTGGTGCCAACAGTGAATTTGATTGTTTACCTTGTACAGGCAAGTCTACAAATATGAGTTTCAAAGTTGTTATTATTCTATACCATATCTTAAAGTACACATTTATATTACTGTGGAATCATTTAAATTCATGGGGGTCAATGTTCGTGGGCAAGCAAAATTTTACTGGTTCATGGGGATGTAATTTTGTGGGCAGCTTGTTTATTTGGTGGATTTAATTAATCAGTATGTTGACAAAAAAATTGTTCATGGGGATGTAAATTTGTGGGTAAGGGTGACCCACGAAATCCACAAAGATTGATCCCCCACGAACAATGATGATTCCACAGTATCAATGTTTCTGTTTAATAACCAAGTTATTTTGATTTCACCAGGTGGTAAATACTGTAATGGAGATGGTCTATCAGAGCCCAGTGGTGACTGTGCTGCAGGGTGGTACTGCTCAGGTGGTGCCTACACAGACAAACCCACCACATATGTCAACTCCACCACACTGTACAGCACCAACTATTCTTGTCCTGTTTATGCCCTCAACAACACTGGAGGCATTTGTGAACCAGGTACTTTTACAGTCTCACTGAAACCTGTCACAGATTAATCCAAAATGAATCACATAAAACTATTGATGATATCATCATTAATGTGAAACAAGGTTTTTTAACTTCAAATTAATGAGAGATTGAATAAGTTTGTTTGTTTTAAGCCATTGAGGCATTGTTGATACCCAAACATGTAAATATGGTTCAGTTAACTTTCTTAAAGTTCAGCTTTAAGTATACATGTATACCTATTTAATGTTCATTTTCTCACATTTTTTTGTGTATAGGATACTACTGTCCAGTGGGAAGTAACCTGCCCCTCTCGTGCAGCTTGGGTAAATACTGTGATACCTACGAGCTGTCCTCTCCTACAGGAAACTGTTCCGCAGGCTACTTCTGTAATGGTACTGCCAGTGTTCCCAACCCCAGGGAGTGTGACATGGGATACTACTGCCCAGAGGGAACAACAGTGCAGATGCCCTGCCAACCAGGGACATTCTCAAGTAGGTTTTAAAGGCAAAGAGTGTTAAGTGCTTTGCAGAATTCAAGAAAATAAATTTTGTCCTACATTTTAACAAAAAAGTAACTTTTGAGCTTTAACTTATTTTTGCAGATCGAACAGGAAACACCAATGACTCTTTCTGCATGCCTTGTACTGCTGGTCAATACTGCCAGGATTATGGGCTGGCCCTGCCTAACGGAGACTGTTTTGCTGGTTATTATTGTCCAGAAGGTCAGGATGTACCACAACCAACCACATATGCATGTAGCCCAGGTCACTTCTGTGAAGTGGGCAGTTGGAATGAGACAGGATGTCCTTCAGGAATGTATCAACCTCACTGGACCAGATCAACCTGTGACATCTGTCCAGCTGGCTCCTACTGCAAGGCCTTTGGTGTGTAACATTGCATGAATTGAAGAGTTGTGACATTTTGAATAGATGAATTTCTTTTATTGACTGATTGTTGATAGTTCTCTTTATAAAATTCCTGTGTGGTTAGTCCTTATTTTTCATTGGGTGGGGGTCATGAAATAATATTTTCTTTTACATATTTCAGGAGATTATGAGGTTCTTGATGCACCAAATGTCACCTTGTCAGGTAACTACACCAACAGGTACAGGAGCTACCGTGGTGTATCTGTCCCCACAGCCTGTCCCTCAGGGTCCTACTGCCCACAAGGCACCAAGGACGCCATGGAATACCTGTGTCCAGAAGGTTCCTACAGTAACAAGACAAGCCTGAACAACTACACACAATGTACACCTTGTGATCCTGGGTATTACTGCAGTGGACAAGGTATTGTGAATTGTTATTGGCGTATCAGTCGGGTATTAGCATCATTGAAGTTTTACTTATATCCTTTTCCGTAGTCTAAATGTAAAAGGATTTGTAGTTGAATACTTTTTTATTTAGGAGAAGTTATATGAGGTTTTCCTGTAAACATGAAAAACAGGAAATTGAGAGAAAAAATATTCAATTGTATCATTTCTTTACTTTTAATATACTTACAGGTAACACAGAGTCTGTGACAAAGTGCTCTGCAGGTTACTACTGTACAAGTGGTGCCTACAATTCAACCCCAACAGATGGCACCACAGGCAACATCTGCCCACCTGGCCGCTACTGTGAAGTGGGCAGCATTACTGGATTGGGCTGCCCAGTGGGCACTTACAGTAACCAGGTTGGACTACAGAGCAGTTCAGAGTGTACCAACTGTACAGGAGGCTATTACTGTGGAACAACTGGGCTTACAGCAGAGTCTGGTCTCTGTCATGCAGGTTTGTCTTTGTATGAACTTTATTATATGAAATATTCAGTCTTGCTACTTGGTGACTTTAATATTTATTTCAACAGGCTCCCATGAGTGTTTTGGTGAATGAGAGAAAATATTTCCCCCCAAGATTTAATCTAGGAAAACAATATGCAGATATGAAACTTCTATTTTCTATGTTAACACAGAAAAGAGTACATGTACATGTATATGTAGTTTGTACTTTTCATTTTGAATTCTCATAGGATATTACTGCACACTTGGATCAGAAGAACCAGCTCCCATTGGTAAGTCCTATGGAGATGTGTGTCCTGCTGGGCACTACTGTAACAATGGCACCCACACTCCAGCACCATGTCCCCCGGGCACATTCCTCAACTCTACAACTATGGGAGACATCAACGACTGCCTACAGTGTTCTCCAGGTAAACTGCCAAAATATGTCTTCATTAGAAAATCCTCGATTCAGATTCTCTGAAAGAAAAATTATTCAAAATGACACCGTTTAAAGACATCCTCAGTAATGTTGTTGAAATTGTATTTCTAGAACTTGATGAGTGTTTCAAATGTCATACAACAGCATATTGTTCTTTCTTTGTTATAGGTTATTTCTGTGATGGACATGGACAAACAGCAGTAACAGCAGAGTGTGCTGCTGGGTACTACTGCACCCTGGGAGCCAACACATCCACACCAACAGATGGCAGCACAGGTGCTTTTTTTTCTTTTTGCTCGTTTATAGAGATATAAACTTGGAATTAAATTAATTACTTAACACATTCATGCAAAGTCACATATTCCAAATCTTTACTCATTGTATTTTCCTCTATTTAGGAAACATCTGCCCAGAAGGCCATTACTGTATTCAGGGATCTAGTAAACCTGAACCTTGTGGAAATGGAACCTATATGAACCACACTGGTGCCTCTTCCTGTTACGTCTGTCCTGCAGGCTACTATTGTGTCAACAGAGACAGGGCAGATATCTGTCGACAGGGATATTACTGTCCAGAAGGTACTGGGGCAGACCTTCAACCCTGTCCCACAGGAACTTTCGGAAACACCACAGGACTTATCAATGAAACACAATGTAGTCCATGTACAGGTAAAGCTGTTTTGGAATTAATTTTATATAAATTTATTCTGAAGTATGTTAAACATGAAGTATGTAAAATTTTGAATGATAACAAAAACCCTAAAAACTTTACAGGTGGATCTTTCTGTGGCACCCCTGGAGCCTCCCAGCCAGATGGGGAGTGTTTGTCTGGTTATTATTGTGAAACTGGAGTTGACACAGCCACACCCACAGATTCTGGGGCTCACAAAGGAATAGGAGGACAGTGTCCCCTTGGATCCTACTGTCCAAAAGGATCAGCCACACCAGCACCTTGTGCTGCTGGGACATATACCAGTGTCAAACGTATGTTATTCATATTATTAATTCAAGTTTGATAATTCATTGTCATTCCATTTAAAATCACTTAATTTTGAAATCCCTTTTCATACTTCACAAGTACTTTCTTGTATTGTTAGAGGTTGTAAAATAATTTCAGATCTGTAGAAAAACTCAAGGGTAAAAATGCTTGTCTACATAGAAATTTGCTTTTTCCTGTTTGCAGAAAAGGGATCTTGTGACCAGTGCACTGGAGGCTACTACTGCGTAATGAACACCAGTGACCCCAGCTCCTTCCCCTGCCCTGTGGGTCATTATTGTCCCCCAGGAACTCAGTATGACACCCAGTACAAGTGCCCTGCTGGTACCTACAATCCCCTTCCCACCCAGACCAGCTCCTCAGCATGTAAACTGTGTGATGCTGGTACCTATTGCTTTGGGGATGGATTGAGTGCCCCCACAGGAAACTGTAGTCAGGGCTGGTTCTGCACTGGAGGAGCCTCAGAGACCAAACCATTGCTGCTTGGTAACTTGGATTTTAATGACAAGATATTTAGTGTCTGTTATGCTAGAAAAGTAGAAATGTAAATGTTTGAATTGAATTGATTAAATGAAATTTTCAGATGGTAAGTTTTCTTTGCGGTATTGCTGATCTTAGTTGCACAATGCTTATAATCATTCAATATATTTGCCAGGAAACTACACCAGTATAGATGTGTGTACCTGTCCAGCCAATAATTACACGGGGGGTAAATGTCAACCTGGGTCCTTCTGTCCGGAGGGATCTTCTGCCCCAACGTTGTGTACAGCTGGAATGTACTGTGATGACTTTGAATTGGCTACTCCTAAAGGCAAATATGTTCTCTCTGTAAAAGATGCAAATCTATTGTAAAAGATGCAAATCTATTGTCATTTTTACTTTTTGACTATAATTTCAAAGAGAATATTTTTTCATGTAAACTTCCAAGTACTGTATATGTTATAGATAATGAAAAAAGAATATGTTTATCAAAATTAAATGGAAAACTTTTCCGTTGATCAGGAAATTGTCAAGCTGGGTACTACTGCCCGATTGGTCAGACTGAAGCTAACCCTTCTGCTTTCATCTGTATTGCTGGTCATTACTGTGAGGAGGGATCAGGCACGCCCACTCAGTGTCCAATCGGAACCTTCTCCAATGCCACGGGGAACAGCAATGTCACTGACTGCAAACCTTGTACTGCTGGTAAGAAATTACAAAAGTACAGTCACATTGTAAATTTGTACCTTGAAGTTTTGTTTTGTTAGCAAAATTTGACATGAATTACAATTTTGTTGTACTTTATAGGATATTATTGTGATGGGCTTGGTTTAGTGGCTGAAACAGGACCATGTACTGCAGGGTATTATTGCCCTGAGGGCCAAACAACTGGGGCACCAACAGCATATGTATGTCCCACAGGATCATATTGCCCCACAGGAAGTGCTCTACCAACCATATGTCCAAGAGGTATTAAAGGAGAATGTTAAAAATTTAACTTAAAATCTTTTAAACTTTAAATACAAAGGTAACTGTATTTAAAATGCATGTGTAATGCGAGCAAAGTTCTTTCTTTTTGGAATAGTATTTTCCTCTGGAATTTTATCTTATTATATTTAATTGTTTTTAAAAGTAAATTTAAATGTCCTTTATATGATTTCAGGTAAATACAACTATCAGACTACCCAGGCCACTTGTCTGGACTGTCCAGCAGGGAAATATTGTGACCCCCATGAGAATGGTAACGTGACGGGAATTGTGACCCCAGAAAGCTGCCCTGCTGGTTATTATTGCCTGTTGGGTACAGGATACAACATGACCTATCCTTGTCCAACAGGAACGTACAGTCCAATCACAGACCTAACTGCTGCCAGTAAGTCACAACTTGTAGCACTGTCATTATACAAGCTATTCTACACCAGAACATTTAGGTTATAGGTATAAAAGTTCTTAAGTTTCGAACATATTTTCATCATCAAGAATGTAGTAAGAGGCACATATTTATATTTGAAAATAAATTCTGATAGAAATGAATTTGCTTTGCCAAAAAAAAATTATATAGAAAAATAAAATGATTCCTTTGATATAATCTCAACATGTTTTCAAATTTTAAAGGTTCCTGTCCTTCATGTGACCCAGGCAAATACTGTCAGACCCCCGGTCTAACAGCCCCAGAGGGAGACTGTGCCACTGGTCACTGGTGTATGAATGGGGCCAACACGTCCACTCCCACAGATGGGACGACTGGCGATGTGTGTCCACAAGGAAGTTACTGTCCAGCTGGCAGCTTCAGAGGTTGGTAAAGGAGGCTCTGGAATGAACCTTTGAACTGAAGAAAGAAAGAACAAAAATTTATTTGGAAGTTTTGGGAACAACTTGTTCTCTTCTTGTGTTTTCATTTTTACTTGCTTACAAAGCGTCTTTAAAACATTTGCTTGAAACTTATGGATTATTTTCAATGATTGAATCACTTTTTCATATTTACAGGAACTTACTGTCCACAAGGCACATTTGGCAACACAACAGGACTGAGAACAGCCAATGAATGCATTGCCTGTGAGCCTGGCTACTATTGCCCCTCTCAGGGACATACAAAACCTTATGATCAGTGTAGTGCTGGTTACCACTGTTCTGGGGGATCTATTGAGGCCAGCCCTGTGGGTCAGGCCTATGGATATATCTGCCCTGTTGGACACTACTGCCCACAAGGAACACCAGTCTTAGTACCTTGTCCCAAAGGAACCTATCAGCCAGGCACAGGTAAGTTTGCTCTCAATGTTCCGTAAGTGTTCCAGGGCATTTAAAATCATATGCACTGTATGTTGTACCAATCTTTATATGTATGTGAAGATCAGATCATTGAAAGCAATGCAGTCATTTTAAGAATTATGCTATATATACAGGAAAGTCACAGTTGTCACATTGTGTGGACTGCTCACCAGGTCGGTACTGTCTGGAATCTGGTAATGACACTACAACCGGAGATTGCCAGGCTGGTTATTACTGCATTGGTAAAGCTGAGGTTCCCAACCCAACAGGTAGATGTCTGACAGAGTATGAAGAGATAAAAAAAAAATAGGATAAAAATATTTTTGACTGATATTTTCCATCTGATTTTGTTGATCTAATCCATTGATTAAAGTGAAATTAGACATTCACTATTATTACCTTATTGTTTTTGTCCATTTTTTCCCCATAACAGATGGAACAACAGGAAATATTTGCCCTATTGGTCATTACTGCCCCACTGGTTCATCATCTCCACAGCCCTGCAGTTCAACCACCTACATGAACCACACAGGTGCAGCAGTATGTTACACTTGTCCCGAGGGTTACATGTGCACCTCTGGCAGCACTGCTGACCCCTGCCCCCAGGGATACTACTGTCCTATAGGGACTGGTACAGACAAGAAACCATGTCCTGTTGGTAAGTGCTGTATCATGTAATCATTTGAAACAGATTTCTTGCTTTTCTTGCTCTTAAAAAAAAAACAACTAAGTTTTGAATGTTAACATATTAAGTATATCTTGTGGCTTTTAATATGGGAAAACTATTTCTGTTTTTTATGTATTTCTAAAATTATACCAAAAAAAATCTTGTGTAGTGTTGAATGGTCTCAGATACAGGAAATACTACAATAAATACTTTTGTGTAAATCTGAAAGATAAAATTTACTGTTACTCATTTCTAGGTACATTTGGAGCGACAGACAGATTGAGTAACGAGACTGAGTGTACGGCCTGTACAGGAGGTCATTACTGTGACTCTCAGGCCCTTACCCAGCCAGCTGGGGGATGTAATGCAGGGTATTACTGTGTCTCAGGTAAATCTAATACATGTAATTCAAAATCAGAAGTTCAAAATTACACAGGAACTTCTCAATTCATAACATGAAATGACCAATACTTAGAGTGTATTGCTTAGTTTTGTTGGATACATCTGATCATTATACTGTGACAATAGCACAAGGACTGTTCTCGTTTCATTGAAGAACATAATGCTTACTGAGTTCTGATTTACAGGTGTGAACATTGCCTCCCCTGCTGTGGCTGGAACCTTCCTTGGTGATGGAGGGGTGTGTCCCCCTGGAACAGAGTGTCCTGTCAACTCCAGCTATCCTACACCTTGTGCCCCAGGGAGATATGCTCCTATGGGAACTACTGCAGCATGTAGTGACTGCCCAGCTGGTATGATTATCAAGAATTTTACCTGTCTTTGTTTTTTTACCTTTTAGTTTGTATTGTCCTCTCTTACTCTGTGTATTTCTTTATGCATAGGAAGTAGATACACATAAAGAAAGAACATACCTCATTTACATGTACATAATTTTGAAATATTTTTTAATATTTCTATGACTATATTTTAGGTTACTACTGTGTAAATGCCACTGTGACCCCTACTACTTGTCCAGTAGGTCACTACTGTCCCAAGAACACAGAGTTTGACCACCATTACCCATGTCCTGCAGGAACTTATTACAACCAGACTGGTAAGCATCTTCTTTACCACAGTGGATTTAAATTTGCAGTGAAGTCTGCTTCATCAGTACACATTGGCAGTGTTCTGAATATGTGAAACGTCATAGATTCAAGATTAAAAATTGTACCCACAAGGAAAAAGACAATCTGTGATTTATTTCATACAAGTGATATTGTAGTTTCTGATTTCAAACTTTAAAATACCTTTGACTTATCATTGTAAATGATTTTTTAAATAGGAGGCTTAGCAGAGACTGACTGCATGGACTGTCCACCTGGCCAGTATTGTGAGGGGACAGGCAATGTGTACCCTACAGGCTTCTGTGACGAGGGATTCTGGTGTGGAGGTAAATCCTTCCAGAGACGACCGTATGACACAGGAAACCTCACAGTCATCAATGGCACTACCAAGTAAGCAAATCTTTGTTGTATCTCACAGAGTACTTTTAATGGGTTGTTATCTTAATATTTACATCATAATTTTTACATAGACATTACTCAGATGAACAATATATTGTTTTTGAACTTCTAAATACATGTACTAGTCAGTAATCAATGCTTGAGATTTGAAGAAATAGTTCTTGGTCCATCTAATAAGTAGAAATAGTGATAGAAAATGAATTTTAGGATGTTACACCAAGCATTATAATTTCAGTGACTTGTATTCCAATGACACCTGTGCCCCGCTGTGGGGATGTGTGTGTCCAGCATTTCAAATGACCAGTGGAGGTATCTGTCCAATGGGATACTTCTGTCCTGTTGGGTCCTCTCAGCCTTCTGCTTGTACCCCTGGCATGTACTGTGAGACACCAGGATTGCCCCTCCCAACAGGTGGGTTGAAAGAATTAAGGTTCTAAATATATACATAATCAATATTTATATACGTAATGGAAATTAAAATTGATCTTTTTTTTAATTTAATGAAAAAGTTAGACAGACAGAAAATTTGTTGCATATACAATTAAAATTATACTTTTATATACAAATAAGCAAATCATGTATTGATGTTGTTGTTGTTGCATACTTTCAATAGGAAACTGCAGTGCAGGCTGGTACTGCAATCACACAAGTTCCACCAAATACCAACATATCTGTCCAGCTGGATCCTACTGCCCATCCGGATCAGACATCCCCACTCCATGTCCAGCTGGAACCTACTCTGGTCTGGATAACAATGGAGCCCTCAGTGATTGTGTCAACTGTACAGCGGGCCAGTATTGTCATGGTAAGATCCTAGATGGCTAACTGCAAGACCCATGTTTGTGAATCATAGTTCTCATTTTACAAGTTTGAAAGTCAGCTCATTTGAAAAATTCAGTCAAAATGTTGAACAAAATGTTTTATTTGATTTATGAATAAGTTTAAGAACTACATGTAATTGTTAGATAGAAATTGTATTATTTTATCCTGGAATTTTTTCCTTAGGTCTTGGAAACACAGCTCCTACAGCCCAGTGTGCACCAGGTTACTACTGCCCGGGGGGTCAGGAGACTAGCACACCCTCGGGTCTGGAATGCTTTGCAGGCCATTATTGCCCACAGGGCTCAAATTACCCCATCATGTGTTCTAATGGAACCTATCAACCAAGTCCAGGACAAGACAACTGTCTGACCTGCCCAGCTGGATATTTCTGTGATTCCGCAACAGGTAATTATAGAGTCTGGGATACAGAGTTTATGGCTGTTCCCATGGGAACAATGAATCTATTTAACATTGACATCTTTTAACGAATGTGACAAATTTGTTATTATTATTTACAGGAAATGTGACATACGTGAATGGTAATTTAAATCACTTGCATGTTTGTATAATACACTCTGTTCAGTAATTCTATCTTTTGTTAACATGTTTTATAGTGTTGTAACATTGTAACCTAACATACTATATTCTGAGCATACAAATATCAGAATGAAGAAATAAATTCATTAATGCTTCTCACAAATCAAATACATGTCAAAAAATATTCTTGTCCAAAATGTATGCTTTGATTTAATCTGCACAGTAATTCCAGATTTCTTGACAGTCCTCCTCACCATACCCTTAATTTCCTCACCATTTTTTTTACTTAATGCAAACTTACATTAGAGAGTTAACATATTTTAAGGACTAGCTTTCAATAATAGCTATATTTCCTGTAATTATTCTTATTTACCATTGTATTTTTTATCTAAAAGAGCAGAAAAATCCTATTTAAGCCCAAAGAAAATTGATATAGTTTTTTCAGGCAAAAAATTTCAAGTTCAATGCTGGAGGCAGGTCTTCTTTTTTAAGAAAGTGTTAATTCTCTTTTCATGTCAGTCAAAATAATATATATACTGATTCTTACTTTTTCGTACTCTTATATTAATTATAATATATACTCAATTTTAAATAATTTTATTCCAATCATTTTTATAAAAACTTCAATTATAAAGTACCATTTTAACTAGAAATATATTGTGTATCTTTCTGTGTATGTATGAAAAGGGGCATAACTCTATTTTCTTTTTCAACATACAAAAAAATTGAAATTGAGTTATTTCCCTTTGCAGTATGTCAATAAAATTGATCAATTCGGCAGTGTTTGACCATATGCTGTGTTGCCTGAGAAACTAGAGAATATCCTATGGAGCTTATAATTCATGTCTCTTTTTAGGAAACCCTGTGGTTAACCCCACGGCTTGCCCCACAGGATATTATTGTCCTGAGGGTACAATTTCTGGCCAGTCTTATCCCTGTCCCATTGGAACATTTGGTCCCAATCAGTACCTGTTTGCCCAGGAGAATTGTACGTCTTGTACAGCAGGTTACTACTGTGAACAGACAGGGTTGTCTGCCCCTACTGGAGAGTGCTATGGAGGCTTCTACTGTACAGGTGGTGCTGAAGTTGCTGAACCTGTGTCTCACAATGTGAGTTTTTTTTTCTTTGAGATCATAACCCAAACAGATTCATAGTCAAAATATAGAATTTAATTTCCCATGTTGATTGTATTAGTATAGAAACTAACAATTTTATACTTTTTGAAAGAGTGAAACTGATTTTTTTTTCTTTTCTGGAGGAAGATTCATTGCATTGCAATGCTGCTATTTCTGTTTAGGTCAATTTGACCCATAATGTCACCTTCACTGGAAATGACAGATGTCCAACAGGGTATTTCTGTCCCAATGGTACAAGCTACCCCAAGCCGTGCCCCATAGGGACCTTCTCAGAAGTGAGGGAGGTGTCTGTGGAGACTGACTGTCAGCCGTGTAGACCAGGGAGGTACTGTAATCAACAGGCCTTCACCATGATCACCACTGCCCCTAACTGCTCAGCTGGGTAGGTACACTGTACAGTTGATCTCTGATATCTCGAATACTGATATCTCAATTACCCTGGATATTTTGAAGTGATTTGGAAGTCCCAATCACTTATTCTTTAAGTATTTTACCTGATGTCTTAAATCTTTAGATATCTCGAAGTTTTTTTCTTGGTCCCATTGAGTTCGAGATAACGAAGTTTTACTGTATTTTCTTGTTTTCCTCTTGATCAAGAAATGCCTTTATGGAAATGAAATATGCATAATGTTCATTTTATCAGTAGAATACAGACTTTTAACTTCAAAGGAAAATATATTCAATTTTCCAAATATTTCAAGATGTGAAACTTAACTCAATTTTGCTCTTTTGTATAATTTTGATAGATATCAAACTTGGTTTTAGAAATTAATAAATTAAATGGAGAATACTTGCAAAATTTACAATCTAATGATTTGAATTTGATTTCTATCCACAATAAGCAATGTGATTTTGGATTTTTCATGAAGGTACGTGTGCACAGGGGGAGCCAGTAATCCTATCCCCAATGCAACACATGGATACATATGCCCCACTGGTCATTTCTGTGTAGAGGGCACCACACAAGAGCAGGGCTGTCCTCTGGGTACATACCAGTCCAACATGGGTCAGGACCATTGTCTCAATTGTCCTGCTGGCAAAATGTGCACAGAGTTGAACTTGACGCTGCCATTGGATTGTAAAACAGGTATGTCTGTCAAGGTTATCTCGGAAATGGGAACATTTTATAGTATTTGTATTGCATTTATGAACAATAATTTGAGAAAAGGAAGTAACCTGCATACATGGAATTTTTGTCCTTAAGGTTTTTTCTTACTATCAGTTTTCAGAGTATCAAGTAAAAAGTTATCCTCTCAAAGCATAACCATACAATTAACATTTAAGATTTTTTTTTCTGTGGACATCTTTATCATTGTTCCATGTTTCTTTTTTATGAAGGATATTACTGTCTGGCTGCCCAGGACCCAATTCCGTGTCCTAATGGTACCTATAACAATGCCACAGGAATGGATGACCTCTCAGATTGTGTGGACTGTCCAGTAGGAAAATATTGTGAAGGAATTGGAAACAGTATCCCTGATGGTCAGTTTGAAACACATTTTTATACCTTATACATGTATAAATAAATTCTGGGGAATATGTATAGGAATATCTCCTATTTATCCTTCCAAATTTTATTGTGGGGCATAACAACACTGAAGACTCCGTGTATACTTCAAACTGTTACTACTAATAGACTGAGATTGGACTTCAATTTCCAGATACTTTGATTTAGAATTTAAATGGTAGAATAGATTTAAGATAAAGTAAATAGTAACATGTACACTTGTTATGAATACTTTAAACCTACTTTTATTCACTTGTGAGAAATATCCACAGATTTCATTACATTCTTTAACTCTCAAATAATTAGAGATGCAAACCATTAATTTACTTAATTGTGTATTTTTGAAGAATGAAGGTGCAAAATTAGTAGTCATGGATAGATTTTACAGTGAAAAAAGTCAATTAGAAGTTGTGATAAATAATAGCTGTTAGTTTTAATGCTTATACTTCAGGTGACTGTGATGCTGGGTACTTCTGCGAAGGTGGAGCCACCAGCCGTGCCCCTTCCCCCTCAATGACCTACCCCAACAATGGACTGTGTGACCCAGGGAGATACTGTACCTCAGGGACCAGCAGTCAAGTAGAGTGTCCCACTGGCACCTTCAGAAACACCTCAGGTTAGCAAAGAATAAGTTTATAGTAACTAAAAGACAAAATCGTGTGTAGTTCAGATACTAAATTATTTGATTTGATTTGCACAGATACACATGTAAATTATGTAATGCTTTTATCCAGGTAATTAATGATTGACTTTTTTTTTTTTGCTTTATAAGAATAAATAATTGAACTGAGGTTCTAACAACGTAGAAATTTAAGCATCCACCTCATTTGAATATTGAGCATAGACTTACCATTAATTAAAAGTGTTGCATTGTGTGTATTAGGTGCTGCGTCAGCATCAGATTGTCTCCCCTGTACTGGTGGTTACTACTGTGCGGGCACTGGACTGACCTCTCCCACTGGTCTGTGTGCTGCGGGCTACTACTGTCCAGATAATGAAACCATTGCTTCTGCCACACCTACTGGCTTCCAGTGCCCAGCAAACTACAAGTGTCCCGAGGGATCTGCCGATCCTGTGGCCTGTCCATCAGGGGAGTACCAGGCCAATATGGGGCAGTCCACATGTGACAAATGTCCAGCTGGCTACTTCTGTAACACAACTGGAAATGTACCAATCAAATATGACTGTCCACCATTCCATTATTGTCCAGAAGGTGAGAAATAGAAACGTTGCTTTTTAATCATGCATGATGCTCTCAAGGATGTATGGGGAAAAATGAGTTGTTCAAATGTTAACAAAAAGAGATGAAAGTCCTAGAATAACAAGAACATATTGAGCCTATTGTATAAAATACTAAACTCTGAATTTTAGGAACCTGGAATCCTACAAACTGTCCAGATGGAACATTTACCTTTTCCAATATGACTAATCTGGAATCTGCTGCTGAGTGCTTGCCCTGTCTACCTGGAAATTACTGCAGGTTTGCCTCCCTAAGAATCCGGGATATTACACTAGTAAACTGCAACAGTTGTAAATGTGTAAACAAATTTTAGTTTTATATTAATTATTTGTTGTTTTTGTTCTATAGAGGAGGACAAATTTCCAGTGAGTGTTTAGCTGGATACTGGTGCAAATCTGGGTCAAGCAATAACCTAGTCAACAGAACCATGGAATTCCAGAACTGCTCAGCCAATCAGGACTGTTCTGGCCTGTGTCCAAGAGGTCACTACTGTCCACAAGGTGTCGATCTACCTGTCCCATGCCCAGAGCACACGTATAGAGGTACAGAAGGGGCTGAGACTCCGGATCAGTGTGACCCTTGTCCTGCAGGCTTCTACTGTCCATCAGGTAAAGAGTTTGTGATTCTCGAAATATTCACAAACAGTATTGAAAAATAACACACCATGACATAAGCAAATTCAATTCAGTGCAGCATTATTAGGGCCCCGCTCTGCGGGCGCCCTATAGTGATCAGTCTGTCCGTCCGTCTGTCTGTCCGTCTGTCCGTCCGAGATCTCTTGTCCGGAGCATATCTTCTCTCTCCTTGGCCCAATCTGGCTCATACTTCACCCACAGAGTGTCTTTGGGTAAAGGGTGTGCAGTGACCTTGAACCATGTTTCTAGGTCTAAGGTCAAGGTCATAACAGAATTATATGAAAAATCCTTGTCCGGAGCATATCTTCTCTCCTCTTGGTCCAATGTGACTCATACTTCACTCACAGAGTGCCACTGGTCAATGGATGTGCAGTGACCTTGAACGAAGTTTCTAGGTCAAGGGTCAAGGTCAAAAATAGCCTCTCTGTTTAAATTCATGTCCGGAGCATATCTTTTCTCTCTCCTTGGCCCAATCTGGCTCATACTTCACCCAAAGAGTGTCTTTGGGTAAAGGGTGTGCAGTGACCTTGAACCATGTTTCTAGGTCTAAGGTCAAGGTCATAACAGAATTATATGAAAAATCCTTGTCCGGAGCATATCTTCTCTCCTCTTGGTCCAGTGTGGCTCATACTTCACTCACAGAGTGCCACTGGTCAATGGATGTGCAGTGACCTTGAACGAAGTTTCTAGGTCAAGGGTCAAGGTCAAAAATAGCCTCTCTGTTTAAAATCTTTGTTCGGTGCATGGTTTCTTTCTCTTATTAGTCTAGTCAGCCTCAAACTTTACCAATTGACGTAGGGTACAGAACATTTGTGAATTTCCTTCCATATTTTGATACATATGCAACAGTTTTCATAGAGGATATGCAACATTTGTGATTTTTGTGCTGCTTTTTGATAGAGGGTATGGAGCACTCGTGATTTTCATGCCATTTTTTATTATAACAAGGTTGACATAGAAGCCCTTTAGACTCAAACAACACATCCCTTAATAGTACACAAGTGTTCCTCTTCAAAATAAACCCTTTTCAGCTCCTTTACTTTTTCATGTTCCTTGCTGAAAGCGGGGCCCTTTGAGATGGCCACCATCTCAATAATATCTAGTTTTGATTTATATTTATATGGTCTTAAAACCATTTTCTTTAAATTAAAGTAAAGATTAGGAATTTCTTTAAATTCATGCATTAATTATCTTTCTTTTTTTAAATTACAGCTGGTAAGTTGCATGCTTTCACTTGAGAATTCTATATATATAATTTATGGCTTCTTTATATACAGATTTTTGAAAACCCATTTTCCCCCTAGTATCATTTTCCCATCTGATTCCCAAATGAGTGTGTTATCCATAGATAAACCTTACAATATATTATACATACACGCTTGTTTTTTGTTTTAGCAGAAGTTCTATTCTTCATGTTATAGTGAAAATATGCTCAGTCATTTTTTTTGGACCTTTGTGTAGAGCACTTTCATTTAGCAATCTTAAACCCCAAAATGGGAAAACGTACACTGAACCTAGGATCTTTTTTTCATATACCAAACCTGCTTAATATTCAATATCTGTCATTTCAGAACCTTGAAATTTCATTATAATTTATTTGAACTCATTATCAATTGCCATGCTAGAGGATTATTTGCTTGGCATATTTGTTTTATTTTTGTGCATGCACTTTACATTGGATAATGTTTTCTTAAAGAATGTATTTGCCAAAAGTAGGAGATTCATTGATGCTATCTTAACAAAGTGACATCACTGTAATAACTTTGAAAAACCATCCCTACCCTCTCCCTAACCATTTAGGATATAGATATTCCTTACATTGTTTATTACATTTAACATCAAAGATGCAGTTGTTAGGATTTATTTTCCTTTATAGATGGAATGCTGCTTTAATTTGCTTTTGTTTTTCGTTTACCAAATTAGTATGCTGCATGCAATTATCAGAAGAACAATATTCTTGTTCAATTTTAAATTCCATGTGCCAGACAAATGCATGTTAAATAATGAAGTTTTACAATGCAGTAATGTTAATCAGATATTTGTGACTTTATGTGCTTGGAATGTGATTTGCCGAAATAAATAGTCTAACAAATATTAAAATATCAATTGAATGATTTGCAGTGATGTGTTAAAAAAAGTTCAAGTGTATAATTTCTGCAACATAAAAATTTCATCTTTATAGGACTGAATAGAAGTATTTTTTAATAATGACCATGGACTTGCCATTTCTTTTCTATGTTTTTGAAGACAAATTTGGTTATTAAGAACTAGATTATAAGAAATATTTTGTTATGAGTAAATGAAAATTAATACTTGTATAATTATACATGTATATATACATTCTTGAACATATGGAACTGTTTTGTATACAAAAACACAAAACATCCTTATTCAGTTACAAGAAACCTCAGTTATGAGGAACAAAATTTATGTTCTACTAGAAATCAATAGATGAAAGTTTCATTGTTGTTGACATTGGGATGATAATCCATTATGACCGTGCAAGTTTTCTATTTAGGCACTGCTGATCCTGATCCATGTCCCATTGGTTATTACTGTGAGGAGGGAAATGGTACCACAGAATGTCCCAGACTACAATTCAGAAATATCACAGGGGCAGCCACTGTGTCAGACTGCTTCCCCTGTGTGGCAGGGTACTACTGCAATGAGACAGGTAAAGAAGAAAAAAAATAAGGGGATTTTTGAGTATAAAAAATATATTTTTATTCCTGTAACAGGCCAAAAATGGGATTAGACATTTGATTTGCTGATCTGTTCAATTTTTGTTGGTATAAAGTGTTTCAGAGGTAAATGTGTTTGAACTAGAATTTACCTGAGATGTAATATTTTAGGTATGTCTGATTACTCCACCTATCCATGTCCACCCGGATTTTATTGTTTGGAAGGATCAGAGCCAATACTTTGTCCTGCTGGTAGGATGAGAGACAGTGCAGGAGCTGAGAATTACACAGACTGTGAACTTTGTCGTGGTGGCTACTACTGCCCCAATGATACAATCAATACACAAGGCATCCCTTGTAGAGCTACTTATGAATGTCCCACTGGTGCCTCAATGGAGATTGACTGCCGTCCAGGTCATTACTGCCCAGGTGTAACTGGAACCCCACCAATCTGTCCACCAGGATACTACTGTCCAAATGCAACTGAGACTCCCATTTTATGTGTATACCCATTCTACTGCCCACAGGGTAGCAATATGACCTTGGCTTGTGACCTTGGATATCAAGCATTGACCCATGCTGGAATAAGATATGACAAAGCAATGTCATGTAGAATCTGTCCACCTGGCTATTATGGAAACTCTACCACCAGAGCCACCTGTGAGCTTTGTCCAGCTGGATTCTATTGTCCAGAAGGAACTGGTCATGGTAACACAAACCCCTGTCCAATTGGTACATACTGTCCTATAGGCTCAGATCATCCCACAAAATGCCCTGCTGGATACCGAGGAGAGAAGCTTCGAGCTGAGAGTTTCTATGACTGTCATGGCTGCCCTGCTGGTACGTACAGTGATACAGAGGCTGCCACTCATTGTAAGCCTTGTGGAAGCTCCTCCTACTCAACAGGAAACAGCTCCATCTGTACCTGTCTAGGGAAGTACCGATCCTTCCAGAAGTCTGTAGGATCCTGTGTGTGTCTGTCTGGGTATATCTATTATGATGAGACAGATACTCAGCAGACAGAGGAGAACTCAGATGAAGATTGTCAGCAGATTGTGGACACCAGATGTACGGAGTATGAAGTACGCCTCTCCTCCACCCGGCAGTGTGTCCTGAAGGAAATGGTCAATTGTAATGCAGGATGTGACACATCTGGATATCTGGATGTGGAACTTGGAGTGTATGTATTAAATGATTTGCCACAAGTTTAATAATCATTCATTTTTAACTTTTTGTCCTGTTTTGCTAATAGACAAACTTGAGGTTCATTCACTGATATTAATTTTTCCAGGTGTCTCTGTAATAACTTGATAGCAGCAGATTCTGTTTGTGACGCATCATGTCTGGCTGTAGCACCTGCTGTAACAGCAGAGTTACAGAATGACGGAACACTGCAAGTGACAATCACCAACTCCAGTGGACATGTGGTTGAAGCAAAGGTGAATGTCTGATTTATATTTTGATATAATTTTAAAAAGTGTGCTTGAACAGATTTTCTTCTGAAAATTTTCAGCATTTCACAAACAGTATATTTGTTGATATTTTGTATTTTAGACTATGACAGACATATTTGGTCCACTGGAGAGCACCAATGGTGTGAAGGGGGTGATGGTTGTCAATTTTTATGATGACCGCATCACAGCCTCAATCTTTAGAGATCAGACTGAGGCCAAGGATTTGTTCTGTAAGTCTATACAACTATCTCAATCATACTGTTAGGTTGGTTGTGTACATTTACTAAAAATATTATCTAATCATCATAACATACTTAACATAATTATGCTGTTGACAACAAAAAATATGAAAAATAACTGTAGAATCATGCAAAGTTAATTTAATTTTTAGAGATCCTAACATGGGCTACACTCATCACATAAATGTTTCATCATATTTTGATTTGATTCAGTGACAACTCAAGAGATGGCCAGTGGGGTGACCAATGCCCCGGGGACCCACATTGGTAGACGTCGTTTACTGACCACAACTGTCCCAAATAACCAGATTTCCAATAGCGTTTTGTGTCTGGAACTCAATGAAATGGTCATGTTCAAGGTTTGGATCAATGATACGGACCGCACCAAGAGTCATTACCCAGTCTACTTAAAGGACCATCTGTTCAGCAATAACCCCAACTTTGACTATGGACAGTTCCTGGCTCTGAAGAACTTGATTGAGACAACCAATGTTAACATCTCCACATTTGCCTTTGTCTTCACAGAAGCTGGAAATTATGTCTTCCAGGACTACTCAACTTCCACATCGTAAGTTTTCATACTACTGAACTTTGGTATCTCAATCATTAATATCTCTAATACCATGAATATGTCAAAGTGAGTGGAAGTCTCAGTGTTGGTTATCCAATGTTGTGAGGATAACTGTTCTGTTTTTTTTCTCAGCCTGATCTACATTAAAGTAATGAATGCTGGCACCACATGTGGTACTGGGTCCAGAGTCCAGGCAGCCACCGCCTCCAATCTGGTGTCACTTGGATTCTATAAGGCAAACCCCAGCAATGTGGCACCTGACTGGGGACTTATCATAGGTAAAATTACAATCATTGTTATTGGACTAAAAAAAACTTTGTCCAAAGATTACTTTACCCATGAAATCAAACTAAAAAGAAATATATTGTAAAAATACTCATCATACACATTGCTGATAATATTGTTTCATGCTGAGTGAATTTCTTTTGACAGGTATGATAGCTTTCTTTGGTGCTCTAGTCGTGTTACTGGTTGCAGCTGTCATTGTCTGGAGACCTAAGGAGGCTGGAATATACCCCATGAAACATTGGAAACCCCAGTATCGAAGCCTTGGAGCCCCACCACCTGTACCTTCCTATATGAGATATGATGTAGGACACTGGCCTGATAAAGCCATGTAAGTACTGACACAAAATCCCTCCTTGGTCACTTTTTAATGAAAAAGAGTGTCAATTTGTTTTGCATGGGTTTTAATTTACAATGGAGGCCAATTTTAAACAGTTAAACATTGATTTTCTGATTTGTTTAGTGCTAACAGTGGTCTAGGAGAGAGAGTGACTGGTGATGGAGCAGAAGCTGATGTTCTAAACTCAATGGGTAAGTTTCGTTATCATTCCCCATCAAAAAAAAAAGTTCTAAGAATTTAAACTGCCAGTACTGTAACCAGATATTATAGTATTAATGTTAATAGTATATTTCTCTTTTAATAGCTGTCAAAGGAGTGGAGGATCTGGAGAATTTCAATGTGAGAGTTTTCTATGACAAACTGGAAGATCAGAACCTCCACCTGGCATCACAGCTGGCCAAACAACAGGAAGATCTGAAATCCTTCTACAAGAAGATCTGTGACCAAAATGAAGAGCTCAAGCAGCTGCTGAAGAACCTGGACCCAGCTAAACTGGAGGAACTAGAGAGGAAGATGGCAGAGCGTGCTAAACAAGAGGAGGGCATGCAGAAAGGAGCAGGGGATGTCTTCAACATCATCAATGGAAAAGCCAATATGAGAGATGGAAAATACAGATTTGCCGGTATGAATTTCTCAGTTTCTTAGTCATAGTTTGTCTTAAATATATAATTTTTAAGACTAGGTATTAATTCTTGTATTTAAACTGTTATTTATCCTCCAGGTGGAAACAACAGGGAAGCAGAGTTGATGGCTGCCCTACAGCTCCTCCTAGACAGACTGAACTCTGGGAACCTGCCGATCAGCCAGAGTGTTTGGGAGGAGATACAGAAGGGAGGCGTAGTACCTGATGGAGGGTCTGTTACCAACATAAACAGACTGCCTGGAGGTCGGGGCAAACAGGTAAATTATGTCAGATAAAAGTTCAAGAACATCTGGAATTATTTATTGATTAAAAAAGTTTTAAAATTCAACATGTAAGGGTACATTAAGCAGAAATTGTACAAATTGTGGTGTAAATGTTTTTGAATAACAATAAATGAACCTTTATTACAGGGAGAAGTGCTTAGGAAACAGAGAGAGGAGAGAATGCAGTTGGAACGAGAATTACAGCAGGAAGAGAATGACATGATCTCAGACATGGTGTCTCGTACCGAGGATCAGCGCAAAGACACTGTCAACATGATGACTGATGGGCTTGCTGGCAAGCTCCAAGGTGACCCTAAAGATGCACAGGTCAAGGACATTTTAGACAAATATGAGAAAGACCTTGATGCTAATATGAACAAGTTTAACATGGAGAAAGAGAAACAGTTGCAAGACCTAAGAAGGAAGTTGGCTGAGAAGAGAAGGAGAAAGGAAGCTCAACTAAGAGAAAAACATAAGCAAGAGGTGATTTGATATATCTCAAGCAAAAGGAAATCTATTAGCCATATTGAAAATATTGGTAATTTTTAAAATGTCTATGCTTCCAAGTATCTTAAAAAATAACTCTAACTGCTATTGTTTTGAAGGCTGAGGAAGCAGGTATTCCACCACCTCTTGAAGAAGAAGACCATGTTGCAGACACAAAGATCAGACAATCAGAGGCCCTGTATGACACTCTGCTGGCAGAGGAGGCTGCTGGGGCCGCTAAAGGAGAGGGAGAGACTGACCACCAACTTAATGAAGACAAACGCAGACTGGAGTCAGAAAAACTCCAGGAACATCTCGTGAGTTTTAATTCTTTTTTCTTTTTCACTTAAATTTCACTGAAAACAAAAACCCTGCTTTTTGGCACATTATATCCTACAATGTGTGTAACTGTGCTCTGATATTTCTGATAACATTCATTCCAGAACCAACTGACTCAGCAGGGCATAATTACAGCCCAGCAGAAGGATGAACTGCTCAGGAAACACTTAGAAGCTGAGCAGAACCTGAAGAAGGTTCATGACCACCAGAGAGAGACTCAGGTCTCTCACCTTAAAGACAAGCTGGCAGACAGACGCAAGAAGAAGCTGGCCAAGCTACGCAGTGAACAGGAACAAGAGCTATCTGATGTAGGTGTTACAGGCGCGTCAGATGGCTTACATTATTAGATAACTGTATTTGAATGTAAATGTATATGTCATGTATATTGAATTGTGTAATATTATGCTATTATAATCACCTCCAAAAAAAGTATAAGGATATTATAGCCTTAGTATTGATTTCTTCTTCCTTATTTTTATAGCTGTCTTCAAAACTTATCCAAGATGGAAACACTGAAGATTTAGAGCAGGAGTTAGAACAGCTGAAGAATCTTCATAAACAGCAAATGGAAGCCGCTGAAGCAGAGCTGGATGCTGAGGAGAAAGAACATGAACGACGCATCATAAAGAAGGTGGATGATGAACATAATGAGGCTTCCAAGAAGAAACGCAGTGAAATATTCAAACAGGTTAGTGTTTGGGTAAAACATGTTTTAAAAAGATAACAAGTCTGATGTTATTTCCCTACAGAATTTGATATGTGTGATAAATCATAAAGACTTTCTGAGTCCCATCTTTTCATTCTCTTTTACAGATTGCTGACCAGTGCCCAGAAAAGCAGCAGACAGCTATGCAACGTCTCCTTGACAACTATCAACATGACACAGAGACTCTTGAACAAGAGTTAGCAGTACAGAGAAGTCGTCACATGGCAGACCTTCAAGTAAATATGACTTGGAATTCTTTTCAGTCAAGAGTCTGATACATTGAAAAGTTTACCCTTAAAAAGAATTTGACTTTTACTTGAATTCAAATTGTTTGAAAAGTATTGTTTAAATGTTTGATCTTATATAAACCTCTTTTTGATTTGTTCAGGCCAAGCTTGCTGCCAGAAGAGCCCGTAAATTAGCGGAGGCTCAGAGGAAACTGGACGGGGAAGAGCAGCAGCGATTGATCTCAGAACAGAATCGTCAGATGCAGCAAGGAGGAGGTATTGAGGAAGAAGAAACTGACCTGGCCCATGTTCCTAAAGTCCAGTACAGTCAGTCCATTGAAGAGCAGGCTCTTCAGAAGGAACAGGTACTAATGAGTCTTATGACTATCATGGGGAAATACATTGGTTCCCATGGTATCATGGGAAAGTTTGAATACATCAATCCAGAACTGTAATAGATTCATTTGAAAGAATTGTGTTGAGAAGGAATGATCAAAAGCTAAGAGCAATAATCTAAAATTCATAAAGCACTATGTTTCCTTTATTAAATTTTTATCATTAACAATGATTTGTCTAAGATTTTGACCCGTAGGGTTAAATGAATTGGATTACTTTTCAGTATTTTGCTCATTCTTGTGTTAACAAATTGTCACCTGCAGCAAAATTGGAACTAAGTGAAAGAGGGCCAATCTCCCCTAAACAGAAATCAATGCTGTCTTTCTTTAGTTGTGAATTTTGACTCTTTTGATGATGGTGATGTGTGACTGAGGATTTAATTAGATAAACTTGATATTGAAGGAGAGGATAAGAGAAGACATGAAGAAGAGACAAAAACAGGAAAGAGATAAGGTAGTAGAAAAGTTGGATGCTGAGGAGGAAAAAGAAGAGAGGTCACTGGCCAAGGAGCTGGACTCCCAGAAAGAGAAGTTACTGAGGGAGAAGAGGAACAGACAAGCTACAGAGCTGTCCTCACGCAAAGATTTGACTGATGATCAAATGAGAGAGGTCAGTTTATGTTTACAAGAGCCAAATCAGGTGTTTTCTCATACTTTATAAGTTCCAGAGCATATGTGTGAAGTATTGTATTTAAATAATGTCATGTTGAAGAATGTTTTTTTTTTTATCATAATTATCTCATTTCCAGCTGATGGCTTCACATGAGCAAGAACTTCAAGATTTAGAGGAGAAACTAGAGAATGAAAGACACAGGCAATTCCTAAGTCTGAAGGAGAAACTCAATGCTAAACGTAATAGAAAGATGGATGAAGTACGGCGAAAACAAGATGTGGAGACCACTAAGGAGATGATTGAACAAAAGAAAGAAGTGGATGAAATTAAATTAAAGAAAGTAAGTTTATAAGATCTTAAATGCTCAATTCTGTTTGTTAAGCAATAGTTAAAAGGATATTGCAATTGATATTGTGGGTACAAGATTTGTACAAGTATTTGCATGATTCTTCAGGCTAAAGGTGTTGAACATGAAGCCATTGTGGAAGGAATCAAACAAAATGGTGAAGAAGATACAGATAAAGTGGTCAAGGCTGTTCTGGCAAAGAGACACGCTCAGGTAGGTTATCTGTTTGGTTCAAGGCTGAACTATAGTAAGACCTGATAGCTTTGAAATAAGAATCAACTTGAAGTAAATACAGTTGAATTTCGGTGTCTAGAATACTGATATCTTGAATAGCATGGATATGTCAGTGTGATTTGGAAGTCCCAACCACTTATTCTTTAAGTATTTTACCCTGAATATATTGAATCCTTGATTTTTTCTCATTTTTAGCTCTTCTGAGCCAAAGGCTCAAAGAGCTAATGCTATGGCCATTTGTGCGGTGTGCGTAAACTTTTTAGAATATGGGCCATAACTCAAGAACTCCTTGGCCAATTATTGTGAAATTTGTCACAGGGTATCCTTGGCCCAAGGGCTCCCTTTTATACTAAAACTGGGGTTGTGACCCTTTAACAAGGGGAGATAATTAGGAAAATAGAAACAAAAGTACTGGTTGCTAAAAAATCTTCTTCTCAAGAACCACTGGGCAGATTATCACCAAACTTACACAAAAGGATGAGGATATGTTGTAGATTAAAATTTGCACGGGGATTTACCCTGGGGCAAAGGGCGTGGTCTCAAGGTCACTTCAAAGTTGACCAAAAATTACATTTTATTAAAATGTTGATATTTTGCTTACTATAAGGACTAGGATCATCAAATCTTGTCAGTTGGTGCATCTAAGGACCTCATATCATGTTGACTCAAAAGTAGGTCACAGTGACCTACTTTTTAAATTTTGCGGCCATTCTTTTTCAAAATGATTTAGAGGCATATTTTGAACAATTTAAGGCCTATGATCATCAAACTTTGTCAGTTGATGCATCTTGGGTCCTCAAAGTACGTCAACTAAAAAGTAGGTCACCTTGACCTACTTTTTGAATTTTATGGCTAATCTTTTTTAAAACAATTAAGGTCAATAATTCGAATACGGGGAGGCTTAGAATCATTAAATCTTGTAAGATGATGCATCTTGGGGCCATAAAACATAGTTATTAAAAAGTAGGTCACAGTGACCTACTTTTTGAACTTTGCAGGCATTCGATTTCAAAGCGTTTTAGAGGCATAATTTGGACATTTTAAGTCCTATGATCATAAAACTTTGTAAGTTGATGCATCTTGGGTCCTCAAAAAAGGTCAACTGAAAAGTAGGTCACCGTGACCTACTTTTCAATTTATATGACTATAATTAAATATTTCAGGTACTAATTGGCTTAGAATCATCAAACTTTGTCAGTTGATGCATCTTGGGTCTTCAGAGTAGGTCGACTAAAAAGTAGGTCACAGTGATCTACTTTTGAAAATTTAAGGCGTTAATTAAATATTTCGGGTACTAATTGGCTTAGAATCATCAAACTTTGTCAGTTGATGCATCTTAGGTCTTCGGAGTAGGTCAACTAAAAAGTAGGTCACAGTGACCTACTTTTGAAAATTTATGGCGTTAATTAAATATTTCGGGTACTAATTGGCTTAGAATCATCAAACTTTGTCAGTTGATGCATCTTGGGTCTTCAGAGTAGATCGACTAAAAAGTAGGTCACCGTGACCTACTTTTGAAAATTTATGGCTTTAATTAAATATATCGGGTACTAATTGGCTTAGAATCATCAAACTTTGTCAGTTGATGCGTCATGGGTCTTCGGAGTAGGTCGACTAAAAAGTAGGTCACCGTGACCTACTTTTGGAAAATTTATGGCTTTAATAAAATATTTCTGGTACTAATTGGCTTAGAATCATGAAACTTTGTCAGTTTAGGCGTCATGGGTCCTCGGAGTACAACAACTGAAAAGTAGGTCACGGTGACCTACTTTTGAAAATTTATGGCTTAAATCAAATATTTCGGGTACTAATTGGCTTAGAATCATTAAACTTTGTCAGTTGATGCGTCTTGGGTCCTCGGAGTACAACAACTGAAAAGTAGGTCACGGTGACCTACTTTTGAAATTTTATGGCTGTATTTAATATTTTCAGGAATTATTTGGCTTAGAATCGTCAAAATTTGTCAGTTGATGCATCTTTGGTCCTCGGAGTAGGTTGACTGAAAAGTAGGTCACTGTGACCTACTTTTGAAAATTTATGGCTGTAATTAAATATATTTTGGGTACTTATTGGCTAGAATCATCAAACTTTGTCAGTCGATGTATCTTTGGTCCTCGGAGTACAGCAACTGAAAAGTAGGTCACGGTGACCTACTTTTGAAAATTTATGGCTTTAATTAAATATTACAGGTACTAATTGGCTTAGAATCATCAAACTTTGTCAGTTGATGCATCTTGGGTCCTTGGAGTAAAACAATTGAAAAGTAGGTCACTTTGACCTACTTATAAAATTTTATGATTATAATTCTAAAAAATATTTTAGGTATTAATTGGCTTAGAATCATCAAACTTAGTTGATGGGTCCTCAGAGAATGACAAGTGATAAGTAGGTCACCATGACCAACACTCAGGTACTAATTGGCTTAGAATCATCTTGGGTTCTCAGAGTGTGAATTGGAATTTCAAGGGTTTATGTAAATATACAGGATACTTCGAGGCTTCAAATAGAAGTGATAGGTTGTACAGTTTATCAGAAGAGCGATTCAAGGCCCATGGGCCTCTTGTTTTCTCAGTCCTTTTGAGTTTGAAATAACAAGGTTTGACTGTATGTGATAACACTTTCATACAAACAACAGGAAATGCAAGACCTTGAGAACCAGTTTAAAACCAAGAGAAAGCTGGTGGTTGATGATGCCCTCAGTAAACTGCATGAAAAGTATGACAAACTGCGGGACAGTTTGTCCAAGCAGCACCAGGAAGAGTTAGCTGCCCTTCAGGTAAGTGAGGAAAAGGAAAATTAAGAACTTAACAAAACTGAATGAGTCCAATTTAGAATGAATTCAAAAAATATTTAACTAATAAAATTTCTTGCAATTTTACTTCTTATGAACTATGAAATTCTTTTATTCACTTTTAAAGTAATAATTTGCAAAACAATTGACAGAATAAATTGTGTGTTGTAGAAGAAGGGATTAAGTCCGGAGGAGTATCAGCACCAGAGAACACAGCTCCTGAACAAACAGCAGTTAGAGATGGCGGACCTGGAGAGGAGGCTGTCTGAGGAGGAACACGAGATAGAGAAGGGGGCACTGACTGACTGGGAGGTCCAGTATGCCAGGGCCAAACTGGAGCTCAAGGAGAAACACTACAAGGTAGACTCATGGAAAACAGTCCGGCATAGTTATTGATCATTTAATGATTCAAGTGTATATGAACTGTTTTAGTAGTGAGAGTATAATTAAAGCTCGGCTGTTCATCTGTAGTATTAAAAAAGACAAATTGAAATGTACATGTTCATTACAAGAGACCGGACCCCTTTGAGTTGCTAAATGTTTTATAACTGTGCTTTATGTTACTATAACAGGAATTTGCTGAGGCACTGAAGGAGTTTTCACCAGAACATGATGGCATAAAGGAAGCTGAGCAGAATGTTGAGGAACTGGAGAGACTCAAGCATGAACTGGAACAAGAACGCAAGAACCAGTTAGACCAGGCCAAGAAAGAACAACAAGGTACAGCTGTCATTCTAAACACATTAATTTTCTCATATTCTCTGTATTATTATGAAAAGTTTCAAGTTATTTAATTCAGCAAAGCCTTCTTTTTCAATAAAAATTCTGTAGCACATTTGTGTGTCTTGCAGAATTTGAAAAGAATGAGAAAAAGCGTTTAGAGGCAGAAATGGAAGAATATGCAAAACAACTAGAAAAGGACACTATTCGTGAAAAAGAGCAGCAAGACCGCAAGATTGAGCAGCTCAATAAACGCAAAGAGGACATGGTCAAAGAAAAGAAACAAAAAATGAATGTATGTGAAGATAATCAGATTTTACCCAACCCCCTTCAAAAAAAAAATTATGGAAATTGTGTTTTGAATTTTAAAAAAAATCGTAATTTAAATCTTTGTCTACACAAACAAATAATGTAGAATTTGAAAGCCAAAAAAATGTCTCTATTATTTTTTTTCCCAGGAGGAACTTGAGAAGATCAGACAACAGGGTGCTAGTGAGGATGAGCAGAAACGCTTGATTGAACAACATGAGCGTGACTTACAGAATATACTCAATAAGATGGATGCTGACAAGATGAGAATGCAGAGTAATCTACAAGAGAGACTGAAAAAGAAGAAGGAGGAAAGACTAAGACATAAACAAGAGGAGCTGAAAGAAAACTTCAAAGACCAGAAACGAGAGATGGAACAAAAACAGAAGAGTGAAGCCAACAGAATCAAGAAGAATGAGGTATGCATCCAGTGCTTAGAATAGCACCACAAGAAGTTTGTTCAGTCTGTTCACTGACAAATACTTACTGTGAGCTATCATACAGTAAAAGGAAATATTCTTGAAGAGGTGAATATGCAATGTTCAGAAGATATATAAATCTGTTTTTTACTTTTCAGGCATTGGCCATCCAAGAAAGCATCAGTTCTGGCTATGTCCCCCAGCGTACATCCTCACCACCTCCAAAACAAGATTATCAATCTGACACAGAGGAACCTGAGACTACAGCACCTCCTCAGGAACCCATGCCAACCTCATACCAGATGGCAGCACCTCTCAATGAGGCAGAGCTGATGTCCCTCCTCATGGCATCACCAGTATATCAGAAACTGGAACAAATCAAAGATTCTGTCAAAAATGGAATCACACCACCCAAACATAGAATGAATCCTGGTTAGTCTCTGTTTTAATGAACTGAAATAATTGATATTTGAGTCTTTTTCTCTACAATTCTCTTTTAAGTGTTTGGTATATCTGATGTTGAAGTGGAAGTAATACTCTTGTTACATGCATAGAATATTCTGTAACTTGTTCCACTGAGTGTTGTATAATGTAGTTAAAACATGTTCCTGTGATTGAAGGTGAAGGGTATCAAGATACTAGAGATGCTGAATGGTCAAAGGACACAGAGCTGGTCCCTGTGGACATTGGAACCCTGAATGCCCGCTCCTTCATTGTTTACAAGTTTGGCTGCTTTGTCACAGACCTTGTGTCATCCAGGTGTCATCATGCCCCTGTAACAATTCTCCTAGCGGACAAGATCCCATCCAACAAGAACCTGGCCAGGAATGCCTTTAGGAACTCCTTCCACTATGATGCCAACAACAGGATTCTCTATATTAGAGTAGCCCGACTAGACACAGTCGGAGATTTCATTGTGGTACTGATACACTCCCTTGCTCACATCAAAGCAGGTAGGAAACAGCTCCTCTGGCATGCATAGAATATTCTGTATCTTGTCACTTTTTCAATGTAGAATTGTGATGCTAAATTGATGACATAATGTCATAATTAAAAAAAAAAATCTTTTCTTTATTTTTATGGATGACTTGTTTTGAATTATTACAAATAACTTGAGAATGTGTGTGTTTTTTTGTGTCAGTCTTTTTGTTCTTTGATTTGTAGGAGACCTTAGAGACGACAGTAACCCAGACTTCATCAAGGAATACAATAGAGCCCTGGCTGTTGTCTGTGATGACCTCTTCTTTGCCAGATACAGGAGAACAACAGGGCACTCTACCATCTCTAAATCTACTGGAGGAAACTCAGAGCAGGCGGCCCTTCAGATGCTGCAGGCAATGTTCAGTGGCTGTCGCACAGAGGATGAAAAGGTCAAGATGGTAGATGATCTTTTGGATGTCAAACTCCTGCCAGGCACTAATATGGAGGGTGTGCACTTCAACAAGGAGAGATTGACTGACAGGTAAATTTCTTTTAGATTTTTAGCTCTTCTGAGCCAAAGGCTCAAAGAGCTAATGCTATGGCCATTTGTGCGGTGTGCGTAAACTTTTTAGAATATGGGCCATAACTCAAGAACCCCTTGGTCAATTATTGTGAAATTTGTCACAGGGTATCCTTGGCCCAAGGGCTCCCTTTCATACTAAAACTGGGGTTGTGACCCTTTAACAAGGGGAGATAATTAGGAAAATAGAAACAAAAGTAGTGGTTGCTAAAAAATCTTCTTCTCAAGAACCACTGGGCAGATTATCACCAAACTTACACAAAAGGATGAGGATATGTTGTAGATTAAAATTTGCACGGGGATTTACCCTGGGGCAAAGGGCGTGGTCTCAAGGTCACTTCAAAGTTGACCAAAAATTACATTTTATTAAAATGTTGATATTTTGCTTACTATAAGGACTAGGATCATCAAATCTTGTCAGTTGGTGCATCTAAGGACCTCATATCATGTTGGCTCAAAAGTAGGTCACAGTGACCTACTTTTTAAATTTTGCGGCCATTCTTTTTCAAAATGATTTAGAGGCATATTTTGAACAATTTAAGGCCTATGATCATCAAACTTTGTCAGTTGATGCATCTTGGGTCCTCAAAGTACGTCAACTAAAAAGTAGGTCACCTTGACCTACTTTTTGAATTTAATGGCTAATCTTTTTTAAAACAATTAAGGTCATTAATTCGAATACGGGGAGGCTTAGAATCATTAAATCTTGTAAGATGATGCATCTTGGGGCCAAAAAACATAATTATTAATAAGTAGGTCACAGTGACCTACTTTTTGAACTTTGCAGGCATTCGATTTCAAAGCGTTTTAGAGGCATAATTTGGACATTTTAAGTCCTATGATCATAAAACTTTGTAAGTTGATGCATCTTGGGTCCTCAAAAAAGGTCAACTGAAAAGTAGGTCACCGTGACCTACTTTTCAATTTATATGACTATAATTAAATATTTCAGGTACTAATTGGCTTAGAATCATCAAACTTTGTCAGTTGATGCATCTTGGGTCTTGGGGGAAGGTCGACTAAAAAGTAGGTCACAGTGACCTACTTTTGAAAATTTATGGCGTTAATTAAATATTTCGGATACTAATTGGCTTAGAATCATCAAACTTTGTCAGTTGATGCATCTTGGGTCTTCAGAGTAGATCGACTAAAAAGTAGGTCACCGTGATCTACTTTTGAAAATTTATGGCTTTAATTAAATATTTTGGGTACTAATTGGCTTAGAATCATCAAACTTTGTCAGTTGATGCGTCATGGGTCTTCGGAGTAGGTCGACTAAAAAGTAGGTCACCGTGACCTACTTTCAGAAAATTTATGGCTTTAATAAAATATTTCGGGTACTAATTGGCTTAGAATCATAAAACTTTGTCAGTTTATGCGTCATGGGTCCTCGGAGTACAACAACTGAAAAGTAGGTCACGGTGACCTACTTTTGAAAATTTATGGCTTTAATCAAATATTTCGGGTACTAATTGGCTTAGAATCATTAAACTTTGTCAGTTGATGCGTCTTGGGTCCTCGGAGTACAACAACTGAAAAGTAGGTCACGGTGACCTACTTTTGAAATTTTACTGTATTTAATATTTTCAGGAATTATTTGGCTTAGAATCGTCAAAATTTGTCAGTTGATGCATCTTTGGTCCTCGGAGTAGGTTGACTGAAAAGTAGGTCACTGTGACCTACTTTTGAAAATTTATGGCTGTAATTAAATATTTTGGGTACTTATTGGCTAGAATCATCAAACTTTGTCAGTCGATGTATCTTTGGTCCTCGGAGTACAGCAACTGAAAAGTAGGTCACGGTGACCTACTTTTGAAAATTTATGGCTTTAATTAAATATTACAGGTACTAATTGGCTTAGAATCATCAAACTTTGTCAGTTGATGCATCTTGGGTCCTTGGAGTAAAACAATTGAAAAGTAGGTCACTTTGACCTACTTATAAAATTTTATGATTATAATTTTAAAAAATATTTTAGGTATTAATTGGCTTAGAATCATCAAACTGAGTTGATGGGTCCTCAGAGAATGACAAGTGATAAGTAGGTCACCATGAGCAACTCTCAGGTACTAATTGGCTTAGAATCATCTTGGGTTCTCAGAGTGTGAATTGGAATTTCAAGGGTTTATGTAAATAGGAGGGGTTATCAAAAAGTTCGTGGACTGATGCGATAAAATTAATACTATGTAGTCGTTGACTACAAATTTTATAGGGAACATAAGACAACAAAAGTTTAGAAAGTGTTGAAAATTTCCGCTTGATATGTTGATTATTTGCCAAATTATCATTAACTAAAAAGGGTATTATACGACCACCCGGCGCTGTCGCCGTTTAGTTTCATGACGTCCGACAACGCCATTATTTCTCAATACCCGCTCCTTCTGCCACAATACACTTATCTTGATAAGATTCTCTGGAGTAAAGTAAAGACCTAAACCCGTCTTGTTTATATGACTTTACAAGGTCATAATCACCTTATTTCAATGCATTTATATTGTAGATATTAAACCTATACATAGGAAAAGATCCTCGCTTGATTTGCCAGCATAATTTTCTTGTCGGAGTTCAATGTCAACCAATGATCAACGTTACTTTTCGACATGACTGACTTTGGACACCCTGAATATAAATCGACATTATCCGTGTGTCTCTCTTGCTGAATCTTTTTTGATATTTAAAAACAAGTACCCTGGATGTATTTTAATTTCTCTGTAGCCTGTTTAAACATTTTCTAAGTCTAAACCAATTTTTCCAGGGGCTGAAACTTTGTAGAATGTTGTAAAATGACACCCTACCCCCTTTCGACGTCATTTTTAACCCCTTTATTGTTTGGACATTCAATATAAAATTTACGATAAAATTTCATAGAATATACAAGGTGAGGTGAAATTTGCAACTGTTAAGGAAAAATTGTGTCATATAACATAAGAGAGTTAATTGGACTTTCGGATGACAAATGCTCATATTAGAAGAGTTTTTCTCAGTTACACTCAGGTAGAAAATACGTTATGTTTGAGGTTGCGCCGCCTGGGCATACCATTGCTAACAAAAACATTTACGATTCACTAAAAAACAAAACTTATGATTTATAGTTTATTTTACAGATAGAAAAGATGATGCTTATTAAATGTTTAAAAATTCATTGTTGTACATTTAGCGGTTTTAATTTTATGGTGCTAGTCCACGAACTTTTTGATAACCCCTCGTATACAGGATACTTCGAGGCTTCAAATAGAAGTGATAGGTTGTACAGTTAATCAGAAGAGCGATTCAAGGCCCATGGGCCTCTTGTTGAATACTATCATACACTCATTGATTAATTAACTATTGGAACATTAGCTTTTAAACACTGTTGAAATGGGAAAGCAAGCTTTTCTGACTTAAAACTAGATGCCCTGTGAACAAACAGAAACATTTCATGTTGAAATGCTATGATGCATGGATCAAACTTTGATACAAATTTGAAAACAGGGGATGTTGTGTAGCTTGTAAAGTTATGGCTTGACGTTAATTTTTCAGGTTATCCAAATACTCTGGATTTAGCAACCTAAACCAACTGCAAAACATGCTGGGAAATATGGAAGACAAAATGGCACAGGCAAAAGCTCAAGGGAGCTCTAAGGGATCTATTGATCAGCTGGCAACACTCAGTCATAGATTTTCCACTTCAGGTAAGACCAACTGGAAAAGGTAGCAAGTTTAAGTTTGCTTTTAGACATAACTACACGTCCATTTGAAGAATTGACCTAAATTTAGCTTATACATGTATGTAATCGTTGATGTTATTAAATCAAAAATTAACGGTAGACCAATGATATATCATGTATTTCTCCTCTTTGTAATACATGTTAGGATATAAATATTGGTTTATTTGTGAAAAAAAGAAATGTGCAGTGCATGATATTTGAAGCTAACATTAAATTTATGGTATTTTGTAGGTCCTCCTTCCGCCCTTAGCAAGTTACCCCCATTCCGCTTTGTGACTGCAAACATGACTGGACAGGCATTATGGCAGACTTTTGCCAACCATGAAGATGGTGAAGAGGAAAATGTCTCTCGAGAGGAGGTCATACAAGACTCACTGGTAAGTTCTTTTTTATAGAACAAGGACTTGCTATCTACAGTCCATGAATTAAAGATTATGTCACACTCCTAGAACTTAAATGAAGTAAGAGTGTAACTTTTCTGCTTTCTCTCCAGGAAATTCTTCAAGAACGTCATGACAATTTAACAGCAGACTTTTCCAACATCAACTCTGAAATCATTGAACTACAAGACCGCTCTCGCTCACTAGAGGAGGAATTGGCAACAGAGAGCAAGCTCATGGAGACTACAAAGGAGAAAGAGAAGCATGCTCAGCTCGCAAAGAAAGTGAGATCTAAGCTTAATGACACTCGAGCAAGAATTGCAAGACTTGAGATGGAGAAAAACCTGATGTTGAGAAAATTGGCTGAATGTGAGAAAGATATAGAAATCAAGAAACTTGGGCCACAACAAAATGAGGAGAAGACTGTGACATTTAATACAGATAGCAAGAAAAAATCCAAAAAATAAATTTTCATCAACAGTACTGTGGACCCTGATTACTAGTTGTAAAGATTTGTATATTTGACAAAGAATGTGACATAAACAAAGTATTGGTTTGTTTAGATATACTAAAATCCAGACCTTTGTGATGTCATACACCAGACAACTTGATGTTAAACTATGAGAAAAGTTGTGTACGATATATATGTCTCCATGTTATTTTTTTTTAAGTAGAAAACTAATTTTGATACAATTAAAATTTAATTTATTCATCATTTTCTGATGAGAATATTATCAACTGTTTTTAAAAATGTCAAAAATATAATCTTATCTAACAATTTTGACACATCACAGAAGAGTGACATGATTCTAAACGATTGTTGTTAATTTAGACAGAGCATTTTATTCTTAACTGTTGCATAATTTATGTAGACATTACGTATACCAGGTTATATTCTTTAAATCAATCTCCTCACTCATGAGAAAACTGCATTATTATAATAAGCATATGATATAGCTGTGATATTTTATATTTAATGTATATGTATTTTGATAAATGATTATATTTTTATGTTTTTTCAATATGACTACATGTCATCAGCTGAATCATAAAAAGCATTACTCATTAATGTTAATTAATTAATAAGTAGGTCCATTCTGTATTGAAGATCATGGCTGTTTTCTTCTGTCCTGTTTGGTTAAGTGCAAGACCTCTTTTTTTTTTTGGTTTTGTTTTGTTTTGTTTTTGTTTTTTTTTTTTTGCTATTAGCTAATTGTTTTTGACTTGAGATTAAAATATTTCTTTGATTATTTACACAGATGCTTATAGTTTTTGTATGACTTTTTCTTTAAGGTTTACACCGAATTGATTTGTGCAATATCTGTGTGTTGTCTTACAAAATCATTTCAATGTGAAATCGACTCCGTCCAATATTTATGTCAAATATTTATGTTTGATGCTATGCATACTTGTACACATCAGAAAGATTCTCTGTGAAAATCAAAATACTTTTGTCTTGCAAGTGCAATTAGCTTCGCAAATGGCTAAGGCTTAAGTGATTTTATTTTGTGTTTATCTTTTCCTCTGTTATTGTTTATTGTTACCAAATACAAACTCAATACACCATTGTTAACAATTTTGTACATTTATACATGAAGTCATATGAATCATTTGTTTAGTGTTCATAAAGTTCATTGAATTCTTTTTGTAATAAATATCCTATGGTCATGAAGTGTTAAGTTTATTTTGTTGTATACTCTGCAGGGGTACTAATTCTCAGAAAGAATATGCCTGGATTCCTACATTCTCTCCACTCCCCATTTTCTTTTGAGATTCATACACCAGAGCATCTTGCAAAAAAAATGGATTAGGAACCAAAGAATTTTCTGATGGTTTAAGTCAAGGTCATCTGGATTAGGACATTGTCGTATTATTATAATAAGATTTTCTGTATTAAAGATCAAAGGGGGTTAAAAGTGTTGGATTTGAAATGGGGCCATGTGTAGAGGTAACGGCACATTGGCTGATTAGGAGTACAGGACATTGTCACTAAGGCTGGTCATCTGGATGAGGTCAAAACATGCACAATGTAAAATTGTCCAGATCAAGAAGCTTTGTTTGTAATTTGCTTTAAACCAAAGGACTTGCTACTACTTTTGAACTAATTTTTTGAAGGTCATCTGTATTTCAAGTAGGATGACAGTATTTATATGCATTACTAGTTGAAATCCCGCGCAAGCGCGGGTAATTGAATTTATACCACTACCGACAGAAAATACATTGTAGTTTCTACTGACAGCCTACAGGCTTATAGCAGGAAGAAATACGCTGTTCAAAATCCCGCATGTGCGTCCCCCCCTCCCCCCTTTTGTAAAAGCCTGAAAAAATAACAATTTCATTAATTAATGTTTATTGTGAAACCTGTTATACTATCTTATTTCATTTCCGCCAAGGATAAAAGCAGCGAATATGCACATTTTACTGATAGTTTTTTTTTTTTGAAGGGGGGGGGGGGTGTAAAAATTCACAGGTACTCGGGTCTTGGTTTATGAATATGTACGTACCTTTTTGATATGTAAAAAATGTACTTTACCTTTTTTACATATCAATAAGGTACATACATATATATAAACCAAGACGCAAGTACCTTTGTAAAAATTAGCTTTTAACGCCCTATGAATAGGCCGAGTATTTGACACAAAAGACTGTATACAGAAAAAAAACTGAAATGTATCGATTAAAGCACAAAATTTTACAGCTTTAATTGTATTTGAGCAATATCTTATTCATAAATTTCTCTTTTCATGTAAGCAATTTTATTACGAAGTAGAAATTGTACTTCGGGTTCGTTGCCACGATGCTCTCACAGTGATGAATATACTACACATTTTACCAATAAATTTATTAGGAAAACCTACTACATGTACATATATCTAATAGTCTTTCGATATATAAATATATTCACAACTTATAGTGTTATCAATGATTTACCATTATTTCAATGACCATTCACACATAACCTTTTTTGTGTTCCTGCAGCTATGATCGTCTCGTTTTTCTTTTTAACATCGGGCTCGATGCTATATGATGTTCTAGAAGCTTCCGTCAATATTAAGATCGGTGAATGACAAAAATAATTTGCACATTTCCCTTTTTAATCGGTTATCACAACTTATTTCTTTTATGTCATTTAAATCAAGTTTTGATTGAATAATTCAGTGATGACGTTTTATGAAATAAGTAAACGATTGATTGTTGTCAGTTTCATTGAAAATTGCCAGAAACTTAGATCCGCCAACCGGAAACGCCACCGTACTCATGTTTTTGCTATTTCATGGCTTTTTATAGAAAATAAAAGTAGACTTTTAATTTAATGCACGATACTTACAATGCCAGTGAAATCTAAATATAGTTTACGGACATCATATTGTATCTAGTGTATTCTTAGAGGAGTAAGTAAAAACTCTGGTACATCGGTTTCGGAGTTTATTTGCAAAATTTATAGATTTATAAGTATAGATATATTCCTTCAAACACTTGAGTTTGCACAGAGTAACTGTTAACAGCATAGCTGACCATGTTTGTCTGTCTATCCATCTGGCATTTTTGAATGATTGTTAGAAAGAATATCTAGATGTATATTTCTGACGCCTATATTTTATGAATATTTTACAAGTGTGGAGAATGAATCTGTTGAAAATTTAATGTGTATATTACGATTATATTGCAGGCTCGTAGAATGCGGGGGAAGAGGGGCACTTTTTCTGCTGTAGTTTTAATATAGATGCTGCCCCCCTCCCCCGGAAGGTCGAACACTGACAAATTCCAGCATTTTAAAAATACGTATCAAAAAGTTAGAGGCAAGGTCAAACTTCCCCCTCCCCCCAACGAAACAGGATTTTGGGTATGAGTGTTTTTGTTTTTGTTTTGTTTTTTTTTTTTTTTTGCTTGTCAATTTTTTTTTTGGGGGGGGGGTCCCCTTTTTAGGTCACCTGAGTTTACTCAGTTGAACTATTGTTATCTGTTTTCGTTCGTCATAGTGTTTCGAATCATGTGTTAACATTTAAACATTTTCAACTTCTTCTCTGGAACCACTGAACCAATTTCAGTATATAACATATATGGGTGAAGGGGAGGAGGAGTTGTGAAATTCAAGGCCTCTGCCCCCCCCCCTCGGGAGGGGCATGAGGGGTGGGGCTAAAACCATCAAAAGTAATGCTATCTTTAAAAATCTTCTTCTTTACTCCTGGACATCAAGCAGTCAAACTGTTAGCATGATTGTAATAAGAATTGAGCTCCCTTATCAAAATTGTGAAATTCATGGCCCCAGGGTCAGGGGTTCTGGTGCTAGGGCGGGGCTCTGTTGAGTATGTATATTGGGCCGATGAACCAAGTACATAGTTATGAGGAGGAAGGGTGCCTCTTCCAAAATTATGAAAGATATGGCCCCTGGGTCATGTGTTCTGGTGTTGAGGCGGGGCTCTAATGATTATATAGTGAAAATGCATTAATTCTTTGAAAATCTTTTCCTCTGTTTCCGGGTATTAAGCCAATGAACTAAGTACATAGTTATGATGTGGAAGGGTGCCTCTTCCAACAAGTATTCTCTGACAAAATGTCAGAGACACTCAAGCTGTAGAAAGTCAACTAAGAAGTGTCATAAAATATCCTAAAATGACAAAAGATGAAGGATAATGAGTTTCAATAACTTCTAGATCTGTTGAATAAAATACACATGTACTAGAAAACAAAATACATGTACATATTCATTCATGAAGTGACTTTATCACGAAATTGAACTTGCATGCGTGAAAAATAAATATTTTTCAATATTTTACCAAAAATTCACATCGTACTACTTTTAAAAATGAATTGTATTCAATATGTCACTCATTTTCAGGAATATTTTATGAAGCATTTCTATATTGATTGAAATATTTGCCCATATAAACGTATTTAATACAACATGCATTTATTTGAATTACTATTTCCTTAACGACATCGCAAAATTTGATATACTGCCAATCCAAATAGCTTGTTACAGGCCTGTAGCAACGTTTTTGCAAAGTGGAGGGAAATGGCAAGCTCCGAAAAAATCCCTAGTATTACGGGCCTGTGCTACATCTTTCCAATTTTGAAGTCTTCCGTACAAATCCAAGACAGATATGTCAAGTCCCAGTCCTTAAAGGTTATCCAAAATAGCCTTCATTTTTTTAAATAACAAAAATATAGGCCTATCGGGGGGCTTATTCCACGAACGGCTACTCGCCAAAATCAACATCTAATTATCACACCCAATTAAGGGGCCCTCTAAGGGGTACAGGTAGATTTACCTGTATGAATAAATTACCTGAATTTCAAATGCATATAAACAGAACAAACTATGAAGTCATTTTTAATGATTATATCATTTTAAATGTTTTTTTTTTAATTTTTAACTTAATTATCTATTTTATTTAAATTTATTTAATTTTTTTTTTTTTTTTTGCTGTTAAATAATTTCTATTTCTATCTAAGGGTATACAGTTAAGGTATTTCAACCCTCATAATTTTAATATGGGTTTTAAAGTAGAAAAACTGCACTAATTTTTTTTTTATTTTCACTAAATATAGTTTAAATTAATCGATAACCGCAAAAGATATATAAATTGCCTTATTTTTTTTCTAAGACATACTTGACATAAAAAACAAAAGTGTATGTTCAGCATAAAAAAATTGTACATTTTTAGTAAACATAATAAAAAAATATATATTAAAACTGGTTCAACTGGATAATTCGGATGCTGAAAGTTCCAAAATAATTGTCACTTTCCAAATATGTTCCGATGCTAGGTCCAAAATAACTGTTACTTTAAAAATATGTTTGAACTGTGAATATCAAGGAACCATTTTACATTTAGAAATACAATAAATAAAATGCCTGAATGAAGATACATGAGAAAGAGTTCTTGCCCTAAGCAACATTTTTAAAGAGTGAATTGTTGATTAAACAAAGAAAGTATTCATTTTTAAAATTATATTTCTGATTTTTTTTTTCTTACGCCAATTGAAAATCATTCTTCCAAAGGATGCATTTCTATTGGGTAAAAATTTAAAATAATTAATTGATAACATTTTTTGCAAAAACATATGACACCACAGGAAAGTGGAAATAACTTAACAAGTAATAACTTCCAGGCACGAAGTTTCAGGGGGGCTGTCTCCCCCCTCACACCCCCTCCCCCCCAAAAAATAACAATATACTATTGAAAATGTTTACTGAAAGGCTGCAACCTTAAGAAAAGGTTGGACCCCCACTTCAAGTTCAAAAATTCCCCATTAATAGGATTTAACAGTTTGAAAAAAAATATTATTAAAGGTACAGTATTAAAGGTGCAATAATACAAAGCAATGTATAAAATATGTTTTAATAATATTTTGAAATTTTTTGTTTAAATTTATTTATCAAATCTTGGGGCTTTTTAATGTATTTTTTTAATGAAAAAAAATGAAATTTCATATCCTTATTTATCAAATACTGGTTATCCAGGTAAACACAGGTAAATCTTCCAGTACCCCTTAGAGGGCCCCTTAATTGGGTGTGATAATTACTTGTTGTTTTTGGTGAGTAGCCGTTCGGGGACAGAATTTAACATTTGTGCTATTAAAGTACTATCACTAAAGTCAGGTGTTAACGAAGGGTTAACCTGTGTCACCTTTCAGAGTAACCAATCAACTCGTCCATACGGTCGTTGGAAAACTTGCCTGAGATTCCTGCGCAAACGAAAGCGCGAAATCTCTGTATATGTTGCATCACTGCGGAGCATCACTCATTATTCCTTCGTCATAGAATATAATCCGACATCTTTGAATATACAGAGATTTTCAAGATAAACTTCATTTTTGTTTCTAGAAATGTTCTTATTTACACAAATAATACATATTCGTGTTTTTAAACTGAGTAAATCGATAGCCTAGCATCGTTTAAGGCTTGAGTAAAAATTGTGAATTTCATGGCCTCAGGGTCAAGGGTTGTTGTGTTAGGGTGGGGCTCTAATGATAATATAGTGAAAATGCATTAATTCTTTGAAAATAGTCTTCTCTGCTCCTGGGTATTAAGCCGATGAACTAAGAACATAGTTATAATGAAGAAGGATGTCTCTTTCCAAATTGTGAATTTCATGGCCCCTGGGTCAGGGGGTCTGATGTTAGACCGGGGCTCTAATGATAATATAGTGAAAATACATTTAATTCTTTGAAAATCGTCTCCTCTGCTCCTGAGTATGAGGCCGATGAACTACATGTAAGTACATAGTTATGATGAGAAAGGAAGCCTCTTCCAAAATCATAAATTTCATGGCCCCAGGGTCAGGGGTTCTGTGTTAGGGCGGAACTCTAATGATAATATAGTGAAAATGCATTATTTCTTTGAAAATCTTCTCCTCTGCCCCTGTGTATTAAGCCGATGAACTAAGTACATAGTTATGATGAGAAAGGGTGCCTCTTCCAAAATTGTGAAAGATGTGGCCCCTGGGTCAGATGTTCCGGGGGGGGGCTTATTTATTATATACTGAAAATGAATCAATGCTTTGAAAATCTTCTCCTCTGCCTCTTGGTATTAAGCAAACAAACTAAATGCATATTAATTATGAGCAAGGGTGCCTCTTCCAAAAATTGTGAATTTCATGGCCCCTGGGTCAGGGGTTCTGGTGTTTGGGCGGAGCTCTATTGATTATATAAAGCAAAAATGCATTAATACTTTGAAAATCTTCTCCTCTGCCCCTGAGTATTAGGCAAACAGACTAAATGCAATGATATAAATGTAAAAATATAAATATAAGTAAATGTGCCTTTTCTCTGCTCCTGGGTATCTAGGAAGCAAACAGAATACAATGAAGCAAATGAGGGTTACTCCCTTTGCTAAATTGTGTTAAATCAAAAAATCCTTGTATATAATTTTATTAACAGGTTATTTGATGGAACGAGGATACAAGAAAGAATGTTTTATATATAGAAACAAAATAAAAGTGAATGTTTGTTTTAAACGAGCAAAGCATGCTCAAAATCGGATTCTTGCCTGGAAAGCAGTATAAAAGTTGAAATAAAGGTTATTTATTCAACAAAAGGGTCAATTGTACTTTGTGTGTGTATACTGTGGTGTTCTGTCGGACAATTGACGACTAATTGTCAGGTAAATTCATGGAGATCAGAGATTAGTTGGCAAGATAATGCAAGAAGTTGTTTTTATACTTTATCAAAGTGAACAAGTGAACAGAGAGCCAGAGTGCTACGGGACTATACAGACATTACATATTTCTCTTTGTATACTTAATTGTAGCACTAGGCAAGTGTCAATACATATCTGTATATATTGAATACCTTACACACTAGGCAAATGTTTATTTTACATGTATTTTTATACTTTTCATTTATCATCATCCCTGTAAGAGTTGGGAAAATCATGTACGATCCCAAGGAAACCACTCGGGTCTCGCACGTTACAATAAGCAAGAGTATTTTTACCAGAATTTTTGAAATTCTTGGGCAACATTGCTTCATCTTTCAGTTAATTCTGTTTTATACTCCTATGACTCCTTTACAGTGTTGTATTATACTCAGGTGACCGTTAAGGCCTTTGGGCTTCTTGTTTAACGAAGTTGCCGCGGACCTGTGTTGTGAAGAGAATATCTGATATCTTGTTATTAGAGGGAGGTATATTTAAAACAAACCTGAACAAACGACGTATCGACGAGGGATACATAAATACATGTTAATTTATAGATTTATGATGGCAAAGTTTTATAGAATGTGTATTTTTTACGTATGTGAATAATTGCTTCCACAGAAGTACATTTTGTTATAATATTCCATTCTTTGCAATGCCTTTTTGAGGAATCCAAAAATCCGACGACTTCTACCAACACCAAATGAATCACTCAGAACGTCAACAAAATCTATAAATCAGTAAGCCTTTACGTATAAAAATATGATTGATTAAACATGATAATTGCTTAAGTGAGTTTATCGATTTCTTCACCAATCAGCATATTTTCTGCGACTTGAATCGCAGAAATCATGAACGTAACGGAGGAGAGCGCAACTTCAGAGCGCGGGAGTGTTGCGGAGATTTTTCTGCCCCCTCTCGGATTATTTCTAGGAGGAGCTATAGGTAAGAAAGATGTGATTATAAAAAGACACTTTAGAGTCATTAAAGTTTTCTTGTTGTAAGAAGTGTTTTAGAGTGACAATTGTACAAGATTTAATTTTACTTAACTTTGAGTAAATAAACTACATATTATCGTATACGTATAAAAAAAATACTATTGCAACCCTTTTTTGATTACCCTTGACATATAAAAAATATCAAGGTTAATGTGCTACCCCTTGTGTAAAAAATAATTACCCTCACATGTATGAGAAAATAACCTTTTTTTTTTTTTAAATTTTCATCTCTATTATTTTCATTAGGGGTCGGTTAACCCATTATTGACCTTTAATGTAGAATCAAGTGATGTTGCTTCAATAAATATGATAAGTAAGCAGAAATACACGGGTCTACTGAATATTTCAAAAAAAAAAAAAACAATTGTTGATAATCATTTTGAGCTGAAACCAAACGAAGAAAAAAGACAAAAACAACACTTATGATGTTTTCTTACAGAATTATGAAATTTCTCATTTAAATATTCAGTCGACGTGAAAAGCCCTAACCCTTTCTCATTTTTTTACTTTCAATTTTAAAATTCATACTCTCTGTTACTAAAAGAGTGTGAATTTTTATAAAAAGTTGACTTTAAGTCATATTAAATGGATTTTCAATTGTAATACATGTACTTCATAAATATCATAGAAAAATATTTTATTTAAAAAAAGTCGAAGAACCCTTCGGGTACGGAAAGCGGGGGTGGGGGTGGGGTGTCCCATCCCCAAGCACCTGTGATTCAAGTTATAGACAAAAATGTAGGAGTGTCTTTTGAAACGGAACTAAGCACTCAGTGATTATCATGTATATGCTATAATTGGTATCATATAGATAGATTCCCCCATAGTTCTAAGTCTACATACGGTACGAGCTGAGAAATAAAATATGAAAAAAAAATTAAAACTGCCTATTTCATTAATTTAAAAAGTTCACATGTTACAGTAGTAAATCAGTGTAAATACGTATAATTTAAAAATAAACAGCCTCGTATGCGATCGAATGTATTTTAATTGACTGCTTAAAGTAACTGAGTTAAAAAGAATATTTGTGTAATAATTTAAACATATCAGTGTCCATTGTCCAGGGGCTTTAGAGATACGACAGAGTCAATGTTATCGAGTCGCGGTCCTGATTCATCAACCGTACAACATACTCAAGTTTGAATTTATTCCAAGCACGTGTCCAAGAACACGATTTTGTGGCAGACCATGTTTGGAGTAGATATGCATGATTTAATGTTATTTGTTATAGTAAGGTTACAATGGTATTTCACTTCATATTCGAGTAGGCCATCAGTGACTAGCTTGGCATACGATATATGCTTCGTTTTTTTTGAGTAATTTTACACTAAAAGTGCATTATTTCGTCAATAGGTTCAAATATCAATTTCATATTGATAAAATACTTCCCATTCATTAAACTAACAAAAGAACAAGGGTATGGTATCTACATGTAACGGCCGAATATGGCCCCTTATTTATACACAGTCAAAATTATCGTATTACAGAGGATCATTTCATTTAGGACCTATCAAATAATATTTTTGAATTCGATATAACGAATTATCAAATTTGTTAAAACAAATTTAATTCGTTATATCATTTTTTTTTAAATTCGTTATAACGAATTTAATCTGTTATAACAAATTTGTTAAATTTATTATAACGAATTAAAAAAAAAATTGTTGTAACGAATTAGTTTCGTTTCAAATTCGACAATTCATTACATGTATATCGAATTGATAAATATTTTTCGATAAGCCCTAAATGTCGAATTCGATAAAACGAATTTAATTCGTTATAATAAATTTAAGAATTCGTTCAAACGATTTAATTTCGTCATAACAAATTTTAAGAATTCGTTTAATCGAATTTAATTCGTTGCATCAAATTGTTGAATTCGTTATATAATGAATTCAACAATATGTTATAACGAATTAAATTCGCTATCACGAATTCAGAAAAATTGTTACTACGAAGTAAATTAGTTTTAACATATTCAATAATTCGTTTTATCGAATTCAAAAATATTTTTTTTGATAGATCCTAAATGGGCCACCGTGAAAATTGCAATAGTTTGCATTGGTCTGATGAACAAATTGAACATTTTGTCAAATTTGAGATTTTTACTTCTTACCGCGGAAAACGTAGAACATAAGCTTGCTTATCTGAGATTTTCACAAATAAGATGTATCTGATACTGGTGCATGTTATATAAATATTTGGTAGATAGGCAAGCTTGTGATCTATGTTTTGTGAAACAAAATGAGCTTTAAAACTGATGAAAATTTGAATGAAATTGAGAAAACTTGGAAATGACTAATTTTGCGACCCTCCCGTGACTTGTGTATCATATTGCTTGGAATCAGTACTCATTTTGTAACAGGGATGACAACAGGCTTTTAAACGCAAACGATTAAATGACACAAGCCTAATATCTGAAGTACTTAGTAAAATTTGCCCAACATTTCCTTTGCTAACATAGCATTAAAACAGAAATAAATTTCCTACCACATATATTTATTTTACTTTTTACATCTTGCTTCGCATTGCATGGTTGTTTCAGTTTAAACTAACGAGCATGTTTGTTATGGTCATTGGAAAACGTAAATTTCATTTTTTAATTATTTTTTTGATTTAACAAATGTTAAAGCAGAATTCATATGAATCTAAAATATCAATCGATATTAAGAACAAAAGATGGTGATAAAATGAATTGATTTTTCTGGCTAGCTGGCTAATGATTATATATAATCTATAGAATAGCATCCGGCATCGTTAACAAAAAAATCAAAGAAAAAAATGTATGACACTTTTCTTGTGATATATATATATATATATATATATATATATATATATATATATATATATATATATATATATATATATATATATATATATATATATATATATATATATATATACCCTTTCTGCATGTTAGGGAGCGTTCCAGCGTGTGTGAAATCAACTAAATCAATTAAAGTAAGAATCGACAAGGGAAACAAAATGCCTATAAGGCGGCATTTCAGAAAAAAAAAATAAATCAATGTCTGAATACAATTAAACCACTATAAAACTGATCTATCAAAGAAACAGATGAAAAAAAAACAATACTTGATTAAATATTGATTACTTATTTCTTTATCAATCTACTCTTTAAAAACTGACATGGATACTTGGATGTACACGTTATAAGGATATATTAATATAACAGCCCTCTTGCACTTTGTACACCTTAAAAATGTATTTAAATCACTGGCCTTCAGATCGCTATACCCCCAGTCTGTCGGCTTCTGAAACCCTATCCAGATTAACCCACTCCATCATACACAACATACGTACACAATACGATATATTATTATTCTTCATTTCATCAAAGCAAATGAAAAGAAGATCTACATGTATATGAAAGTCTGAAAACATCGAATTGGGAATTTTTGATGTTTTTAAGGTTTCAAAAAACATTTAAAAAATTCCTTTTGTATGATAGGGAGTGTGAGTGCAGTGGGTGGTATGTGTGCGTTTTACTACTTATAAATATACTTATAAAATTTGATGACCAACTGGTGAAAGTAATACTAGTTACATCCTATAATGAGATTTGAAATTACCAGAATGCTTGAAATTGTTAATTACCAGATTACTTTATGTGTTAAGTTCATATAGTATTTTCTTTCATCAGTTCGTTGTCCATTTGTTTTTTCTCATGAGATCGTGGTCTGCTGAGCTTTTGTTCCTAACGACATTAAAAAAAACTCATTTCAAGCAAGTCGATCGAAATAAAGAATGAAATGGATTAAACCGAGTGTTGCATGACTTCGCTCTTTGAGGATTTCTAACCTCCCGAGAACCGAGTAAAGGGAAATAGCAACAATACAATTCAGTATTTCCAAATAACAAGTTTGCAACGATTTTAAAATCGCAGAATGTAATGTTATCTTATTATACATGTATTTATTTTTCTCGAGGACCATAAATTTCCAGTTGAGACTGGTAGTTGGTCAAATATCTCACTGAATGAAAGACTTTGTACATTATGCAACTCAGGTCAAATAGCAGATGAATTCCATCTCATTTGAGAATGTAATTCATCCCTGATTTTGTAAAGCGCCAAAGATACTAGTACTCAAGTTTAGCGAAATTATATGTCAACCAACAGTTTTAAATCTTTAAAAAAATTTCTCTATATTCATTCTAATTTACGTCATTCAGTTTGTCCTCCATAATTTACATCTATATTTTTCTTTACTTTCTGTTTTTTATTGCGTGCATGTTGTTGCTATAATTTGCACAAGTACATATGTATATGTTTTATTTAAGGAAAAAATGTCTAAATGTTTGGTTTTGTGATCAAGCGATTGACTTGCGTGATATTTTGCATAAACACCCAATGCGTTTATGCATACATTTATCACGCAAGCCAATTGCTTGATCATCATCATAACACCAAAAAGTCTGACAGTTATTCCTTATATCTACATGCTCTTGATTCCGTAAATTCACGTGCTCCAAGCCCCGCCTACTCTCCCTCTCTCTCCCGCCTAGCACGCAATTTTTTCTAAACAACGCCTATCGATGAACCAGTAGCTTTATGTAGAAATCAAGTATTTTTATTATTAGTAGTTTTATCACAGACAAAGAAATTTAAAAATGTAAATATATGTCTCTCTTTCTCCCCCCCTCTCTCTCTCTGGTGTTATTGTATCACATATTTTTCTTTTTACTATTTAACTATGACGATTTGTTATATACTTTATACCTCATGTACCACTTTTGGTGTGAGTGTAATAAATTAGACGAACTTGAGTACTTCGGAAATAATATACCTTGTAGTAAATAATTCCCAATATCGAAAAGGTAAAGCGTCAGCCAAATTTTCATCTGCCGAATATATAGCCTCAGACACGTGTCACGTTTAAGCCAATCAAAGTGTGACATTTCAGGAAAAATAAAAAGTAATAATTGTCTACGGAGTACTCCGTCTACCTGATAGGGCTCACTGCAGGTATGACCTGTCGACAGGGGATGTTTACTCCTCCTAGGCACCTGAACCTACCTCAGGTGTTTCCATAGGTCTGTGATTTTCCCTGTTGTCTGAGATCAATAGGTTAAAGATTTACATCAGCTTGTTTCGCTGCCACATCCGGAAGTCCAAACTGTTGCTGAAAATGTTCTAGCATAGTAAGGTCAAATTAAATAGCAAAGTGCTGAAGCCTCTTACTTTCATCTTGTATTGAAACCATGTTGCCACAAAATCATTACTAAACTTTTATTAAGAGGAACCTTCTTAAGGAAAAATTATTCAGTAGGGCTAAATATTTTGAAATGAAAAGTAACGTTCATTCAAAATGACGGGGCATTTTGAATAGTTTTTCACCATGGATTTGACCACGGAAAAATATTACTTATACCAGATAGAGCAAGGGATGTACATTTATGATCATATTCTAATCTATTTCTGTAAATAGTAACATATTGTCAATCTGGAAAACAATTTAAATATTTTATATGTGTCTATTATAGATAGATTTCATCGATAGCTTGGACTATCAATACGTATATTTTCGATCGCACAGTCCTGTTACGTTCCCTGCATATTTTGGGTCATAGCGAGATTAAGAATTAGAATTATAGAGTTTAGTCGATACATAAAGCAATGATTAAGAGATAATTTTTATGGCAGGATTCTTACAGCATTTTTTAGAAATATTCGAAACTCTAAAGTATGGAAGAAAATCCCTACTTCGAAACATTATTATTTATTTAGAATGAAACTAATAACATGAATAACCCGGGAGAAATGACCAATAATGAATGAAGTGAAGTTTCAAAAAAAAAAACACACCAAAAAACAACCAATATGTTACAGAAATGGCCGAGTAGTTACGAATGACGATATCAAACATGGCTGTTATACTCCGGATGATTGCTTACTGTTCAAGTAATATACTGAACCTACTTGATGTGATGTCACAATTCTTAAATGTCTTTTATTAAATTGAGTTTAGTAGTATTCATGCATCTTATGTAATTAAATAAACATTATCTTTCAGCCTTAACTCTGTTGGCGATCTGTACATCACACTCATGCAGACATTTAAGGCCAAGGTCACTTGCGTGTGTTGGTCCCTCTCTCTCAAAGTCAAGCTTCACAAGTTTCACGAGTTTGCTATCTAACCCAGGAGCAAACAGTCAAAGTCAAAGCCAAAGTTCATTTGCTGACCTAAACGGATTTTACACAAAATCTGATGCTGAGATTTTGGAACATCTGCAGCTGTACCAAAACAACCCGCGGTATTTGTACAAAATTGCAATACCAGCAGTGACGTCATTAATATTTTGTCCGATGATAATGATTGCCTACAAACCAATTGCAAACTTCCTGTGGCCTGATCGAACACAGCCCGCTATCAATGAAGCGATCGCCTGTTTTTTGGCCCCTGCAGGCATGGTTTATGCAGTGTCGTTTGGTTTTGCCTTTCAGCAAGTCCTTCAAAAACAAATTGACATAACAGCAAGATTAAACAATGATTTTTCAGAAATGGAGCTGCTGATGAATTTAACCAAAAAATTGTCGTGTTTGAAATCGACTACTCGAATGAAGATGTATATTGCTCTTAAAGAGGAAATAATGACGGTAGTCCAGTATATAACCGAGGTGCCTGAACTTGAAAATAACAAGAATGGTACTCAGTCAATTAATTCTAATTACTTAAATTTCATTAGCAACAAGAAAATCTACTTTCGTAGGGAAACGTTCAATTTATTGCATACATAGAGTGACCAGTTTATAAATCCTCAGCAATATTTTCAGATGAACAGAGAATCAAAATTAAAAAAATTGTAGTTATTGACGAACTTCAAGAATAAGAAAATGTTTCAAGTATTGACAGGGTAGCTGATTTTCATTAGATAATCGTATTATTATGGTATCCGGTAAATGACTTTTTAAGTATCTTAAAATGCGACAAGTAGTTCATTATTTCTACTGGAAATTATCTCAAAGAATTTCAGTTTCTTTAATATCATATCAAAGTAAATTCAAGATTTCCAGAACAGCGTTGTTTCTATATTGAGCCACCAGAATAAAAAACAAGAGGCCCAGGGGCCACATCGCTCACCTGAGCACTCTGGCTAGGAAAAAATAGAAATCAGTTCAGTCTTGAAAAAGTTTAAATATAAAACTGGTTTATTTGAACTAACTTGAATCTAAACTTCATAGGGATGTTTTTGAATTAATATGACAAATAATGGCTTTGCTGTTCTAAAGAAGAAAATTTTGTTTGATACATCCTTTGAATTCCTTTGTATGATCCCCTGTTATGGCCCCTTTATTCTCCAGGGGATCATGATTTGTACAAATTTGAATCTACATTACCTGATGATGCTTCCATTTAAATATGACTAATCATGGCTTTGCTGTTCTTTAGAAGGAGATTTGTGGCCCCACCCTACCCCTGGGTGTCATGATTTGAACAAATTTGAATCTACACTACCTGAGGATGCTTCCATATAATATGACCAATCATGGCTTTGTTGTTCTTGAGAAAATTTTTAAAGGTTTTTCCAATGTTTTCTTATGTAAAACTTTGATCGCCCATTGTGGCCCCACCCTACCCTTGGGGGTCATGACTGGAACAAACTTGAATCTACAATACCTGAGAATGCTTCCATATAAATATGACCCATCATGGCTTTGCTGTTCTTGAGAAGAAGATTTTTAAAGATTTTTTCCTATGTATACCTATGTAAAACTTAGATCGCCCATTGTGGCCCCACCCTTCACCCGGGGGTCATGATTTGAACAAACTTGAATCTACACTACCTGAGGATGCTTCCATATAAGTTTCATATTTTCGAGCACAGTGGTTTTTGAGAAGATTTTTAAATGATGCCATTAATTTTTCATGAATTCATAATTATCTCCCCTTAGAAGAATGCGTGGCCCTTCATTTGAACAAACTTGAATCCCCTTTACCCAAGGATACTTTGTGGCAAGTTTGGTTGAAATTGGCCCAGTGGTTCTTGAGAAGAAGATGAAAATGTGAAAAGTTTACGACAACGACTACGACAACGACGACAGACAACGGACAAATTTCAATCAGAAAAGCTCACTTGAGCCTTCGGCTCAGGTGAGCTAAAAAATATCGCTCATACAATGATGTTTATTTGAGATATTTAAGCTGACCATTAAATGTGACTTTTGCAAACACAATTAGCGTGACTCTAACATTCAGTGTGCAGGAATCCAGTTTCTATGAAAGCTTGATCGACAATTTTTACTGTTTAGGCGCCATCTGGGACATCCTGGACAGTCTCCGCGAGGCTCCAGTCCAGAGACATAAAGTGGACACAGCCATTATTAACAAAATCATCAAATACGTGGGGAAACTGAATAGTGTAGTAGACAAAGTGGGAACCCTCCACGCCAAGATACACCCTCTACAGTAAGCACTTATAAAAAGCACAAAGACTTACATTCACTCTCTACAGTAAGTACTCACAGACAACCCTCTTCAATAAGTACCTCGAGAGCACAGCAGAGACTACAGTTAGTACTTAGAGAGAGCACAACAAAGACTTACATACACTATCTACAGTAAGTACTTAGAGAGAGCACAACAAAGACTTACATACACTATCTACAGTAAGTACTTAGAGAGAGCACAACAAAGACTTACATACACTATCTACAGTAAGTACTTAGAGAGAGCACAACAAAGACTTACATTTACTATCTATAGTAAGTACTTAGAGAGATCACAACAAAGACTTACATACACTATCTACAGTAAGTACTTAGAGAGAACACAACAAAGACTCGTGCTGTCTACAGTTACACGTACTTCGAGAGAGCATAAAGACTTGTATCATGTTTAGTAAGTACAGCAAAGACTTACATATATACTATCTACATTAAGTACATGCATTACAGAGAGCACAACAAAGACTCACACCAGTATTTGGAGAGTACATGACAAAGACTTGCATGTCATGTACAGTAAGTACTAATAGTGGGTACAGCAAAGACGTACATACACCCCCTACAATTAATACTTACAGAGATCATATTATAGACGTACACATCCTCTTTGTAAAAACAATCCCCCAGTAAGTACTTACAGAGAGTACAACAATGCAATGTACTTATATTCACCCTCCAAGGTTCACGTAAGAACTTGTAGAGAACAAAGACTTACATATACATCCTCCAAAGTAAGGATTTACAGAGAACAGACTAGCAAGCATGCATAATTACATCCTCCAAAGTAAGTACAAGCAGAGACCACAACAGAACCAAGTTGTCATGTTTTAAAATTCGGTATTTTCGATAAAATGTACCGGAAACGGGTATACTGGTACATGTAGTACTTGTAGTTCCTTGAGAGACAAGAAGACTCGAATTATCGGTGCACACATATTTACTCTTAACAGCTGCTATATAATTTTCATTTTATTTTAGCCCTTTCAATGTTCTATTGTGCAGATGGGCGTTTCTGGAGATCCTTGGTTACTCCTCATTCCTTGGAATTTTGATGGTGAAGTGCGAGTCCTACCGAATGGAGATGTGCATGAGTTTCGTCACGTGCTTGTCCATTTCCATGTCCTGTTACATCGTGGCGGACATTGATAATCCCTTTCATGGATTTTTCAGGATCAACATTAAAAGTGTATTAACGATTTTAGAACAATTGGAGAAATGCTACAACGATGAACTTCATTGTGAAATTCAGCTACAAAACATCACCGGAAACAAATAAATGCCCTTTATTAACGTATCTATCCACACATTAGGTCAAAGAAAATATAAGAAGTAGATGTCTTCAGAAGTTCAGTTCCCCTCTTTTTTTCCAAACAATCCTCTTATTTAGAGATTTTTAAGTAAAAATTATGAATTCCTTTTTTAGCAATATCAGCTTTTGTTGAACTGTTTGTGAATCTTTTACCACGATTCGAATGATTTGTAAAATTATTTTAATATGCTGTATACATTGTGAGTATTTATTAAACCTTTTTCATACGTAAATATATTTAATTCACGGTACATTAACGAGACTTTGCTGCAGCGTAGGTTTTTGATGTAACTGTCAGACCAGTTCATTTCAAAATGTTATGATCTTTAGAGCTTTTATATGGAATTGCTAGTTCAGTTACTGCTTTAGACATAAATCTTGTAGCATTAAATTAGAACATATACAATATAAAAATACAAGAGAAACAAAGAACAACTACTACAAAAAAGAAACAATAAAGCAAATGAGAGAGCCCTAAAGAAGGAAACAAATACAAACAAAAAGATTTATCTAATAAATGATGTATTACATGTAACATAAACAATGATATGTAACATAAACAATGATGCATTACATGTAACATCAACAATGATGTACATGTATTACATGTAACATAAACAATATGTAAAATAAAGAATGATGTATTACATGTAACATAAACAATGATGTATTACATATAATATAAACAATGATGTATTACATGTAACGTAAACACAAGTATGGACAGTATACATTCAAACCATAAATAAATGTATTGTAGAGAAAACCAGTAATCTAGACGATAACAAGAATTCTCCCAAAACAAACCAAAAAGAAACAATGGATGTGGAAATTTCCACGTACAGTAGAATGTTATTTGTTTTATAGGATAGTGTCTATTATTGATCTGAAAGAAAAGACAACAAATTCTAGATCCATGTTGAATTTACACTGATAACGGGAATGTATTGTCATTATTTATACAAAACTAAGATGAAACTGAAAGTAAACAATCATGTTCCATTTCAAGTTCACAAAAAATTAGACTTGTTTGCACTGAACTAAGTATTAAACATTGTGGCTTAATCCTATATTCAAAAAAGCTCTTCAGAATTATCGATTAGTTATATAGAGATCCAATATTATCAAAAAGTTTTGAAGAATTTAGCAGGTGAAGAAAAGACGTGTCGTACTCAAAAGTGAAAGTGTTGATTTTTTTGAATTTGCCCGATTAAAGGTGAATGAATTGTACTCCAAAGAGAGAGAGAGAGAGAGAACAACCAAAGTAAATGCATAAATATAGTTGGGCAACCTTCTTTACATTAATCACAAAACATATATAATCTCTGAAGAGTATTACATCTGTAACAGCAGGAGTCGCTGTGGCATGTAAACCAAAAGACGACTGAACAGGCAAGATTTTTTTGTTACACAAATGCAGTTTCATACCTAAGAAGAAAAACATATATCTTAATTTTTTTACGTCCCTTTGAGACGCCACCAACTACCTGTGGAAGCTGCTGTTTAGACCGGTGAGCCTATTTTCGTGTCAGCGTCTACTGCTTTATATAGGACCTCATTTTATAAGGTCTGGTCTCCACATCTCGCAGTGGGATTCGAACCATCACTTGTTGCGCGAGACCTCTGGTTGATACTTCACTTTAACAGGGTAAAAAGGTCAATATGAATGTAGTTTTCTTATGGCTATGTCAAGAAATTGATTGGAATGTATTGCTCTTTAGCTGCGTCGACATACATAATGAAAACTCGGTTGTCTTTCTTTGGACCCTGCGTAATTCTAAGTCACTACATGAATTTTGGTTGGCGCAATAGTTTCACAGTGTTTTTAAAAATTATAATTACTCCAGTAAAAAAAATATATTTATAAGAAAATTTGACATTGCCACTCACAATTACGTAATATTACCTTTTACCCAAGTAAAATCATATTTTGTCCTTTTTTTCTTTAAAAAAGTGAAGAATATTTGAGGCCATGTGCCTCATAATAAGGAAGCGTATTAGTATCACTTGGACATTTTTCATCTTCCACACTTTAATCTGTTAATTTTACACTTTAATCTGTAAAATTTACACCTTAATATGTAAATCTTACACTTTAATCTGTAAATTTACACTTTAATCTGTAAATTTTTCACTTTAATTCATTTTATTTATATTATTCAGGATTCTTTGTCTTACTGGTTTTAAAGCGTGTTACTCAAGACATATGAGGTTGCTAAATGGATTGTGTGAATTACACAACTAAAAGTGTAAATCTTACAGATTAAAGTATAAAATTGACAGATTAATACGAACAATTTACAGGTTAATGGGTAAAATCTACAGATTTTAAAAAGTGTAAAATTTACAGATTAAATTAAAATTTTTATTAATTAAAGTGTAAATTTTACAGATTGAAGTGTAAAACTTACAGACTAATGTGTAAAATTTACAGATTAAAGTATGGAAAATAAAAATAAGAATTGTCAACCTGGCACTAATACGCTTCCGTATCATAACTAGTTAATTTTACTCAAGAAAAATATCATCACTGAAGGAAAATGTTGTTCTTATTACATTGATATTCACCGCAGTAAAAATCAAGAATAACAAAATTTATAAAACTTAAGATTGAGCTTTTGAAGCATAGCATGAAGATACGGAAACAATACACCATCAGTGATTGTATATTTAGCATACACTGCTAATTTTTCTCTTATATGAGTTCTGAGTTTGCTTTTGATCTCATAATCTCATACTTTCCATGAAAATGTCTCTTGAAAAATGTTCTAAGTAAATGTTGAATAAAGGCTCCATATGGTCCCTTAAAGGTCAAAATCTAAAATTGAGGGACATTTTCTTCGATTGTATCTTCTTATACCCCTAATGCAATTCTTAATCTTAAAATTATTTTTTTGAAAAATTAACACTCATTTTTCTTTTTTCTTAAATTACCAGTCCAAGCACAAAGAAAATTTGCAATCTTGGAAAACATATTTTTGCAAACAAATTTAAAAAGTGAACCTATGCTTGATTCACAAATGTCGTGATTATACAATGTACTCTTACTTATTATACCAAATATGTTGTTCATATGCGTTGCTTTATTGCGTAATTATTTTTGTAGGGTATTTATTCCAGAAGATGTTTGTTTCTTGGTTCAATAAAATCTGAAATCTGAGACAAATTTGTGAAATGCTGCAATATGTGTTTTTGTACAAAGTGTTTCTGAATCAAGGACACAAAACAGCTTTTTAGCTAAAATTGTTAGCATCAGTCTTTCGGATAGTTTCTATGTCCACCTGTCGCTCATAAAGCAGTCAAGTGAGCACAATAAAGTACCGCAGACACGGAGCACTTGACACTTCTAAGGTATACATCCAGTGAAATCTCTCAGCCTGCTGATGGAACCGAAATCGGTAAACAAATGCCAAGACTCTTCTTGTCTGATTTTTCCATTATACTATATGAACATTACACATCCATAAATCCACATCAAACAGCAATATACATCACTGATAAAGCTGATATTTTGTGACCGATGAAATGATCGATCGAGTTTTGCCATGTGACTCATCTCGCTCCAGTAGTAATGGCTGAGTTCCGAGCGGGCCGCATATGAATATAATTTGATTGTTACATCAACTACGATATCATAATCCCTATGACAAGAATAATGAATAATTTATGCATAATTTTAAAACTTTATAGAATAGAGAGTTCCTATCAAGGCAAGAGTAGCGAGCTTTTTGGTTTGACGGAGAGAGAGAGAATCTTAGAATACCATCAGAGGACGTGACTTAGGATCCGTTAACAACGATCCATCTCATCTCAGATGTAGCACCGATAAACCAGAGAATGAATTTATTTAAGTCAACCTGACTTTTGGGCTGTAAATTTATTTATTTTCAGCGCGGAGGTTTAGGAGATAGATGGTCTTTTACACTCAATGCTGGTCGTTAATTTGAAACAAAACACACTTTTTAATATGATGCAGACCCGTAATTGACGGAGATTTGTCGAGGAACTACGCTTAAATGTCAAACATTTCAATACGAGATCCCTCCATGTTATCTCAGCAATTTGTCTATAGCACAAATAAACAGATAATGCTAACTCTAAACAGCACATGTATCGGTCACGTTTATACCCTTACTTCCATAGAATATTTGTTCCCCTTAATCGATGTTTTCCATTTTGTCATTATATATTTATTTTTAGAAGTATTATATAACTGTAATAAATCCTCTCTTTTTTCTACCATTTTCTCAATTGTCATCATCATCATCATCATCATCATAATATATACACACAACATTATGAATAAATTGAACTTTCTAATACTACAGGGAATGGTAAATGTTGTACAGCGGTCAAAGTGGATTCCCCACTACACGGCCGTCGGAACGGGATGCTTTGGGTGCGATCGCACTCCCTTTTCAAAAAGAACACTCGAACAGATCATTTTTAAACAAAAAAAAATCATTATGCATCTGTTTAAAGTAACTCTGCTTATACTGAGTTTGTGAAAAAGACACCAAAAATGCATCAAAATGGCAAAATGTTACCTCAGGTTGAGAGGAAGGGGAACCCCTCCTACATGTAGATCCTCGTTCGCTTCTTCCAGAAACTTGGCGAAGGCCCTGTTCTCGTTCACTGAGCCTCCAACAGTCCCCACATGTATATATAAGTTAAAATATTGAATAACTCGGTTGTTCAAATAATGTATCTGGACTTCTTGAAGTTCGAAACAATTTTTACATTGAAAAAATAGTTTTATAATCCTAGATTTGTTTTACACTTAGACAATATAATTTACTTAATATGTAAATGTTACATAGGTCAAATAATTAATATTGTGTTAAGTCATTCTCTTTTTTATCGCAGATATATACTCAGTATTTTTGGCATTTCAGAGTATAAATACAAAACGATTCGGGGGATTCTGATACTCCCTGTGTATGGGTAATTTTGAGACGGTTTTTGCT